TTTAGCCCACTCAAACAACAGCTGTCCTTAGGCTCCTCAAGGTTGTCTGCCCACTGTCCCATGGCAGCATCGATTGGAATTGATTTCTCACAAGATCGTTCAGGTGGCAAGTGAAGGAGTAACGAAAGCAATAGTGAAATAAGTAATAAAAAGCAGAAGCAAAAATAGTAGTTTCTAGGGAACGATTTTAACTGTTCAAATGATGTGGCTAACGGAACTGAAGTTTTGCTGTGTAATTGAGTTTCCAAATAAATAACCTCATCGGGTCTTGAAGAGTTTCCAAAAGACATTTTTTTCCACTCCTCCCTTCACTTCTAAGAGTCATTTGATAACTGTTAACCTTCTGAAACGGAGCTAAACTATCTGCAAAGACAGTAGTCTGTAATAAATGCTTTCAATAACAAAGGTCACTAGAAAAAGAGACAACACACACGTCGAGTTAAGCTCAAAAAGCTGCACTTCTTCACACAGCTTTGAGCTCTAATGCTGCAAATGACAGCCATTCATACTAAACTACGGAGAGCTCCCAAAAGCTGCTCACTCAGCCTACTAGTCCCATTTAGGATGGGTTCTACTTCATAAGTTCGAGCACACACCAACAAAACCATACTCACTTGAGGGCATATGCAAATAAACATATAACAGCATCACTTCAGTCCTACAAGGACTTAAAAGATGCATCCAAAACCAAGTATTGGACTGAGAGCTGTTGACAAAAGTGAACTTCCCCACGTCACCAAAATCCGAATTTACAGGACATTAAGCACACTTTGCTGCATTTTCTTTCCTGCCTGTACATGAAATTGCAGCGCACACCTCACCTGCAATTTAATACAGGCCTGCTGGTTCTCAGGAGGTGGATCCCTGCTACAATTTCGGGATAAGGCAGGCAGGGCTAGAGATTTTCACAGTCACTTAAAAACCAAGGCAGTGATTATTAATGTATGAATGGTAAAACCACTTAATCTTACGAAGGAATTCCTATTTACTCTCTGCGGCTAGCGTTTAAAGGCCAAGATCAAACAGTACACTCAACATAAAGGCACCTCTGGATAAAAATCAAACACAGAAGTCTGGACCTGAAAAAAAAGATAAGTTTCTGCACTTATGAAGTAAGATTTATATAGGTAAGAAAAGGAACAATTTGTAGAGCATATTCATTCCTCCTCTGTAGGGAGCACTAAATAGCACTTTGAAAGCAGGAATTTGAACAATTTTACTCCCTGGCATTACTCTGCAATGTAAAAGCATCACGTATTTAGGTAGTCCTAGGCTAATTCCAGATTCACGTTGGTGAGACCACCACAGCTCAGCCACAAAATGGGAGAGGAGACGGGGCTGTGCCCACACCGCTCCCACAGGGCGCCCACCCCCCGCCAGGAGGGCTCACAAAAGGCACCCCACAGCCTGCACACCGCCACCGCGACCCGGCAGGGCAGCCCCAAGCCCCGTCAGAGGGCGGTCAGAAGATGGCAGCCGGCGGCAGGTGCCCGCCGCCCCTACCGGTGCTGCTTGAAGAGGCGGTCGGACTCGCGGAAGCCGTTGTTCAGCAGCAGGTTGATGCCGGCCAGCGCCAGCTCCGCGTCCTCCACGGGCAGCGGCGAGTCCCCGTCCTCCCGCCCAGGCGGCGGGGGCTGCTCCGAGCCGGCCATGGCGATGAGGAGAAGGAAGAGGAAGGAGGAGGAAGAGGAGAAGGAGGAGGAGGAGGGAGCGGCTCCCCCTGCCCCTCAGGGGTACAACGGAGGCGCCGGGTGCCCGCGGCCGGGCCCCGTCCCCACAGCCGCCCGCCCGCCCTCAGCAGCGGCGCAGGCGCTGAGGCGGCCACGCATGCGCGGGGCGGGCTGGGAGTTCGTACCTCAAGCTCTAATTGTTATTATTTTTTGTTATTATTTTATTTTTTCCTTTCTTTTCTCCTCAGTCTGCGTGGGGTCTTGCGTCATTTCACATCACCACGCCGGGGTGTGCAGCGCGAGTGTGTGCCCGCTGCCCTCCCTCCCTCCCAGCAGCCAAGCGACTGGGGCTGTGCACAAAGCCCGCTGTTTCTTTTCTTTCTAGCAGAAAAAATAAATAAATAAAAAATAAAATTATGTTTTCCATCTCGGTCTTAGCTGGTGGCAGAGCTCACTCCTGCAGAGACCGGAGCCGCTTATTTCTAGAGCAGGGACTTGGTGACTTCCACAGTGCAAGCCCAGCAGGGTCTAAAAACCCGTGTTTACGCCCTGCCCCTCAACACCTCTATTAACTATAACGTGAATTTGTCTGTGAAACAGACAGCGTTTTCCAAGTCCTGTTGGGATACAGCCCGGTCTCGCTTCTTGTTCCAAACACTGGATATATGAGAAAGTACGCTTGCATAAATGTACCCATCCTGAGCAAACAGCCGAGTATTGCAGTCTGAAAATATACCCACAGTGTTTTCACCCCCACCCCACCCAACCCCCTTTTGAAGGAAGAGGTTTTATTTGTTGTGCTTAAATTTGGGTAGAGACAGAGGCTATTACAACCTGGTCTGGTTTCCTGTCAGCTAGGGCAGTGCCACAGATGCTCTTGTGAAAATTTAAGGATCGCTTTTTTTTTTTTTTTTTTCCCCCTCACTAATATGCAAAAGAATGGGACCACAGTCTGCTTTTAGAACCAGCCCATCTTCCCCGTCTAGAAAAAAAAATCCATCTTCCTGTGAATCAAGGAGCAATATTTCCATAGTATATGTCCTACAGGAATAGCTACCACCACCTAGGGAAATACTCTGTACCAAAAACATCTTGAAACAATTCTCTTTGAAAAGCAAGGATCATCTGATGCCGGCAGCCTTCTCAAATCTGCCAGGTATGGATCAGATGCTTTTGCTGATTCCCAGTCCCTCTGTCTTACCCAGCAAAGCCTGATACTCAGGTGGATGTTTAAAGAGAGTGTGCCTTCTGTTACAGTGCACATCTCCAAAACAGTGTGATCTGCAGAGTCTCTGAATCTTCAGGGACTTTTAGGAAGTCAGTGCAGACGAAACTACATGTTCGCCAACGTACTCACTGCTTTACATGTGAAATTTGGACTCCACAAGTTCAAACAGCCTCGAAAAAAAGGAAGTTGCAGCGTGCAGTAGCACCGCCTTTATTCTGTTTCAGTTGTGTTCAGCACACTGCCTTCCAGATAACCTTATAGCAATAATTTTTTATTATTATTTTTTTTTTATCACCCATGCAGGTTTCTGTGGGCAGGAGTTCATGGTGAAGTGGTTTATATTACAATTTCTCTTAGCCATATGTAACCAATTTGATCAAGAGGCAATGAATCATGGATTCCTTGAGAACTAGGGACAGCGAAGGCAAACTCCTACCTCTGAGTACCAGTGAAGAGCCAAGTCCTTTGTGAAACACCTACTCCTTTTCCAAAGCTAGACTCTGTTTCCTAGCCCCTGTGGTTGGATAACAGTGTAGCAGGGCTGTGTGCTCTCTACAGCTTTTTGGCCCCGTGTATAAGGAGCTAGAATTCTTGGAGGTCTTCTTTCTAGCTCCCTTTTTCTCCAGGCTCTGCTCAGGGCTGGTACTGACGATCTGTTTTCTGTAACAAATGCTTTTACAGCTCTCCGGTAGCTAGTTATTAATTTTGAAACACAAGGCGTGAATAGCTAAATCAAGTCTCCAGATACATGGCTATAAATCTGTGGAAAAAACTTGGCAGAGCAAATCTGCACTTCAGCTGCTCAAGTAGGAAAATAACACATTTGAGCACCAGTAATGAAGCAGCATGACACCTGCAGTTTGCCTCCAACAGCTTAGCAGCAGCAGTTTTACAGTGCCCATAGTTACGCACTGCATCAGAGCTGCCTTCTTTCGGAAGAACTCGATCAGAAATCAGCAGGGCTGTAAGTTTCCCTGTCTGCACGTAAGGGCAGATGAGGTCTTGTGATGGGTCACTCTTCGTTTGATTTAAATGGAGGATGTGGTATTGCTGATTCAGCCTACTAAATATGGTTGAGGAGTGAGGAAACAAAGTGAACAGAGCTGTGTGAATGACTTGTGATGGCTAATCTGAGCTAGTATGTACTTCTCATTTCACCAACACTCTGGACATCTTTCTTGTTATATATACATATATATATTTAATTCCTGAGAGCACACTATCATGCTGCTATTATCTTTCTTGTGAAAAGAAATTGAGGAAACTGGTTTGTAATTAACTAACTTAAGGCCAATAAAGTAAGTTACCGATGGGGAGCAAGAATTGTAATTTACATAAATCAAAGGGCCTAAAATTTCCAAGACTTTACTCTGGTTTCCCAGCAGTTGTTAAAATGATAAAAGACAAAGTGGCTACAATATTTGCATCCTGTAAGAGACTGAGTGGTGGTGTTTTTACAGCTGTTTTGCAGGACACTGTTGTCATACTTCAATATAGTCTGTACCTTTGAATGCTGAATTGTTCTTCCCTTTGACAAGCTTTCCAAGCTTCTGCCCTGCCTTTGTTCTTCTGAGAGGGAAAAGTCCTGCAGTTGTCATCCTCACAAAGTCCCTGAGTCAGTATTTCTTTTTCATTGGTAATTTTCCTCTGTAAGTCTAACAGGAATTTAGCTCTATTATAACCTCCATGAGCTACAGAGAATGGTAAAAATGATAGCAGGAGAGATTTAAAAAACAAACAAACAACAACAATAAAAACATATTGATTTAGCTAAAGGCTTGGAGAGAAGGAATTAAAAACAATAAAAGACCTTATTCTTATTTTTTGAGTATAATTTCTTTACTCTGTAAATTAGGTTCCAGTTGTCCCACGGTCCCTTTCTGCTGTGTCTGGATGAGGCAATCTAACCCCTTGCTTCTGCCTCAGAGTGCCCTAAATCTGATTTTGATGGGTTTCTTTTTACCTATTTTGTTCCAAAATTCTACCTCTGTCTTGGAATACCTTAATAAGCCTGGTGCAATTTGGACTTCTTAAGATGGAGATGAAATTTCAGCAGTGGATTTAGAATATTTGATCACCAGCAATTAAGTTAGCGTCACTGCTCATTTAAGTAAAAAGAAGTAAAATCCTTCAGAATTGAATTAACTTTCTTTCCTGTGTTGCAGAAAGCCTGACTGTATTTGGAAACCCCAGTAAAGATCCTGGCAATGTCTCCCACATTTTTCCAAGTTCAGATGCAAGCCTGCAGAGTCAGGTGTTGTAATTTTGAATTCCTTTCAGGGACTTGCCATTCTGGTTAAATACCAGGTGCAGCCCCGTTGTATGTTACGCAGGGGTGTAAGAATCCAGGACGGAGCTCTCTGTTCCTCACCAGCTGTCAGAGGGACGTGCCCTGTGTCAGTGACTGCCAGTAACAGCGAGTGAATGCATAAATGTAAGTATCCTCCCTTCCTGAATATATTGTATTTTGAAGGAAAAAAAAAAAAAAAAAGCCTAAATTCACAAGTACATTTCTAAGGAAATGTACATCATAAATAGCTAAAGCCACTTATTCTTGCGCTTTGTGCCTCGTAATGTACCAGTGACTCTTGCAACAATGAAGGTGCCTGCCTATTGTGTCTTATCACTTAAATATTAATGAATGGTGAGCTCTACATCTGTTATCAACATGCGTGTTCCATACAGCACAGCAACTAAGCGGTAGTACAAAACTAAGCTAATCTTCAGAGCTGGCTCTTCACATTTTCCTGTTAATATGCATTGTCATTTTAAGGGCTACACCCTGCCTAAGGACAGGCACGTGTGTTGAAATAACTATCCTCTTCTGTCAATAGACAGGGACTATGCATACACATTGTGGGAAAACAAAACACATTTCGTGAGCCTCTTCATCCAAAGTCTTCCAAGGGTACTGAAACTGAGTCTTTTGACTCTTTCCTCTGATTAAAGAGCTTTACAGTAATAACAACTGGAAGAATAACCTACACTTGTGGCAGTGGACTTTAGTTCAGAGTCTACCTCTCCTTCCTCTCACAAGCTTTCTGTTTTCTTTGCTTATTTTTCACAGGTAGCCTTTCCTGTACGGAGAGCTATTGGTTGGAAAGTGATTGATTCCTCTGTCCTGGTCTCTTGAGCATTCATTTGCAGCTGCTCTTTTCTGTTTCCTCGGTATTTCCAGTCTGTAACTGTGGCTTTTCTACACAGACAAACCATGGGGATGGCTGGGGCCGAGCAGGTGAAGTTCCTGTAAAGTCTAAAGGGAAAGTGAAAGGTGAGACAGAGCAAGTAAAACAATTTCTAAGTGTTCTTACCTGGTGCTGATCTCTCCCGATGGCTTTTTAAAATATTTTGGTTATATTTAATAATGTTTGGTTTTATCTACACATATAATTGCTCTGGACCCAGTATACACTCAGTCACATAATGGGATAAATTCACAGGCAGAGACACAGTTATTTTTACTTAGGCATATGAAGGTGTGTAATTTTTGCTATATAAAGCATGCTAAATGACACAGCACTTCGGTGGTGGTGGTTTGTTGTGTTTTTTTTTTTTTTTTCTTCAGAACTTGCTAATGGCCAAACATATGCACACAGAGTTTCAGAGAAAACAAAGCAATGCAAAACTATTAAAGACTAGCAGCTGCTCTGCTCAGGCGGCAGCCACATGCTGGCCTGCTCAATGAAAATTAATTGGAAAAGCTTCCACACAAAACAATCATCATCCTACTTGAATTTTTAAGAGCCAATTTAGGATGTTTTACTTTTAGAAGAATAATTTCTTGCAGAGGTCATTTGATTGCAAAAATACGTGCTTAACCTAATTGTATGGCCAGTGAGTGTGAAATGCAAAGCAAGAAGTGATTGCCAGAACTGAGCTAGTTCTAGTCCTGTCCTTTCTGGGGAGTCAGGATGAATTCCTCTAGATCATAATAGACAAATGTTTGCCTAAATGTCCTTAAAATATTTTCACTATGGAAAGTCTGCAAATTTCCCACTTTTTCTTGTTTCAGCAAGCAGTGAAAACAATTGATTGCATCTTAGTTACAGAAAGAGATGGATAACAGCAAATTGAAACCAGTGAGCTCAATGACTTCGTGTGTGAGGGAGTGAGGTAGGCCGTCTTGCCCAAACAGGAATATATAAACACTATTTGTCCCAAATAATACACTTGTTTTTATCCTATGGGATCTTGTTTGGGTCCCTGTTAACAGTTCACATTGTAGAACAAATAACAACCCATCAATCCCATTTACTTTGACCTTTCAGAAGCAGGCCGTATATTTTAAATACTCTTACTGATCTGCTTTGGAGATTCCCCCTAGTTTTCCTCTTTTTTTTTTTCCTACTTTTTTTTTTTTTCTTGGTGTGTGCATGAAGCCATTTTGAAGACCTCATGCATTTGAGAAGGATTTATCTCTATATATTAATCTGTATATGTATATACATTTTTAACTATACGTATATTATTATAGTATTCATGAACAAACCGTTTGCCCAGTTACTGAGGATGTGCCTTTGTACTTCCAAGCTTATGATGAACAGTGAGTAGTCAGCAAGGCCACAGATAACCTGTGGCAAACATAACAGCTTTAGTAGACACCCTTCATGTTAGTGCTCCCTCCTGGTCCTCATAATTTAAAATAATCAGAAACCCTTGTAGATTGGTGTATATTTAAATGTTTAGAATGGGATAAATATAATATCTTGCTAAGGTATATTTTCCTTTTACTAGTTTAGCAGTAAATATTTTCTTGCAGGTGTCATGCAGCTTGATGCATAATGCCGTTTGAAATGAGATTATGTAAAGATTACTCGTCAGAAACATTCTTACTTTTCTACCTTCATTTGGAACTTTTGGCATTGTATATATTTTATATGCAGCATTTTAATACTTTTCACTAGCTTATTCCTCTAGAAAAATAGATTGTCCAGTACTGGATTACAGAGGTTTTATTTTGGCCATGTTGGTCTTAAGGTGTGTTCTTCAGTTTTGAAACCTGCACTCCTTGTACCTCATCTTTCTGAGAGTGGGAAATATTTTGTTAAAAATTCTAGTGACAAAAAAAATATCAGTAGACCCCATTGACAGGCTTTTTGTGACACAAAACACGGGATTATGTAGACGCTTTGCTATTTCTGATGTTCAGGTTAATTGTCTGGGTCTCTTTCATGAAAGGTAGTCACAACTGCAATGACCAGTACTTGAAGTAAAGAGAAAGGAAGGCATGAAAGAGAGATGGGCTGCTATTTGGGTGTGAAAGGCACCAAGAGCTCAACTTGAGAAGGAGAGGAAGGCTCGAACCAGCTGTGGTAAAACCATGAATCTCCTGACATTAGTAACAGTTGCAAGCAGTAATTTCCACACATATGTCCTTGTCCCATTTTCAGTTTCTTGTTGATGTAAGTTTGTAGGTGTACAATAAATCTGCACCTGTCTGTGCATTGACATTGGTGGCTATGCTACACCACAGCATTCAGCAGTCTACAACCACCTCAGACTAAAGCATCTTGACTTTCTATAACTGGAATAGACCACGCAAATTGTTTTTGTTTGAGCAGCCCTGTGAGCAGTGTATATGCCTACAAAGATGGTGAGCTTCTTCCCCTGCATATATGCTGTGGTAGCTACTGATATCTCTGTCCCTGATTATTTCAGTTCCTTATGTTTTCGGAGTTTAATCCTGTCTCCTGGAACATAGTGCTCTGTTCTTTACAAAACTCTTCTCTGAGGCTTGCACACACAGACATGGCAAGTGGCTTTTAAAAGAAGCAGTATGATCTGCAGCATATATCATAAGACAGAAAAGAAGCCTAAAAAACATATTGAGAGACAGATGCTACCCCAGACATCGAAGTTTTTATTTCTGGATACTAGCTTCTCATCTGTGAAACTTGTGCTTTGGTCTGAACACTTTTACTGCTCTCTAAGCAATACAACTAATTGTGCAATTTAATTTAGAGGATGTAAGGAAAGTCATCTTGTCTATCTGTATAAACTTGAAAGGATTATCTTCTATTACGTGTGTATTCAAGCCTTATGTATATTTATATTTGCTCAGGCTACAGGATTATCTAGAGGCAACAGCTAGACAGATCCTTATGCTTATGTCATCTTTATTCTAGTAGTTGTTCCATAGTCATAAGCGTTTGGTCAAGTCCATACAACATTCTTCGCATTTTGACATGTAAAATTATAAAGCAGACATTAAAAGTATGTATTTGTAATTTGATGACGTTATTTTCCATAGCTGACATTTAATTTAAAATGCAGTTTAAGAAACTGGTAGCTGATGTTTGACTGGCTAGGATATGAATTGACAGCTCCAAAAAGGAAATTAAGCAGAATCAAGAATGCACGGTACCTCCTGGTACTTAATGAAATAAGCAGCAGCATACAGTTATAAGGTTCAGTTCTCTAAAATAAATAATGTTAATGCTCACCAGTAGGTTTTCCCACTTTTCCACTTTTGGAAACCTATGCCATTTTTTTGGAATGCACACTCTGTCCAACTGTTTTGTAACACGTTTTTATTTGGGCACTTGGCAGTCCAGGAATTAGGAAACGCTCTTGAGAATTAAACATTCTCCTGAACAGTGCCTATCAGAACTTGTTCCCGCTATCAGACGTGGCAGACAGCATTTGCCCAACGAGTGAAATGCTGCATTGCAGATGATGGGAAATGGCAAGCCAAGATTCTGTGTGCATCTAATGATAATCGCAGGAGCGACTTACAAATCTTACCATGCATCAAAGTTCCTATGGAAATAACTGCAGGATGACAAATCTAATAGCCCTCTTTTTTTTCTTTTTCTTTTTAAAGTGTGTTTGGATTCTGAAAGCATTCCTGCCCTTAAACAGCACCGTGCCTTTTAAAACCACACATCAGGTGAATTTTTCTGTATTGACTCACCATTTATTGTTCTACCAACAGGGTTTCATGAAGCTGAGAGCTACGTACCACGTAAGCATCTTCAATTGAGTTGTGTAATTTCAGCCATTATGAGTTATGCACAGCAATAACAGGATAATACAGTGAGAAAAGCTGTGCTTTTACTGCAGGCCATTTCTTCGGAGTTCCTCTTCCAGACATAGCACAAGGAGAAATCATCTTTTATTTTCTCAGTGCACTCTCCCATTTTTCATTCCATTAGCATTTTTCTCCAATGCTCTTTTTCTTTCTGCTGCAGTTCATTTACCAAGAGTTCCTCTCTTTTTCCTTCCATTCCTTCTATTTTATTAACAGTTTCACTTACCTATTTTTTGCGGGTTGTAAGCACATATAAATACACTTCTATCTCACATCTCTTCATTTTATATGCCTTTCACTTGGGGTTCATCCTACATTGCCCTAGGTTCAAGCTTCAAACCATATAAAGCACAGAAAAAACAGTTCATATATATGAATTTCTTTGGTGTAAGGTAGAAATGGATAAGATGCATATGAACCCACCACTGATGTGCCTGGCTCATCGTGAAAACAGTGAGTTCAATAGGGATTTCTTCCAGTTATCACCGAAGACACTGAAAGCTAAGCAGGTGGAGAGATGCTGGCAGATCTACTGCCATGGATCCAAGCACCGTACTATCATCACGATGAGTCAGAGTATCGTAATACGGAGATGCCAGGAGCTAACCATGCTGTATCTGGGTAACTCAGTTCTGAAAAGGATGAGTGACAAAAGCAGTTATAATGACATATCTTCTCTGTAATTGGAAGCAGGAGATAATTCCCTCTGGCTTGTTCCTTTTTTCAGGGAGGCCTGTTGACAACTCTGTACGATGGCTTTTGTAAAGCTAGGTCGTAAGGCAGTCTAATTAGTCCGTAGGACTGTAATCAAGTGCTGCATCCATCTTCAGGGAATTTGTTCAGTGGGTTTCTTGCTGCTATTCCAGATGGTGCCTTGGGAACTCGGAGCTGAGTTGGCTGCTGCCATGTCCTCTCACGGCTTATGGTCAAGATGGTGTACGGGTGTGCTTCTGTTAGGGAATAACTAACCCCCTCCACTGGTTATAGAAAGCATAGAGTAGGCTGATTATAGAGCCTGGAGTAGATATCCAACTTTTATGTAGCTGGAGTTGTGAGATGAGTAACCATAAACATTACTATTATGGTAACAAATGTTATGGGTCTTATTATTTAGGCAGATGTTACATAGCCAGTCCCAATGGTACTGGACAGTCTCAGATACACACAGGTCCACGTCTGGCCATTCTATTTGCTTAAAATCAAGTATCGTTGAACTTTCCGTGGACCCCAAATCAAAAATAATGAGTTCACCTATGCTAACAGTAAAAGCCTTAACATTTTTCTCTGGATTTGGTGGTGGAATGTGCTCCCATAAGCATAGCTGTGCCTGAATTGCAGGCGCATGTGACAGCGCTTGGTGGTGCCAGCCAGGCTTGTTTTCTGCATTGCTGTTATAGGCCATTCACAAAAAAAACTGTATTAGCATTCCCCACTGAAACATGGGAGACTTCATTTAATCTATATGAAAAGCAAACTCGTTTTCAACCAGGTCTCTTGGGCCTGAATAAGTTCCCGAAGCTGCAGTTATATTTTTATAGTGTGAATTTATACTTTATATAGTGTGAATTTATCAAAGTTGGGAATGCCTGCTTACTGTTAACACACACAAGTCAATCCATGGAAATGTTACCCAAGAACATTGTTTCATACACGTGCAGGAATCCTCCAGCAGGGTCATCATGTAGGTGTGAGACGCTCACTTCAACAAAAGCCTTGATCGGGTAGCAAATGCGAAGGGCCACATGGAGTAATCCCTGTTGTCCAGGTTATGAAGCCATTCCGTATCTAATCATTCCTCAAGGCACAGCGGTCCATCCCTTTGATCACACTGCAGCCCTTTCTTCTCCTACTTGTGCCTGCCCTATTACTGTATTCCATTTTAGCACACGGATAAATTAAAAGATACGATGCCAGAGGGTAAAATCCAGAAACATGCAACGCAGTCTTGGGTTTTCCTTGAACTAGAAGTTTGACTCTAAGCTGTGTCTCTTGGTATCCCCTGAGCAACATCTGTTTTACCTGTCTGGAGAATCTGACTCTGTTACAAGAGAAATGAGGACACCTCTGCCACCTCTGCTAGGTGACAAGATGCTGTCCTTGGTTCTGTTGCCAGGGGACTCTTACAGCTCATAAGACAGGCACAGGATATATGTATTTACTCAATGTGATAGTTTTAAAGTATGCCTTTCGTGGGTCTGGAGTAGAAGCTCTAGGGCTTCTTCACAGCTGCAGGGATTGGAGATCTCAGCTTTTGCCTTGGCTGTCTGCAGAGGCAAAGGCCAGGCAGAGAAGCCATTAGCAGTCAGCAATGACATTTGGCTTCCTCAGAGCTGAAAGGTGCAACTAGGAACAAAACCAGCTTAGCCCCAGCTAAGCTGGGAGGCAGACACAGGTGTCTGGTTGCTTGTAGCACATCTTACACAAAGAGTAGCTTCTAGTAGAAGGTGGTGTCTCAAACAAGGTTCATCCTGGTCACTGCTGTGTTATGGGGTTGAAGCTCAGCCATACAACTGCCTCCACAAGCGTAAAGCTCTCAGTGCCTCTCAGAGATGCGTGCTCAAGAGGGCCCTCGGAGGGAAACAGAAGAAAAGGAAAAAGGGGTGTGAAAATCTCTCTTATGACTAATTGCTGTTTGCAGCTGCAGATAGACACGTGTTTAATTATCTGCTATAGGCATGCAAATTGCAGCTGCTGTTGCGAGAATCCAGATGTTCTCTTCCAAAATACAAAGTACAACAAACAAAAGGAAAAGGGCCAGAGTGCGGAATAAAAGGGGCTAGGAGTGTTAGCTTCGTGCTGTTTTCCTTCCTGACATAGGCTAGGCCTGTCCTACCCTTTTTCTGAGTTCCCTGTGCAGAGATTTGTAGGTCCACGGGGAGGACATCAGCTGCCTGGCAGGGCAGCACTGAGCCTCGGGCTGGAAGGGAGCAGCAGCTGGGCTCCTTGCTGCCACCACACAGCCCAAAATGGTCCAGTGAAGCTATTAGATATCACAGTTCCTAGCTAGCTTCTTCCCTACAGACATCCCCATTGGCAGGGGTAAGTCCTCTCCTGTTTCTTTGCACCTAGCCTCTAGGATGGCCAGATTCTGGATGGCCAGATTCTTCCAGATTTTTTTTTTCCCTACTGGTAGAAAATATTTTTTTCGTAGAAACTGAATCGAAGCATTCTTCATTGCACTCTTTGTAACAAACCGCTTTCTGTAGGATCTACACATGGTGTTCCCAACATCTGAAAACAATAGGTTAGACAAACAAGACTACAGCCTTTCTCCTATCAGCTATAATCAGGGAACAATAAAGCCATGCTGATTTATACCGATCACGCACCTGGCCTTTGTTCTGTTTAATGGCATTCAGTCTGTGGAAGATTTAACTGATTCACTCCCATTTAATGAAATAACGATGATCATCAGTGTTTCTGCGGTGTCTGTTTTGAATTAGATTTGCTCTGAGTGTATACGTCACATTGAACTCATTTTATCTTTCATGATAAATGCAATATACGTGGATTCAGTGATCACTTCTTCCCAAGCGGCTCGGCAGCGGGCACGTTTCCTTCCTTTAACGTGGCAATGTAAAGTCACAGGATCCCCACCACTTACCGCTCCTATGTTCAGAATGCGGATCTCTTCTTTTTCATGCAGGGGTAAGGAAATTCCCAGAAGGATTTTTCCTTTTCTTTGGGTCTGGTAAAGGCATAGCAGGACCCAAGTGGTTGCTTCTGATGGAGGGGAGGACAGGAGAGGACGGAGGCCAGGCGGGCTCTGTGGGTGTTCAGAGGATTTGGCTCGCTGCTGGTGTCCTTAGACCACCCATCACTGCCACCCTCACCCCTGGTATTCATCAGTCACCATGGGCTCTTTCCTTGGACTTTTCCTTTCCTCCCCCGCTGCTGCAAATGCTATTTGTATTTATCTGAAGTTTACATTTACGTATATTTATGTAAAAAAAGGTCATCTCAGGTTTTCTGGAGACTGTGTCCAGCCCTTTATTACATAACTTTTAATCTGCAATAAAAATTCTCTGTAAAACTTGGCAATAACTTAAGAGCACATTTTTATAAACTGTATTTAGGGTTTTCGGCGTGTTTTAATAAAGCCTATGAGCCAAAGTCCTGTGAAGTGGTTAGATCCTTCCATTAAGCTGCTGAACTTTGGATCGTGCCTATGTATTTTCTTGGAGAGCTGCCCAGAGTGCCTTTAGCTTCCTTTGTACTAGGTTACTCTGTCCCCAGGGGGACGACGTTACCTTTGATTTAAGCGAGCAGTTAGCCCTTTATTACTCACTTGACACCTTTGCTCTGAGGTAAATTTTATGGGTTGATACCTTTGCCTTAGCTGGAGGAACTGGTGACGGTTTATTACTAACCCCTGAGGTGTGCAGGATCCAGATGGATTTTCTCATCAGAAAATAATCAGAAGGCTCTAGAATTAAGATTTATGGCCGGTGCTGTTACCTAACAGTGTAAATCTTCTACCCGAAGTAGTGTCTCAGAGGGATAGATCTTGGCTCAGCATCACAGAGCTGCTGGGGCTGGAAGGGACCTCTGGAGGCCACCTGGTCCAACCCCCGGCTCAGGCAGGAGGACCTAAAGCCTCTTGCTCAGGATGACATCCAGGCAGCTCGTTCCATTATGAACACGTTGTTAATTAAAACTATCTGCAGGAGCTGGATGCAGAGCCATTTATTTTGGTATACTTGGAAAGTGTTTTCTTTGTTATCGCTTCAAGCTTCAAAAGCCAGATCTGGGAAGTTCTTTCAGGACTGAAATGCTGATAGTGACAGCTGTCTTTCATACGAATTTATGAAGCACTGAGCTTCCGATGCACATAATTATTCATTCTTACCAGCACACAGTCCTTCTGTGAGAGGGATCTTAGACATAGGCTCCTGCACAACACAGAAATCTGTTGCTGTTCCAAGCTTAAATACAACTGAACAGAGACAAAATGATCACGATGCCCACCAACTGCCTTTTTATCCTGTGTAATAACGCTCAATCTTTATCAAGGAGCAAGAGACATCTTCACTGCAGCTCCAGCAGTGACCAGCCTCTTGCAGTTTTGGGATGTCTGGGCCAGCTACACAAAGGAGGTTTGTGCTTATGCCTTGCAGTCCTAATGCCTTGAGTGAAGCTGTAACATTGCATCATGGCCCTATCCCTTTTTAACATAAAGCAATTCCTTTTGCCAGGGACATCCATTTAATGTATTTTTAGAAAGTGCAGACAGATTTACAGGAGACTGGACCACTGTGCCCTAAATTTCCTTACCTCAGTGGAGAAAGATGCTGAACTTTTCAAACGAAGAAACCACAAAGAAAATGGTAGGAGGCAAAAAGCACGGTAAGAGTTCATTACAAAGCCATAATGCATTTATAGAGATTTCAGTGAGACCAAGTTTTCCAGGCTACTCCACTAATTTTATGAGGGACAAAAATGAAGCAGAGGGGAGTTTAAAAAATAAAATTAAAAAAAAAAAGGAAAAAACAAAAACCACACACAACAAATAATTCACCAAGGACTCCAGAAGAGGCAAAGCTACCAGCAGGAGCATGGGCTAAGATGAAATGGCTCACAGGTGACTCCAAAGAAGTGGTTGCAAAACCAAAGAGAATTAATCCCCCCAATTCATATTGCTGCTGACTGCAGGGCTTAGGGCTCTGTATTTACACGAGAGCTCTGCAGTAGCAAAAGCACAGGCCTTCAAGGAGAGATAGAGGAAGTCTGCTAAGACGTCTTAATTGGAAGCTTTTGTTAATTAGAGACTTAAATAACAGTGTCATTTATAAGCAGTGAAGTGAAGAATGTTTTCCTTGTATATACACACCTTTTTCTACGGTAACTGTACTATTTTTTCCCTGACTGCCGTGTGATCTATTTCATTTTATTTGACTGCACACCTCAGTGTTATGTCTGTTAACTGGCTTTCAGCTCTCATTATAATCTGGCCGTGTTTTGTAGTCATAATAAATGGGAGCTCATTGGACTTAGTGTCATCCACCCCCAGATAACATGCTTCTATTAAATCCAATCCAAATTAACTGGAGAAGAACCCCTTGCCCTTGACACAGCTAAGGGAGGGGCCTGGCACTAGCAAAATCAATGTGGTTTAATCTGGAGAGGAAATCTGCTCTCCTTATGTAATTGATCTGGGATCCAGACGAACCTATAACATCAGTCTGTTAAAGTGCCTCTTTAGCTATGCACTTGCAGCATACTGAGTGTATTTGATACTCTTTCAACTATCAAATGCCAGCACTGGAATGATGAAAGTCTTGCAAATATTACTTATAGCAATAAAAAAACAAACAAACAAACACCACCAATCCACCCTTAAAATCAGAGGCACTTTCAACTTTATTTTTAATATATTAGGATTTTACTGGAATTAATACTTACCAGCTATTACAACATACATTTACATAAGTCTTTATACATTTTTCATTTCTTTCCTGTCAGCATTAAAAATATTTCTGACAAAATAAAATGAAGCGGAAGGAACTGAAGTCCAGGACTGGCTCCAGACTGTGCGGCAAAGATCTTTGCCATATTTGCTTATTTGATGGGGGAAGGGAAGAAGGAAAAGGCTATCTTGGGGCTAGGGAAAACCTGCTTCAGTGAGCAGCCTGATGGGCATGAGACACTGAAATGTTAAGAGAAAATATCCTGATAAAGTTTAACAGTTCTTCCTTTCTCCACACAGAAATTATCAGCGCCAGCTCAGGCCAGTAAACCAATTGTGCATTTCCACAGTTTTGGTCACCTGTACACCTGACAATCTACTTCAAAGGCATTATGTATAGAAAGGATTCAAGTATTGCTATCTGAAAATTTCTAAATCCTACCACCCCTAGGCACGTGGGTAGTTCCTTCCCAACTGCAGGCAGCCATACAGGAGAAGCAGTTTTTGCAGAGTACCTCTAGAGAAAGGGCATTTACCCTTGTGTGCCAATCCTCTGCTCCCTCAGAGACATCAACCCTGGCATGCTTTCACCCCATCCCACTCCACAGAAGTAACTCCATCACTGAGAACCCCCTCTATGGACAAAGATACAAAGTTGCTGTGAAAAAAAAAAGCAATGCAAGATTGTGCATGAGCAGCTGTCTGACACTTTTGTCACTCCAAAGACCTGAAGCTGCAAGAATTTAATAAGGGATTAACAAGCACAGCTGTAAGGGCTATTGATCTGGGCTCTTCTGTTAATCCAGGCAGTACTGTGAGGCCACACACACTGCGAGGACATCCTGCTGCACCTGGGGCAAGAAGACAGTGGAAGGTGGGAGCAGACATTACATGAGGTGGGAAGGAGGTTTGTTTGCATCGCTGTCTCCTCCCGCCTAGTGGCCAGCCTTAGAAAAAGTTTTAATTTAACAAAAAAGGGATGGCATCAGTGAACTGGGAAAAAAATAAAAGAGCATCAAAATGCTGCTTTTTGAAGGACAGTAGAGGGTGAAGCCAAGTCAAGTATTTATTAAAATAAAGCAAAGTCGGTCCCCTCACTCCACCATGGGTCATGATCAGGTACAAGGATTTGAATGCCAAAGAAAACAGTTTTGCTGGTTTAGTCCTGAAGTTCACACTACCTAACTGTGCCTCATGCAGCTGCTGTTTCTAAAGTAACTTGTCTTCATTTAATCAGGAAAAAAAAAAAAAAGGTCTATGGAGGAAACTACGGAGGAAACTCTCTGGCTCTGAAGCTTACAACAAAAAAAATACTCTGAGGTTTTTACACAACCAAATTCTAATAAGCAGAGATAATGGACTCCTGCTTATTCAGGCAGACCAACTCCGTAAAGCTACAGAAATATTTGTGTTAAGCAAGCAGGATTTAGTTGTCTGTAAAAAGGACATCAAAGAAATACCAGATTGAAATAACCAAACAGGAAAATGGATGGTTTTAAAAACATACTGTATTTATTTGGCCCCAGAATTCCTCGCATTGTAACAAACTCCCAGAGTTTCACTCCTTAAAGTGCTTCAAACTCCATTTATATTATTATTACTTTTAACATTAATGTACATTTCTGTATAAACATTCTGTTCATCAGTCCAAAGATATTTATAGTTTTTATATAATTCTTTATATTAGTGGATCAAATTTGCTCTCAAGATGACCAGCATTAAGGCAAATTTCTGAACTTAAGTCACCAGAGTAACTTAGTTCCATGCTGTTGTGGGTGAGAGCAGAATTTGGCCCAGTAGGGTATATACAATTATATTTTCTGCATATATTTCAGAAGACACAATGGATTACCTTGGAAATCAATAACATTTAATAGGGAGTTTATCAAAGTCCATACTTTAAGTTTGCTTTGGCGCAGTCCGCATCCAGAGGATGCATTTGCTCACCAGCTCTTGTGAATAACCAGCCTGATGACAGTGAGCCAGCGATCAGCAGAAGTGGAACTCACGCTGCATGAATTCACGGAGTTCTTCAGTAGGTCTCACCTGATGAGTGTACAAATACTGCAACAGCACAGTTACGTAGCTGGGCAGCCATGCAAACTCACTCCACCATGAACCTCTGAGATTCTCCTGGTGGATACAGGTTTGTTGTTGATGTTAATATTCCGAAGACAGCCAAAAAATGAGTCTTTAACTGGAAGCCACGGTGTGTCCAAATTTGCTACAACAAGGTAGAAAGATCAAGTTTAATAAAATGAAAATTATTTAAAAGATGAACTACATCAAGGCTTTTGAAAGAGGGAAGAATGATATAGGACTGCAAGCATGAACAAAACATTTGCTTTAGAAAGGAAAAAAAAAAACAGTAGCTACACACACAAAAAAAATAAAGCAGCAATAATATTACCTGGAATTTTGCCAAAGTAGAGTGGCTGATGCAGGCGTCTAGGAGAAAAGGGTGGGTGTCCAGTGGTATAGTTACTCTGTGTGCCTACATCTAGCTGCACAGCATTCCCCTTCTGAGAGACTGCAAAGAAGCAGGTGTATGAATACTCTTTATTAACTCTACTGAAGAACCAGCCAGATACAGCACTATTTTTAGACAGCATCTGTTTTGAAATTTAACTTTATCTTTTTTTATTTATTTATTTTAATATTTTTTATATTGATTTTATCTTAATTCAAAGTCAGGTTGACACATGTAGGTACTCTGGTGCTAAATGCAGCCCAAAAAAAGCCATGTAATGCCTTGAATTAACGCAAAACACATTGTTCTTAAGAGTATTCTCAGAATAAAAAGAAATGAAATGATTAGTAAAAATCTAGGTCTGCAATGCTTTGTGCTCACCCTTCTTTCCAAGTTTCTCAAGAACTGGTGTGATACAACATACCTGCAATTGTATGCCACTGTCCATTATACAGAGATTGCCTGGATGTGACTGTTGTCTGGAATTCTCCAGCACCACTATTTCCAGCAGCAATGATCTGTAAAATAGTTATCTGTTAAGTTACCATGGAAAAGAAATGAGAAACAGAAAAATACAGTACTTCTAGTAATTTACTGAACTTGTGGAGGGCTGGGTTTCACCTATTTTTAAGGGTCACAGTCATTGTATACCTATTCCAGAAATGATCATCTCCGGGAAGAAAGTAAATTTCCCTAATCAAATCCCAGGAGATGTATTACAGACTTTACAAGAATACAAGCAAGACCTTTGTCTCTTATTCCCTCTCAATCTTATAAATTATGATAATTCTTTTGACATAATCTCTCTGAGACAAAGTCTTTCCTACTAGGCCTCCCTTTCCTTTTTGCAAAGCAGTCACCTACACGCTAGGCATCTCCAGGGAGAATCACGGCAATGTTTCTCCAACCCTTCACGTAGCTTTGGTCTCCTTGTATTTCACTTGAGAAGCTTGTAGCTTGACTATTTACCGTGATATTTCAAACAAGAATCTGCTTGTGTTTTCTTACGTCTTGCTCCTCGTTCCTTGTAAACAGACTATTTTTCTGTGATGGTTACAACAAGCTGACCCTTTCTGAAGTTAGGTAGACTTAATGTTCCTTTAAACCATGCCAGACAACAGGTTCTGTTGAGCTGAGATGTATTTTTATTTGATGTCTATCTGGAAGCAAGCACAATGGTTTTGGGGTCCAACATACGTTCTAATGCTGTTACATTATGAAAATACAAGTGATAAAAACCACCACCGTGACACACCTGTCAACTAGTGTAGAAGGTGCTAACACAAAAAAAGACTGCTCAAGTTCTATAATGAATGTTGTTACAGAGCTGCATCAGTGCAGCCAAATGATGACTAAAATAGAAGTGGAAATAAGCCATGGAGTCCTATAGCCTCTGGCTAAAAGCCCAGCCAGTTTCTGTAAGGGCTATGAAGCCTGAGAAACTGGAGACTGTGCCCTTCTGCTGACGGCTGTGCAAAGAACACATGCATGCTAGTGTTCACACAAGGGAAGCTCCTACTGTAGGCACGGAGACGCATTAAATACTCCATTTTCCATGCAATGGTTTTAAACCATTCTGAAGAAGTTGTTCAGTCTTAAACCTTTAGACAAATGTTGTAACACCTAAGTCCAGGGTTCAAGCTCAGAACTCCTCCCTGCTGAATAATGGTAACATATAGGCTGTGATTCCGTTTCAGGTACTTACTTTTCCTTCTTCCATGTAAACAGTCAAGTAATTGTCCGGCTTGTTTCCAGAATGGAGTAATACACCTGTTGAACTCCTTGGCCGAATGGTAAATACAATCCTAAAATCCAAGCCCATTCGCAAATTGTCTGTAGAGAATTAAAGAGTGTGTAGATGAATGGTCGTTGGAAGAGACAGTTGGAAAACACCACAAAAATAAGTACAAAAAATCCTTCTGTGTACATGTATCTACATTTAAACCATAATCTCCACACTCCTTACCAATGGCAATATATCCTCCTTCCTTAAAGAAATAGATCCCCTTCTCCATGGGAATATCCAGACACGGAAGCACACCATTTTTTTGCTGAGGTGCATTCATGATTTTTCCGTTCATCTTAAAATTCCTCAGGCAACCCTTGAAACTCTTCACTGGTATACTCTGAAAGCATATTTCAAAACATGAATACCAAAGCACAATGACCATCTTTTTAGTAAGACTACCTGCTAGTTCTTTGTATTGTTGGACTGTAGACAGACAATAGTTATTTAAGGGCACCTAAACTCCATCTCTTATGCAGTGAAAAGATATTCTGAAATTAAAAGAGCTGAAAACATGAAATAGCTGATTTCGAGTTAACAGAACTCCTGCTTGCAAAACAGATGCTCCCAATGATGTGTCAGAAGGACAACACAATGGGAGTTGTAAGATCTCAAATACACCCTTTCTTTCCTAAGAGGCTGTTTATTTTAACTTGCCTTTACGAAATGCCCTGCATTGCTAATTTTCTCATTCTTGAAGTAATAGGAACAACTTCTATTTCGGATTAAAATCAAGTTCTGCATCCATAATTCCTGAACTAAGAAGAGCCTACAGATTATCACTTAGCCCACTGAGATAAACAGTCTGTGGGAAAATGCTATCCCTGGAATTACAAATGTGACTTCAGGATTTTCTATTTCTTAAAGAACAGAAATGAAAATGGCACATGACTGTCAGCTGTGCCTCAGTAGCACATGTGGGAAATATGGGTCCAGTTGAGAGCTGTGTGAACAGCTGAGGAAAAAGATCTGTAATGATCAACTGCAAGCATCGATTACAGACAGTGCTCACAGTCAGTGCTTGGAAATATCCGCCAGACCTTTTCAACATGGAAACCCTTCATATTAACACTTCCACGTGTAATTAGTGCAGCCAGGGAAGTATGTGGGAGTGGCTGCGTCACAGTTATTTACCTGTCTTTTCAGTGATGGCAGGCCTCCCAGATAGATTGGTGGCTTAATGCTGACAGGGGAATTTCTTGCTAGTCTTCCGTGCTGGGCCGCTAGACCATCAACAACAAGGAGTACATTCTTCCCATCTCTGCTGAAGACCACCTTTGCAGGGTGCAAACACAACAGAATGTGAAAACTCAAGGCCAATGAAAGCCACTGCAGCTAGAGCACCAAACAGCAAAAAAAAAAAAAAATAGGTGTTTAAAAAAATGAATCATATACAGTATAGTCTTAAAGTGAGAGTGTATTCTTCAGGCTGGTCTGAAGCTAGCCGAAGTAGAAAGGGAAGAGAATAAACAAAATACTTGCATCAAATATCAAGATGTTTTTTAAAATGAGTAGTATCTTGCACACCAACCACTCTGACTGTTGGAGAACCAGAATCTGGCCACGCTTGCTACAGCCTGTGATTGGAGTAATTCCATGCTTTCTGTGTGCATGTGACAAGAGTCAGAATTGCTGCTTTTATTCTGTATCTTAGTGATCCCTTAGTGATATTTTTTTCTTTAACTTAAGCACCATGTTGAAATATTTAAACTGAAAATAACATGCTGGGACTATTGGTTTCTGTAAGCTCTCTCATAACAGACACCTGTCAACCACATGAGCTTTCAAGCATACGAATTAACTTCAGATGGCCAAAAGGAACAATTTCATTTTCTTCTTCCCTGCCTCTGCCTAATTACTTAGAAGTTCAATAGACTGTGCATGCTGAATGTCTGCCGTGGTTTCACCACGGTTCCTGTGCCACAATACTTACATTGTGCCATTGCCCATCATTGTATTTAGTACTGGTTTTGAGTTTGAATCGTTTTCCTCCAGAACTAAGTGAAAAGACAAAATGTCCTTTTGAAATGTGGAGAGATATATAAGAATTCTCAGATGTTTCCTCCATGAAAATTATTAATCCTCTTGATGATCGAGTCCGTATATCTACAGAAAAATGTAACCTGTAGGGGAAAGTAAGCATGTTCATGCATAGGTCTCTTCTGTTAGATGTTGTATTCTTTCTGTTCTCCATAAAACTGGCAGTGAAACTCAATTTGTGAAATGCAGAATAGGGTTTGGGTGGAACCACAGTGTTCTGCATTTTCTGCACTTCTGAACAGGAATGAAGGTTTACATATTCAGGCTTAGCAGTTGGCATCAATATACTCTGTAGTTGTCTACCACATCTGTTAACCTACACAGTTTGGGAAGATATTAACAAAGGGAAAGAAATATTGAACCTTTAGAACCATTCTTCTGTTGTATCCAAAAGCATCAGCAGGAAAAAAAAATCCTAGCTTTTAGCACCCAAAGATTCAATCAGCTTTGAAGATTCAAATATTAGGATTACATTTGTATTACCTGTCTGTAGGCGAAGGTGGAGAAAACGTGTAGGATATAAAACTGTTGGGGGTGTTTCCAAGGAGATACGCTTCACTGTTGGCATTTAACCAAGTTGATAAAGTGTGGTTTTGCTGGTCATGCTGCACGTTATAATCTGTCAAATGATCAACGTATTTTTCATTCTGTAAGATAGAATTGGAACTTTTATAGAAGGTAAAAGAATAATTCAATCTACATGTTTAAGACTTCCCACCTGAGGCAGTCAACACCCTTCTCTAAATGACAGAAGTTGGTGTCATTCTGGAGCAGGTATGCATTTCTCATGGAACTTCAACACAGAAAGAACATGCTTCAGATGTGAAATGAAAGTAAAACAGTTACACCTGATTCCACAAACCATGGCCATGCGGGCAAATATTCATCAATATGGAGTGAAGATGACAGTAAAAACAGGCATACCTTGAGCATCTTAAACCTGAGAGGATTTTTGAATTCTTTCAGCAGCATTGGTTCAAGGTTCTCATGTTGGTGGCAAGGTCCAAGGGATACACCACTCTTTTCAGTATGGTCAGTGAGATTTTGAACCTCGGGGTACTGACCTGTCCTAGAGTGAAGAAAACAGTAAGTGCTGTGACACAGCATGCCTTTTCTCTAGCACAATCACCAACGCACTGTAAAACTGTTCTGTACAAATTGGATTTCCCAGTGACCTGATGTTAAAATAACAATTTTCAGTTTTTGATGGAAAATGTACATTCAACACTGCAAATTCACATTTGTCCTGATTCTGGCCTTTTTCTTTTAGCTTTAGGGGAAAAAAAAAAAATGTTTTATTCTCATCTATTCTAAACAAAGTCTTATGAGCTTTACTTTTTTAAACAACAAAAAATTACCATTGAAAAAAGTGGTAAAAGTGGCAGTAGCCTTGATTGAATAACAATTCTGGATCAGGCTACAAAACTTTTCTGGTTAACGTATGCATAGCCAGTGGCAGATCAAGAGAAAATGGAAACATCAGGTCCTGTTAGTTCAATCATTCACCTCCCCTGTAAGTAAGACATTCTAATCAGATCTATCAAGCAGTAAACCCCATCACAACTTAATATGAAGTTCTGGGATTACAGTCAAATTACCAGAAAGACCATCAACACCAATTTCCTTTGCATATAAAGAATATTATTAAGTAATACCATCATTCTGTAGGTCATACAGAGCACCTTTAATGAGTAAATTACGAAACATTTTACAACTAAGAAAAAGCGATGGAGCTCCTTGCCTATGGTTTTCTATGAGAAGAGTGCTAGGGTTGGGAGCAGAAATTGTACTTCCTCAATTTTAGTCTAGTTCTCCATTCACTTAACTAACTACAATATCAACTCTCCATCTATGTTGTATTAAAAGCAATTCTCCAGATCTGGCTTCTGATGGGGAGGTTAATACTTCATTGTCTTACACTATTTTTAAAAGAATATATAATCACAATACGCCTTTTTAAAGCTCTATACTTGTATAAATACTAATCAAAACTTAGCTAAAACAAAGCCACAGTGGTAGATCACTTGTGCCTGAAGGTGTGCTTTTCTTAAAGAACATTTTTACATCACATTTCTCTCCTAAATTTTGCCTGTAAGGTACCTCTAATACTGAAAAACACAAGTGAAAAAGAGAAACATAAATCAGGCACCTGATTTTTATACACATACTCTCATATTTGTTTGTGTAACTGTTTTGGTTCTGCCAGCAAGCTTTGCTCACTTCATTACCAGGCTCCCTGTTTAAGCTATAATGATAAAATCTAGCAGATATTTTTGGATGCCTTGTTGGGACACTTCCAATTCACTATGTTGAGTTTATTCTTTGATTAAAACACTACTAAATGGGTATGATTCAGACTAAAATTCCATTACATCTGAACAACAGATTTAATTGCGACTTGATACCATATGTAATCTGTCTGGATAGAAGAATATTTTGGAGCAGGAAAGTTATGCATTCATGAAGGTTTTAGACATGTAGGAAAAAAAAAAGCCATTTAGGAAAAATCAGTTTTAATGTGATTAAAGTAGGATGACAGGCTAAAATGCATGACACTAAAATCCTTCTAGGCCAAATACCTTTCTATAAAGATGTTTGAGATGCAGCCTTCAAAATCACCTCCACCAAATATTATAGGCTGCATTGTTATCTGTGATCTTGAAGAGTCAACCAATATCGATGTGGGCTTATCATCAACCAGTAGACTTACTCTGAAACAAGGTGAAGAAAAATGAGCATGAAATCTAAAGAAATACAGTTATGAATTTGAATGAAATATATTATTAAAAAAGAAACATTTGACAGCTGTGATTTTTCATTAGCTTGTAATTACACTACAGCTTTGTTAGCTTACTCTTAGCATTTTTTTAGGTATGTACTTATACTGAATTCCACTTCTGTAAAATTAACTCTGCTTTTCTTCTTCTCTGAATCCTTAATCACTTATGTTAGATAGATTTATAACTTACAGTGACATACATAAAAGCTATGGGAAGGGGAAGAACTCCATACCTCCAGCTTGACAAATAGACAAAACTCAAACAGTGTGTGAGACATGCATAGTGATGTACAGCTGAAACATTACAGGTACTGACACACATCTTCCATAAACCAAAAATCTCCTTTTGCTTTATTATTTCAGTATTCTCTGCTAGCACAGGGCATTTTTATCTGTGTACCCAAAGCACAATTCACACAAATTTTTAAGCTTTTACCAAGCACAACAAAAAAGAATTGGATGAAAGACTCAACTCACCTGTTGTCTCTTCTTCTTACTGTCACATAATGCATTAACCCATCTTCATATGTCTTGTTTAGAGAGAGTTCCTTCTCTCCCATCTTTGCAAATACAAAGCCAGGACTCAGAAAGATGGTAAGAATATCAGGCTAAAAAAGAATTGCACAGTAAGAGGTTTAATGCAGGTGCTTTTAGTTCTCCCTGTGTTATTGCCATTAATACAGTTGTTCCCTGTGGTCTCTTGTGGAAGAGAAATTTTCTTAGACTATAATTGCATTTATCTGTCATCTAGAGGGCCCATTTTTCCTCAGAAATTTTCCCCAGACCACTGTATTAGGCAACAGTTATCTTACTGGGATGGTGGTTGTGTGGTACATAAGCTACTCTGCAGAATGCTCAAGGTTAAAGATCAGTTTCTCATGAAACTAATTGTTGGTTGAGTGAAGAAATGCCAGGATGAGTTTCTCTGGCCTATGACATGCAAGATGGCATGCTCTAAAGATTATTATAGTAGCTATTTCTTGCCTTAAAATACAGGCATCTATGTGAGACTTGCCTGTGATGCCAAACTGACAAAGTCACAGACAAACATTCTAACCAAGAAATAAAAACAATAATAAATTGTAAGTTGAACGTGTTTCATACCCTTAGATTGTAATTTAAGAGTGTTCCAGTCGATGCCATCGTGCGGAAGCCAAAGCCAACTTGGAAATCTTGGGGAAATGGGAAACCCTCTGCACTCAGGCTCAGTGTGCCCTTCTTGGAGAAAGATGCAGATCTGATGAGCTGAAAGAGATAACAACATTTTCAGTGATTTTCCTTCTAATTTGAAGAAATGACAGTATGGATCAATAACTGCCCTACTCAATGTAATTGTGACCAACTGCAGTCCAAACTAAACACAGGGAAAACTGCACGTACAAAATTTCAGTACAGAACAGACTGAATTTGTTTCTCTAGCATTAACTCTGATGTGAGAAGCTCTACAGGGAGATGAGGCCTGCTGAGCATAACGCATTGGTCATCTCTACTATTTGCAGGATGTTTTTGAAAGTTTTCACTTTGCGAAACAGTTGAGAGGTGATTTAATTATGAAGCATAAGCACCTTGACAAGAAGAAAGATCCTGAGCAGTATTAAATATTCTGGTCTAATTAACAACAGCAACTGGAAGTCAACAAATCTACATGGTAAATATGAATTCTTAATTATACCCTGTATTAATTAAGAGGGTGGACCACTCACTGGAGCAAATTAATCACAGTAGGGGTGGAGTCTCCTTTCTTTCATCTTCATACTAAATTCAGCTTCTTGCATTACCATCACATGTAACTAAACCTAATTTTGAACCTAAGAAAAATATCACATCCAACAACAAAACAGAATCTATGAACTCTAGAAAATGTTTTAAAATACCACTCTTAGTTACCTTCCAGTCATCTGAACATTTCTTGCTGACACCAACGGTCTCATCAAAAACAACAGATGCAGTCTTAGAGTTTTTCACATTCTTCATGCAGCCCCGGAATGGAGGTGTGGTTATATTAAATCTGGTTTCAGGGAATGGAAGTAAAAAGAGTTTGGTAGTCTGATATTTCAAAGGATACACCAGTATAATAGCCTGTAAATGTTGACAATATAATAAATAGAAAACAAAAACAAAACAAAACAAAACAAAAGAGCAACCTTTATTGCACAAACATACTTCATGCTGATCAAACCTGTTCTTACAGGCACACTCAAATGAAGAACCCACAACTAGCCAAAATCACAGATTACAATCATATCTTACACACTATTTGCATATCGCATAAGACACACAATACAGAGTGCGAAAGAAATTACCTAAGGAAAGAATTTAGATGGAGTTACCATACAAAGCCTATTAAATTACAGTCTTTTTATAGCTACTCACTGTTTCCGCAGAGAAGACGGAATTCCGCCTAGATAGTACTTAGTGAAACTGAAGACTTTTATGTTGGCTGTAATATTATTGTTGACACGCACGACATTGCTGCTTCGGGCAACAAATATGTGAATCTGAAATACGTGAATAATGAGAATTACTTTGCTTAATAGAAACAAAAATTATTAAGCACATTACACTCAGAGCAAGATTTAGCAGATGACACAGAGATCAGGACACTGAATTATTTTTCCTCCTCCTGTGTACTAGTGCTTTAAATTCATAGTAACAGCAGTAGTTCAAAGGTACTTGAAAAATGTAGGCACTTAGCAAAAGCCAATGCCTAGGGAAAACACTTTTCTATTCAAACACAAGGTGAGGTTTTACTTTTCTTAGGAAGACTGTCCTAAAAGTATATTTCACCTAACATTCAAACATTGCCTTCTATTTGCTGTTGAAGATTGAGGAGCTGCTGCCTCCTACAAAGACTAGGTCAAGTCAGCTGACTGGAGGTAACTTGACACATTACAGCATAAGGACTTTTTCCAGCAGCACTGCTACCTACACTATTTAAACGGAAATGCAGGCAGGGGAAAAAGGAGAATGAATCAGAATAAAAGGCTTTAATGACATCTGGATGACTGCTAAGTAGAAGTCAAGTTTAAGTTTAAGTCAAGTGCTAAGTTTAGTTGGAAGACAGCAGGACATTTAGTTTCAGCTAATGTGTATTTCTACAAATAATGATCACTTAATTGTTTAAAATTACTTACTTGTTTATATGTTCCATCATTTAAAGTTGAATTGTGTTCTATTTGTTTTGGAGGCTCAGAACCAATTTTGTATCTAAAAACTGGATGGCCATCTTTAATGAGCACACTGATGAACTGATCCTGTGGTAAGAATAAAAACACACAAATTGCCCAACATTTTGTATATATTTCAGTGTCACATGGATTATTTTAATGAACCTATCTAGTTGTTCCAGTATTATGCCGAGGAAAAAGATGAAACAAAACAGACTAAAACTTATAAGAGTAACTGTAATTAAAAGCTCTTATAAACAGATCTAGTATCAGCTCAAGATATATTCCTCAAATCTCTGAAGGGCTTATTCTCATTTCAAGATGTTTACTGATTTTTTACAGCACTGGGAAATTACAAGACAATGTCACAGTGATTGCAAATATTCTTATAATATTAATAGATAAGCAGTATCACTGCTGTTTTGAGCAGCTTTTACAGGTTAAAGTCACCATGGTGTAAGTCACCACGTCACTTTCTAAATTCTGCCTTACTCTAGATTTGAGAAAAATGCACTTCCATTTTTGGAGGATTTCAGTACTTCAAAACTGGTTTGATTGAAATTACACTCCCCCTGCATCCCACCACCCCAAATCCTCTGCATTGACTAATGGAGGAACTACTTAGAATGAATTTCAGTCAGCCTTGACAGAGTGAGTATTCAGCAGCCATTAAACACACAGGTGAATCTAATAATCTGCTATTTGGACAAAACCAACAGTTTAAAGAAATTTCACTGCAGTTATTACTAAATCTAATACGTTTCCGAATGGCTGAAGTTCTTAAAAAATTTCTGGGACCCTTAAACAGGCAGAAGCATTCCAAGAATTACCTCATTTGCTGCAAAAAATATTATGCCTTCATCTGCAGTAGTCTGAATCGTCTGCTCATAACGTATTCGCACATTTGCATTTGCTTCTTTATATGTGACACTGGCATAACCAGTGCCTTCAAAGTAGTTTTGGTCAGACTCTTCTTTGTATCTGTAATAATTAAATGTCACAGGTGTGAATTATGAGAATAAAAACTACTACCACATGGACTTACTATCATTCACGTTTTAAGAAAGCTTAACTTAAGGTGTTTAGTACAGGGTCACCGGCAGTGTCAAATTCTGATCTAACTCAAGGAAAAAATAAACCTTTCACTGGCTTCTGTTGGCTTTGTATATGGTCTCCAGAGAGGAAAAGTCTGATTTTAAGTAATTAGTGGTTGATTTTTGAACATCCTCGTGGCCTTTCTCTGGACTTGTTCTAATAGGTTGATGTCTTTCTTGAACTGGGGGCCCCAGAGCTGAATGCAGTGCTCCAGGTGTGGTCTCACAAGAGCAGAGCAGAGGGGGAGAATCACCTTCCTCAACCTGCTGGCCACTTTTCTTTTGGTGCAGCCCAGGATACAGTTGGCTTTCTGGGCTAAAGCACACATTGCTGGCTCACGGTAAGCTTCTTGTCAACCAATACCCCCAGGTCTTTCTCCCTAGAGCTGCTCTCAATCCATTCTCCACCCAGCCTGTATTTGTGCTTGGAATTGACCCAACCCAGGTGCAGGACCCTGCAAGACCTTGTAACATTTAAATTGTTGGCCAGTGGACTGAGATTGATACAGATGTCAGTTATGTCAACACTGACAATTTTCTCTAGAATGTGTATTAATGACCAAGATTTAGAATAACAAAGTAAATCACTGGTTTAGCTACAGTGCTTATTCTTGTTGTGAAGAGACAAAAAAAATATAACAATAAAATCACAGAACTGCAAATCACTCTGAGTCTGTATCATACCTTCTGCAGGGTTGCACTTCAGTGGTATTGAGATTAAATGTCCTCTTGAAGTTGTAAAGGCTGATAATATTTTCATTTAGGTTATCTAATTCAATGCAGCCTTCATAATGAGGATAGTCCAGACTACGTGGAGGCTGCAAAATAGTGTCATTAAAAAATATCCTGTCAACACCAGCTGACAAAATTTTACATGGACATGTAACTGCTAGGATCTATTCCAAATATTAGTAAAAACACAGAATATGATATTCTAATATCAAAGAATTAATACATCTTTGGATATAATGTCTAAGCCACCTAATAACTCCCCAGGAGTAATGCACAATTTAAAGCAGAATCATATACGTGGATTGGGAATAGTACTTAGCAGGGCTGGACAGATTTCATGACATTCTTGGCAGATGAAAAAAAAACACATCATATTCTCTGCTTTGAGTTCTAGCATACTGCAAGCCAGGCAGCTTCGGTAGGAAGAAGCATTTCCTTGCATTCAGTTCATTCCTGCTGGCATGGATGAACTTTTATACATCCTTTGAAAGACTACTATTTCCAACTTTTATTTGTAAGGACAACAGAATGATTAACATGGAAATCTCTTCAAAAGAATAAGTGATTCTTTGTACCCTAAAATCTGGTGGGTATCCTCCAACATAAAAGACAACACTGCTGGGATCAAGATCTAGGAGAGTGTCTATGCCTTCACTGCTCATAGTCACAGGTCCTTCATTCTTTGAAGAAGCTGATGTTGCTGCTTTGACGTAATTCAGCTTTACGTACTGGTAGATCCTAAAACCAAAACAGACAGACAAAATATCATATCACACCAATAAAAGATAATCTTAGTAAATTTGGGAAAAGATTGTTGTGTGCTGTGGGTCTTATACCTTTGAAGCTTAACTTGATCCATGATGGCTTCCTCAGTGTTGCTTTCAATCACCAGTGGCTGCACAGCTATTTCTGCTTCATAGTCTCCCAGGTTATAGACACAAGTAAGGTGACCATTTTTTACAGCCATACCAATGTAGTCCTTGGAAGCCTAAGAACAGCAAAGCATTAAAAAATGATTAATGTTAATGAAGGTACAATACAGCAGCACTTGCTCAGGGACATCATCATACCATGAATGAGTCATAAGCCATTCATCTACCTAGTTATGAGAATTGTTATTAAGTTTATCAGTTCTGTTTCTGGGAATAATAAATAGTTTGGAGAAAAAGAGGCTAGCAGGTGACCTTATCACTCTCTACAACTTCCCAAGGAGGGGAAATGGACAAAGATGTGCTAATCTCTTCTCACTGGTAACCAATGATAGGTCATGTGGAAATCCACAAAGCTGTGCTAGGGGAGGTTCAGACCAGACTTTAGGAAAATTTTCTTTACTGTGAGGATGCTCAAACACTGGAACAGGCTTCCTAGAAAGGTGATTGATGCTCCACAACTGTCGGTGTTCAAGAGGCAATTGGATAATGCCCTTAATAATATGCTTTAACTTCTGTCTAGCTCTCAAGTGGTCAAGCAGTTGGACTGGGTGACCTTTGTAGGTCCTTTCTATTCTATTTTATTCTATTCTCATATGTGTTGCACTGATTCAGTGAGTATAGTTACAAATTAACTGCAGTCATGCATGACTTTTTATGTTTATAACATCAATAGTTAAAATAGTTTCCACTGCTGTAACATCTTCTAGATAAAGCCATGAAAATGTGACGCATTTCATAAAAATTTAGACACAACATTTTGTGAAGTAGAAAAGATGTTAGGAACACTCAGCCAATGCTCAGTTCGTACTGAGGTGACTGAAAGCTGTCAACAGGTATCCAGGCCAGGCATTTAGGGGATAAAAAGGTGAAAGCCAGTTTAGTGTAACTACTTTTAAACAGCTTTCTATGTACGCATGGCACCTGCTACAGATAGAGCTGTTGTCAGACAACAAGACTCAAAAATACATAGTTAGGAATCTCATGCAGGAAATTTTTTAAATGATGGTGCTTAAGCAAGCATGAATGCACAAGCAGCTCTGTATTACTCTGCATATTCAGAAAAAAAAATAATGGCTAAGGGGCTTAATCAATCACTTTTTAAACTAATAGAGAAACACACAGTTACTAATTCTATGGTAAGAGTTAAAGGTCTGAAGCAGGAGAACAGCCAAGTTTGTGCTGACTACTGCAGAAACTGACAGTTCTGACAGGACTGTATGATGATATCCATGACTCAGAAATAAATTCTAAAGGACCAAAACAGCAAAATATCAGACAGCAAAGCAGTCAGTCTGTATTTCACAAAACACTTATTCCATCACATAATGTCAATTAAAAAAAAAAGAAGGGGGCTATCAGTAGCTATAAACTTCAGTCAAAATAAATCCTCTCCCATCTGTTTCTCAAAGCATATCGCCAGTTCTAAAAATCAGATTAAATATCAAAATATACTTACATCTTTATTACCCAGGTACAGGACAAACCTATCTGATGCCCTCTGAGGCATGTCTGATCTCTTCTGAGGTCTTTGGAGAAAGAAAGAAAGTGAAGTATAGGCTTTCAAGTCTTCAAGGTTGCTTGGAGGTCGAACCTCTACACCGGAGCTGCCATTGAACCTCATAGGAATCGCAACCTGGTAAGAAAAACAAAGTTCACCACTTTAAAAGTGTCTATTGCTACTACTTGTTTCATTGTGTAGTAGATTTCTTAGAAATTAAACACACAACCTGGTCATGTTGCAGCCATCAGTTACTACAGATGTGGACTCTGATCCTACCAAACAATATAACTAGGAAACAGGATGCATAGTACTGTATCCTGTATTGTCAACGCTTATGACTTAACACAGCACTTTTTTATTCCAGACATTAATCAATCAACCTTTATTTGGCCTCCTTTAAGTAATTGTTACCTTCACGACAAGTAATGGGAAGGATGTGTTCTGCAGCTGTAAAGAGCAGGCCTGTGAATTACTCAGATGTCTACAAATATATCTTGATGCTTCAGTTAGCTGGATCTAATAATAATAAAGGCATATCCTATTCATGCTATTTACACCATGGTCACAAATTCTTCTTATTCATTTTAAGGACTGTATGCTAGTTGGGATTACCTCAGGGATGCTTCTGCTACCACCTGAGAGCATATTATCCCTTTGATAATACTGCTGCAACTACAGCAGTTCCTTAAATGGAGAAAGAGCATTCTGATGCAAAACTTTTTTTTTTTTTTTTTTTTTTTTTTTTTTTTTTTTTGGAAGTGCCAGTGTTCCACTGAGTGGAGATCCCTAAGCTGCAAAACTGCCTCTGCTGTCAAAGTCACTGCAATGTTACTTGGAAGTGTAAAGGCTATTGAACAAATAAGATTTGAAAGGTGACCTCGAAAAACATCCTTCTCACTACAGGAGAAGGATGGAGCTGGATGCTGCTGTATCCTCCCATTCTTATGCATGAATTATGCTTCCCATAATCACAGTTACTTTAAGTGCTGTGTGGTGCTGTTGAATTAAATTTATATCTGGTCTTTCATATTTTAACACAATTATTTATAAAGAGAAAGAGGAACAGAAACACTGCTGTGTGTCCAAATGACTACAGTCAAGTATGATTGTTCAGGACAGACCTTATTTGCAGCATCTCTTGCCTGCTGAATCAGTTCTCTTATGCGGTTGACATTCTCAGAGATGTTGCTTATTGGCATTAGTTGTTGGTTGATGCTCTCAATCTTGCTGAACAGATCTGGAAGCTGGTTTGTCAATTTTTTAACTGTAACGAAAGAAAAAACATTACTGAAGGTAGAATGGAAGAGAAAAACCAGCAGAAATATGAGATATGATTACACCATTATTGAAAAAGCAGTAGGGTGATGACAGAACTGTTGTCGTTAGTCCACTGTATGAGGCAATGGAAGCCAGCAGTTTATACTGAACAGTTACCTGAATTGTTTGCCTCTGTCAGTGCTTTACTGAAGTCAGCACTCTGTGTGCTTCCGTAAGTAGTCTTGATTTTTTCCACATCTGTTTTAATTGGGAGCAGTTCACTCAATACATTAGTTGTGACATCCTTGGCATTTTTTACCATGTCCTTTGCACTAGTGATGATGTCGCCGATGTCATCTGAAACACACACAAATACATGCGCAGATTCTTACGGTAACAGGTGAAAGAAGCAAAACAGAAATGATAAGCAAGTAACTGACCTCTGTTTATCCCATTGAGATCATTCTGAAGAGCAATGAGATCAATTTGTAGTGTATTCTTCTTTCCATCAGCAACACCAAGCCTTTGTGTCATGTCTTCAAGCGTTGGGCCAATAGCTGCAAAACAGTGAATATCCTCCATGAATTTTACCCAGAAATACCACCGATCTGTTGGATGGGTGATGTGGCAGCACTACTCTGCACTGTTACACAGCTCATGTTACCAATGAGGTTTGAATGCACTGTAAAACAAGTGCAAGGATAAAGATTTGTTGGACACGTGTGCTGCAAAGGTGTATTACACAGCAGAGGCGAGAAATCCACTCTCTCACCTTTTTCCTATGAAAATAACCATCACAAGATGTCCCATGGTAATGGAACTATTCTGTCCCTATTAAATGTGTGTAAAGAGCTTTGCTGAACTGCAAAGATTTGTGGTTCAATGAAAGCTTCTACAATCACTTTCTTTCTCGGTACCTTTTAATTTCCCTTCGGTCTCCCGTGCTTGATTCAACAGTGTACTGCTCTCAGCTTTTAACTTAGCAGCTTTTCCTGACAGGTCTTCTCTCTTCACAGTCTGGTAATAGAAGCACGGTATCATAAGATTGCTTTAATATTACTTTAAGATTGTTTTAATAGTAACATTTAAAGAGTAAAAGGGATAGCCCAATCCAGTTTAAAAATCAGCTAGGGCAAGATTTCATGCAAAAAGCAACACTTAAACAACAATTATTAAGATTAAAGTGTGATGCAGTTTTGGCCTTTAGCAAACTTTTGATACTTTTGGGAAAATTAGGCAGGAATTACGAGCACATAGCTGCTAGATGCTACTCTGCTGAACAGCTCGTGGGCATTACTAGTGGAAAGTAAAAGAGAATAGCTGAAATCACCCCCAGTGATTACTGGGTTTGCCTCACGCATATCTCTTTATTTTGTACTGAAATGAACAAGAAGTATTCAGATGGACAGCCTCATCAGAAAGGCAGCATCCAGCCTGTTCAGTGCTGAAGTAAGACTAACACATGAACAAGCAAAATAGCAGCCTCCTCGTACAAAGGCCACAGACAAATACTGCATGCCAAGACACAGAGCTCTTTGATTTTGGTGCCTCTCTGATAGCAAAAATATATATACCCAGCTGTACCATTATTTGGCTGCTTATGGGTACTTACTGATAAAGCTGAGTCAGCTGCAGTCCCAGCTTTATTGGCTGCTTCTTCTGCTGCTTTGATGGCATTAATAATATTGTCATAGGCAGTAGAAGCTTCCACAGCACAGCTTACCAACTCATCCTTCCTGGCATTGTTCTTTATTCTGTAGGTAACAGAGTGACAGTCATTCTGCAGGGTGTAGGAAACAGGGTGACAGTCATTCTGCAAAGACTGTGGACTACGAGAAGTATTCTGAATAGACCTGAACTTGGTATTTTCTAATTAATGCCTATATAGATTTTTATTTTATTTTTTTAACTTTGATTCCAAAATAGAGGATGATCAATACAAAATATTCTCCAGAAGTAGGGATGAGTTCAGGTAACAGGAAAAATACAACTGTGGAGCTCCAAGCAGTCATTAACTGATTCATATAGCAAGAATTCCCCAAGGCACAAGGCCAATAATCCACCACAGCCCCCCAAATAAAGTTCAGCTCAGAGGAATTCAGAGAACTGCAGCTTCCAGATAACCTCTGCCTGCTCCAGTGTTCTGCAGAAGTGGTAGACGGCACACATGATGGAGCAAATACAAGACCATTTCTGCTTTTATCCAAGAACTGGTAGCTGCAGTAGCTCTGGAATCAGAAATAGACAAAATCTCTTATACCCATTCCCTGTGAGCTATGCAACTGCCCAATATTAGCTGCCTTCTATTTGTGACAACACTGTCTTCTTAACTGAAAAAGACATACCGAAAATAAATAGAAAATTAATGAAAATGTTTTTTACCAAGAAGTTTCCAGCTGCATTAAATATTTTGGAATTTAGTTTTGACATCAAAAGGTATCACTGAGTATGAATACTGGAAACAACACTACAAAAATATATTCTAAACATCTACCTGCTCTCTACATGAGGACTTTCTCTCTTGATAATAAAAAGTTAACAAAATGTTAGTATAGTAATATAGAGCTACATTCTGGGTGATCCCAGTGCTGGAAGGAAAAAAAAAAAAAAAAAACAGAAAAAAAATAGGAAGACCTTGTTTGGGGGGAAGAAAAAAAAAGACATCTTTACATCATGAAAAAGCAGAAAAAGACAAAGTGATTTTTTCTTCTAACTTTGCAAACGGTCATAGAAACACGAGAACAGACAGATCTTTGCACCCGTGGACATTATGTACATTAAGTGCTCATTTACAGAAACAATAACGTACTCTTCCAGTTGTTTTGCCAAGTCTTGCAAAGATTTGGCATGTTCCTCAGCTCTCACCACCAAAGGTTCTTTGCTTGCTGATAAGGAGCTATTTGTCAGCTTTCCATTCATATCCTTCCTTGCTCCATCAAGCTGAGCAGCCAGGGTTTCATATTCCTATGGGTTCATAAAGAAAAATTTTATCTGTATTCATACGTTTGATTTTGTCCTTGTCATCTTCAGTGTTACATATACCTCACACCTGAGGAAACCAAGGGGAAAAATAATCCTTCCCAACTTCGGAGTTTGTTGGAAACAATTGTTAGCCATTAGACTCTGTTTTTACATAATGGATACAGAAACACAAAAACTGCCATACTAAGTCCGAACAAAAGTGTCTCTAGCCAACTATTCTTTCTCACAGTGGTGAAAGGCAATTGCCCAGAAAGAAGTACAAGAGCAGCACAGTCACTTACAGTATTTCTCACAGATACTGTCCCAAGCTTCAGATACCTGCAGCTGAGAGTTCTTCAGATATGTAACAACCCTCAAAACAAGGTGCTCTTCCAGAAACTTGTCCAGGCAGGCTCCTCTTGGACCCACAATGGGCTGAGATCCTTCCTTTTTCGTGAAGCTCAGCTAAGCCTCACATCCAAGCCACTGAGCTATGCTACCACTACAGTGACAGCAAAGTATTTTTTTTTAATCTTAACCTAAACAGGTTAACTATACCTCTTTGCTTTTCTGCAATAATCCCAGCATACTATTAGCTTGAGTCAAGGAAGATCGGGCAGAGCTCAAAATATTCAAGACACTGTTCTGTTGTTCATTTGTCTCCTCGATCCGTTTCTGAGGAAAAATAAAAGATGAGTAACGTGTGATTGGGTTAAAAATAAGAAGCAGGAAGAATCATATTTACCTAAAGTGCAGTAGGAATTACCAAAGGTACCATTGCTGTGTTAATTAGGTGCCTGTAGCGTTTAGGATCTAAATGCTATCCAACTGATTAGAACAGTGAGAAAACTCAGCAGTTTGCAGTAGTATAGCATAGCTCAAGACAGCTGAGTAGGAGGCTACAGTAGTTCAGTTCTTAGTGCTCAGACAATGAAAGTAGTAGGGGTCCATTAGATGACCTGTCAGGGCAGACCATCTAAGGGTTTCTTCTCACAAACTTGGAAACTTTAAAAACTGCTCCCAGATGACTCCTCTGATCTTTTCTGTTCTCACAAAGGCAGAAATAAAATCTTTACAATATCCCTTCCTCTGTGGATCTCACTAGAAAGGGGGCTTGAAAAATAAAGCAGAGTTCAGGGACAACAGCTGTTTCTTGTCACCCTTTTCATTAGACCTCAAAAGCAGTTCTGCAGACATAATCCCAAACAATTTAACAGTATTGCACATGTTATTTCTCAGATCTTTCATGGTTGTTAGAGCTCATTACTTTAAGAGAGTTACTGTGGGAAGTATCAGAATCAGGAATTTGATCTAGAATAGGTAACAAAAAGACTAGTGGTAGCTAAGGAAAACAGCCATGTGGAGATTCTTCCTGCCTTCTCATCAAAGATATGTCCTTTTCACTCTGTTCTTGTCACGTAAAAAGGTTGCAAGCAGGAACAGACTACATTTATACATGGCCCCACATACATACATCAAAAGATGGAAAGAAAACTTGGAGAAAGTCTAAGAAAGACTAAGTTATGAGTGCTATTTGGCTTTGCAAGGTCAAAAGAAGCAAGCAAAAGCACTTCTCTCCTAAGATTTAACTTTATTCTCCCAAACCCCAACATTACCTTAATATCTTCCAGTAGAACTCCATTTTCACTGTTCAAGTTTTCAGCTTGTTTGGTTTGTGCTGTCGCCTCATTCAGAGCTTCACGAAGGTCAGTGAGTTTGGATTCAAATTCATTCAATGAATCCCTCACAACTTTTAATAAGCCCATGATTTTCTTGGTGGTACTTTTGTAGTTCATTCTTGACACGCTCCAGTACTGCATTATCAGGACCAGAAAGAAAAGTTTTGTTCAAAGAAGGCGGCAACTGGAACAAACCTCTTTCAAAAGCTCCTGATATTCAGGATTAGAAAGTTGTGGTTGTATGAATTACTGAGCATTCTTTGCAGCACTGGATCCATTGTTACTATAGCAAAGATGCTATTTAGCATCTCACTGGATCAAATCTGCTCACAGATTTACTGCTGCACACAGAGCACAGATAAAGATGTACTTGACTATTTCTAAATTAAATAAGGGTGAAGATTGTCTTCTGCAAATTCTGAATTGTTTTATTTTTCAATATGAAACTAACATGATTTCATCACCAATTTCATCTACAATGCAGACATCTACATCTGAGCTAGTCATCAAATCTTCCTCTGTAATCAGCAGAGAGATACAGGCACATTTCATCTCACAGGAGGTAGTAACATAAAAAATGTGCACTGTATCACACTTTTATGAATGTCCATTTCACTGTCTACATGATAGGATACTGAAGAGTTACTGAAAGGAAGGTATCAAAGTCCAAGGTTAGGCGAAATTAGCATCACTCATATGGTCTTTCGCACTTCTCAATTATATTCCTTGTTAAGGAGATGAACTTGTGACCTTACTATCCTTGTGGTCATTAATATAAGGTTTATGGTGTCTCAGCCAAACACAGAGAAAACATAAAATGGAGTGCAATTAGTACATAAGAGAACAGACAACAGAAAACTAGCACTGTTCTCGTATGGTCTGACCCATGTGCTACTCCAACAGATTCTTAAAATCCGTTATTAAATTATGAGTGTAATTTTTCTAAAACAGATGTATATATTGTAGCCTATGTATTATAATAAATAGAACCACAAAGTATGCATGATTGGCTACATCTTTATTTTACTGAGATTCACCTGGCTACTAAAGAAGGTTTTGCCTCAGCTCAACTGAATTTCTTTGTAACAAAGTAAAAACGCCTTTAAATCCCCTCCAGAACTACCACTTTGATTTTGACTAACACCTCCTAAAAATCCCTGTGATACACTGCAAAATCCTACCCTTCATCCCAAACAATCAATAATGCTACAGATTTAAGATAAATCTTTCTATAAAGTAAGGAGCTGAGAGAACAAGCTCTTACATAGCTGAGCTTCCTTTCTCTCCTTCACTGCATCTGCTTGCAGTTGGCTAAAGTTGCGGTTTCGCATCTCTGTCATCATTTGTTGAGCTTCAGCCAGTTCTTTGGCAGCATCACCCAAGGGCAAATTGTTACCCTCTGCATTTGTACCAGCTATTTGTTCCAAAAGCACTGAAAAAAAAGAAAAAAAAAAAAAAAAATTGTCAAATTCAAACAGAGGATGCACTTAAATGTATGCAAAAGATTCAAATAACAGGTCTAGTCTCTTTTCTGAAAAAGCATACCTGTTCCTGAATTCTTTAATAAAGTAGATCCATTTAGCACTGATTGTATTAAGCTAAAAGATATCCCATGTCACATGACCAAAGTTAGCAAGATGACATTAGGAATGAAATTTGTCCCAAATGACCAAACTCACAACAATTATTTTAAGCTTCTGATTTAAAAGTCCCTATGATAGCAACTGAGTTTGAAGTCAGGCTGAAGTCAGAATACTTAATCAAGTGGTCTAAATTTCCCTCTGGTAAAGCTTTTCTGTACCTATTCACTCTAAAGGCAAGGTACACTCCTAAGTTAGTATTATGTATTAGATTCCTGATAGGAAGAATTAATTCCACAGCTATGTCTTAACTTCTGATTTTATGAAGCTTCTTTCTAAAAAAAAAATCTCTCATGCTTAATTAAGAATATTGCAAATAAACTGAATAGATTCATAAAACAAAACATATTATGGAGCTAGAAATTAGTTTTACCTTGTATATTATTGACAACTATTTGTATTCTTGAAACCAAATCCTTCCCTTTCTGATGAGTTTGGCCAAAATTATTAAACAGCATCTCAGCTGCTTTATAGTTCACTTCAGCCTAGCAAGGGAAAAAAGTAATTAGATTAAAAATACCTAGATACAGCAAACAAATAATATTTAGTCAAGAGATGTGCACTTTTAAATTAATTTGGTAGGTCACCTTTTCCTGGAGAGCATTGATGTCATGATTTAGTTTACTGAATTCTTTCTCCAATTCATCTGCCTTTGAACCCTGATTACGAACAACAGAACGGTAATTGTTCAATAAGACCTGAAAAAAAGCAAACAAAAAAAATATATCCAATAAATCACCCAGACAAAGAAGATAATGAGTAAAGATTCAATGTGCCAGATCTTTGAGAAGGTAAATAAAGGCAGCCTTACTGATATGAAAGCTGGCCAATTGCTGCCCAAAAGCTGGGCTTTTGTTTTTGTGAGCACAGCAACTGCTATTCCAACTGAATAAAATTCCTTTAGAATAATTTTGGCATTGTTAATTTGAAATTTTTAACCTCAAAGATGAGCTGTTCATGGTGAGCAAGCCTCAGGAAAAAAGAAAAAAAAAAAAGAACAGAAACAACAGAGACATTGATTCTCTTTCAGAGAACTACATGAAACCAATAACTTTATTCCAAAAGGTGCTGTGGATTCAGTATTTCAGTGCTGTCAGGATTCAGTATTTGAAATTAAAAGTTCATGCATGTTTCCTTGCAAGCTCATAAAAAGATTGCATAAATTCCTAGGTTCAGCTGTTATCTGCTTAATCTCAGATCAACTTTTCTGTTTACTTTACGGTACCTTTAAGTCTTTGATGCGTATTTCCAAACGTCTCATTTGCTCCAGTGTGTTGGTATCTGCACGGACATTCTGCAGCTGAGACTTAATCAGCTGAAGTTCATCACCTATTGTGCTCAAATCCTTCAGCAATGTAATTACACAGCTATCGCAAGCTAAAGGGACAATGAGCAAAGGGAAACAATACGTATTATTGATATTAGTGAAGAGAACATTTCACTGAGCACGTTAATAAATGAGATGCAATGGAAACTCTTTGATGCTTGTCACCTGGTGATTCCATAAAGAACAAAGACAACAACAAAACCCACAGTATTAAGAAAAGTGACCAAACCCAGTAAGGAGTAGAATGCCCCATCTGCATCTGGCTAGATGACTTCTTCCTGTTTTTGCCAAGTATTTGGCTGATTCTTTGTTTTTAAGAGATTCATTACAGGACACCACTATTTCTTTTTAAACTGTCACTCTTAAATGAGCTACCTGTATATAGCCAAAGGCTGCAGGCAGCAATCTAAGTTTAGTTCTGTTTTGTTACTGTATTCAGTTTATGTGGCAAGGCCTTGGTAGCAGAGTAGGGCTGCAGGGGTGGCCTCTGTGAGCAGAGCCCCATGTCAGATCAGAGCCAGCTCCAGCCAGCTCCAAAAGGGAACTGCCACTGGCCAGAACTGAGCCAGTGAGAGATACTGGTTGGGCCTCTGGGATTTAACAAAGGGAAAAAACTGCTGTGCAACAGCAGCTGGGAGAAAGGAGTGAGAAGCAGCCCTGCAGATCCACAGGTCAGTACAGCAGGAGGGCAGGAGGAGCCCCAGGCATGCAGCAGCAGTTCCCCTGCGGCCTGTGGAGAGGCCCCTGGTGGAGCAGGCTGTCCCCCTGCAGCCCATGGGTCCCCCATGGAGCAGATCTCCACGCTGCAGCCCCCCTGTGGGTGGAGGAGCCCCCGGTGGAGCAGGTGGATGTGGCCTGGAGGAGGCTGCGGCCCATGGAGAGCCCCCGCAGGAGCAGGCCCCAGGCCGGAGCTGCAGCCCGTGGAGAGGAGCCCCTGCAGGAGCAGTTCAGGAATGACGGCATCGCATGGGATGGACCCCCACACTGGAGCAGGGGCAGAGTGACCGGAGCGGTGGAGATGAAGCTTTAGGGACTGACTGCAGACCCCTTTCCTTGTTCCCCTGCACCTCTTGCAGGGAGGTGGCAAAAGAGGATGGATGGGGATGAGGGGGAAGGTGTTTTTAGTTTGCTTTTAGTTTCTCACTATTCTAGTCTGCTAGCTGTAAGCAATTAATTAAATTAATCTCCCTATGCTGAGTCCACGACACTAATTGGTGTCCATGACACTAATTGGTGAGTGATCTTCCTGTTCTTATCTCAACCCTTGAGACCTTTCCATCATATTTCACCCCCCTTTCCTTTGGGGAGGGAGAGTGAGAGAGCGACTGTGGTGGAGTTCAGCTGCCCAACAGGGTAAAAACATCACAGTTACTTACAGTCACAATCTTCATTGGGATCCACATCTTTTGGTTCATTGTTAAAACATTCTGAAATCAGAAGGCAATCATCAGTAACCAAGGATTTCTTATGGAAATGCTACTGCTGCCTTTTTACCTTCACTGTTCTTGGCTGGCAGCCATTAAAACACTGTACTGTCCTTCCATAAATCCATGTCCATTGTGAATGTGCTAGAACACCCAGGAGGCTTGAGTATGCTAAAAAATTCAGCTCTCACCTATACCTTGACAAGATGAACAGTTTTTTCATCCATCAAAAGAAATTAACTGTAACCCCAAATATACGCCACTTGTGTAGCAGCAGGAGGGCTCATACGTCAAAGTGTGATGAGTGTATTCCTAGAATTTGCCTAGAATAACAGCACTGTGACTGGAGCCAAGCCTATGTTGCCTTCTAGTTAAACCATTTAACCCAGGACATAGGTTTAAAACACCTATCTACTTTAGCATCCACGTTGAAACCACAGATTCCAACTCACACAAGGATGTCTTACCCACTAGGTACTGGGAGACATTCATGACCTTCCTTTACACCTGTTCCAGCTTGTTTGATTAAGGAATTAATCAGGCTTGAGTGAAAACCAGGTTGTATGTATGGAAGGAGGCACTGTGCATCACCTAAGGCACGGTGCCTGGGCCATAGTTACAGGTAGTGTACAACAAACATTGCCCTCACACTTTCCAACAAGCTAGCACAAGCAACTGCCAGCACAGCACACTGTTTAATTTGTTTGTTTGTTTTACAAACCCCATTACAAGAAGCTTGGCACTTTCCAGGTGTATGTAGGATTTCAACCCAGGATCCTAATTTCTAGGAGGCAGGACTGGAACTGACTCCTAAAAACGCCTTTATATAGGACAGGAATCTCCCTGTCTTGGTGTCCATATCCCTTTTACAGATCTAGTCCTATTGGCTACTGCAAAACTCCCAGTGCTGCCAGCTCCTGTTGAAAATGAGAAGGGTTGTGGACATCATCTACACTGAATTAAAAGGACACACTCAGCATAGGCTGCTGCTGCCCAGAGTAAACAACAGCTTTCATCTATGAGAGGCTGCAGTGATAAAATTGGACCTGAAATTTAACAGCAGCATGAAACAGCCTGGAACAAAATGCCCAGCTGTGCCATTTCCTTTGGCACTTACACATTAAGTCATCAGAAAGTTAAACAAGATTGGTAGTGAGCACTGATGCCAAAAAGAAGACAAGTCACAAAGAATATATTTGTAAGAGAACGAAGGAAATTATTCTGAATGCAAATACATGTGTGGTTCTGCTGTTGTATAATTCAAGCTAACACCAGACACATTTCAGCTGTTGCCACGAAGCACCAATTAAATACAACTATTATTACAGCTTGTGCACAAACAACATCAGCCAAGAAATGATGAAATGAGAAAATCTGGCCAAATGCCGAACATCATGCACACAGAAACCTGCTAGAACACGCTGTGCTGATGATCACAGAGGGTTTTATTGCTAATGTGGACAAAGAGCGGGCTGATCAGAATATCTAGCTGAAGACAAACTGAAAACAAACTGGCTTGTTGAATTTTGCCCTACGGATTAGTTTGTCCTCTTGCTTCAAAAAGAAAAGAGCGATAAAACATCAAACACTGCTTGGATCTGTTCCACTTTAAGTATAAAAATAATAAAGATGTATTACTTCAATGATGAAATACAAAATGAGAATTGCTTATTGAAAAAACGCACCAGGTGCCAACAGCAGTTCACATCACTTGCTGTTTTTGTAGTTTCTGTGACCAAAGAAAGAGAAGGTGATCCTCGCAGTCATTTGAATGCAGTATGAACAGCAGTGCAAAGAAATTAATAGCATGGAAATACTAGGAGTTACTAGTTTGACACTTCACTAACATGTCAGAAGGAAAAGACGGCTACAGGGAAAGAAAAGTATAATTTTAGTGAGGAATGAAAACATAGAAGAATCCAGGTCCTTTTCAAGCACTGTGGCCTACATGTTTCTGAATAGAAATGAATATTTCATCTCAAGAGACTCAGGTGAATCAAGGTAAATCCAGTCTAAGCAATGTAGGACCAGACCCTTTACTTCAGAATGGTAATTGATAAAGTGAATGTATAGCTATGGCATAACATTACTGTAAGAGCTTAGTAATGGTGGAGTACATGTGTGATTGATACTGGGGAAATCAAGGATGCCCCTAATTGCGTGTAGGTGTATAGCAAGATTTATAGAACAGCCTTCTGAGTCAGTACCACTGCAAACATAGTTAGCTGGGATACCTAGGATGGCAGTGCCTGATGCAGACTCTGAAGATGTCGCTAATCTATCCCAGATACATTTAAAAAAGACACATTGAGAGTGCTCTGTAAGATCTGTTTCATAAGTCTATAACACGGAGTTGCAAGATACGACTTAAACATGTCAGGAGAAGCATCATAATGCATCTAAATACATACCAGTGAAATCGAAAAGCAAAATACAATACATACTACTTATGAAGGGAAATATATGAAAAAATGGCTTAAAAGGGTCAACTCAATGACTCAGGACAGCCCTTCTTTTACTCTAGATCTCTCCTTTGGTTTAACTTATTTAAGTGCCTTCCCTCTCTACTTCCCAGAGAGAAAACAACACTCCACGTCCACAGGCTCTTACATACCTCCAGTCAGGCGGTCACAGCTAGCCAGCTGTCCATTATTATTACAACTACATTTCTGACAGTAGCCTCCGTACTTTTGTGGATTTCCAAAATATCCTGGAGCACAACTAGATAAAAAGATACAAATATTGCTTTCATTAAATATTTGAACCCATTTTTATCAAATATACTTTCACTTGACAGAAAAAGAAACAAACAAACAAAAAACACACTCAGTTCTACTCCTGAAGAAACCGTCAGGAGCTTTTGATTTCATGTTTTGACTTAGACAAAATGGGTGTATTTTTAGTTTACAGTATACTCTGCACTATGTTAAAAATATCTTTCCCAGTACTGCAGAAATTTTTCTAAAAATAGAACTCCCACAATGCTCATTTAAGAGTAATTCACTTAATGCGTAAAAATACAATGCACACAAATGCATGCATAAACAGAGAATTTTACAAGACTTAATCAAGACAATCACATCAGTTTGGTCTGTGATCCCACCAGAACTCACATATTAACTAGGATCATACCGCAAGCACACACTGAGTTTTCAAACAGCAGTGGCACTGAATGTTACCACCCTTCTCTGGGTGATATTTCCTCTTTCCATCTGTCAGCAAAACAGTTCGGTATGAGTTCTCCCTGACTATTTTACAGGTAAAATACATTATTTGGATTGGCTGACTAACACTCATAAAAGTCATCCTGCTGTAAGATCTATCAGGGTAATAATGTGTAATCTAGAGACCATAAAGAGGAACTGAGGTATGGCTAGATCTGAAAGAGAAAATCTATCTTTAACCTACAGCTTAGATGTCAAAGGTAACAGCTGTGAAGTACAAGACAATGTGCTACTACTGGAGGTACAGTCTTCAGGAGAGACATCATAACTCATTTGCCTCAAGTTTCCAAATCAGACAGCTGCTCTCCATTATGCTTTAAATTCCTCCTGGATTTGAACCTCAATGAAATTGTTTCCTCTTCCTGCCTGAAATTACTTTGCTGTACCTCTTTTATTTTGCCAAACTGTTGTAGTGTTGTTCCAGCAAGAGATGGCTTCAGTATTGTGTTTGTAAACTCCACCTGTGGAGCACATCAGAATGATTTGGGATGAAGGGTATGGTGTTAAATGTCACATGGTTGCTACTAGAAACTAATTAAGAGCACCAAAGCACCATCGAGTACGCTGGAAGAAATGGTAAAATGGAACAGGGACAGAGTACGTGGGAGCTGTTATTATCAGAAAGTGAAATACAAGACAACGCACAGGGCACTTATGCAAAGAGGCTGTCACTTCTCCTATTGGTAAAAACTGTGTATTCACTGAATAGGCTGTGGAGAATGGTTTACATTTTTTCAGGGAGTGTTGGGTTTATACCTCACATTATACTGTAGCACCACACTACAGCAGCTGTTCATAGAAATAGATACTCCTCAAGCATTTGCATATTACTAATATCCATACACTGACATACTACATAGTGCAGACATACCTCCTCATATGGTGCCTCTCAAAGACCTTGGTCTGCAGTATCAAGTCACTTACCGTTCACAGTGAACTCCAGTATAGCCTTCTTTGCAGAGACACTGAATTTCCTCACCATTTGCCACGCAGCCAGTTGCAAATCTTTGAGAAGAAATCAAAATGTTTTTGTGAATACATAATCAAATACGTTTCACAGTCCAGAAGCTAAACTCACTTAAATGACTTTCTGACTTAAAAGTTTTATACCACCAATTAAATTCTCAGCTAATTTAATTGCCAATAAACAAGTGATGTGATTAATTCTTTAAATTATTTCATATTTTTTCTCTAAATTCTATCCTTAGACTATAGAATTACTCCCTAGACTATTATAATTCACTACCCAAAGGAATGCCTAAGGAAAACCTTAACAGTGATGTTGTAAAATAAAACAACACCATGCAGCTATTTTATCTTATCAGGCAAAAACCAATAGTCTGTGCTAAACAAAGTTTCTTCCTGTTTGGATAGATTTTTGTATATATTTTTTTTAATGGATTGAAACAGTAGAAATTATTTTTATGTAGCTAATATCATTTTTCTTTTTTTAACCTAAGCAGAATAGAGTTGTGCACCAATTTGGGAAGCTCTAGAGTATATCTGATTAACAGAACATATTTCGTCTGATATTTCTAGAAAACTTTACTAGATTCAAATTTCTCTGGGGAGGAAATCCATTACTTGGCCAGTGTTTGGTAAGAAGAAGGCAGGTGAAGAGCAGATAGGCTATATTAGCTATTTCCATTTTTTTAACTTACGAACAGTTGGATAAAGCAAGCCTGCGCATTAAATACAGATGTCTGCACTAAGATTACATACATTCTGACTAGGTTGAAATTGCTAACTCCAATAATGCCAGGTGGGGTGCACTTCCTACATAATGCGTAGGAAGTGTACATAATGTGTACATAATGTGTATTTACCACCCTAATGTGCAGCTATGAAGCTACTGCAGTTATCATGGTCTCTTTAGATACATCAGCACTCTTAAAGCAAAAAATGAGTAAAAATATGTTCAGTCAGCCTCAGGCAAGCACCTGCAGAAGAAGTCAATGCTGTCAAAAACAGATGTCTTGGAGAGTTCTCTGATAAATGAAAAACCTGTCTATTGTTTGCTGGTGTAAATCTCTCACTTAAGGCTACCTGGCATTTGCTAATGCACCTGGCAAATTCTATGTGGTGCTTATAGCAATTTATTGCTTAAGATTTTTTAAAAATGCTTGCCTTTGTTTAACACATTTCACATTTCAGAACCTACTAGTGATGACAAACAACGTGGCTCAACATACTACGTATTTTAAACACAATTTGCTGCCCAATTTTAAGAGTCTGGCAACCTTATTGAGGGCTAATAAAAAAGATGGAATGACTTTTGCTTGGGCAGATAATGACAGGACAAAGTGGAATGGTTTTAAACTAAAAAAGGGTAGATTTAGATTTGGCATTAGGAAGAAAGTCTTCACTCTGAGGGTGATGAGGCTCTGGAACAGGTTGCCCAGAGAAGCAGTGGATGCCCCGTCCCTGGAGGTGTTCAAGGCCAGGTTGGATGTGTCCCTTGGCAACCTGGTCTGGTGGGAGGTGTCCCTGCCCATGGCAGGGAGTTGGAACAAGGTGATCTTTAAGGTCCCTTCCAACCCAAGCTGTTCTATGATTCTATTGGATCCAAGGAGATTTATTTTTTCTAGCTCAGTTTGTTTGCACTTCAGAGCTTCCACCCGAACAGCCACTTTAATCTTTCAGAAATTCAGACAAGTGCCTATGAGCTTTAATTTTAAGTTATTTTTTTTATCTTACTAAATTTTCTGAATTCATAGAAAAGGGTTCTTTCATCATTGTCACTTACCTCCTAGCTATATGGTATTAAATGTGAGATTACATTTTGCATTTCACTAAATAAAAGAATGCTTCTGGATATGCTTAGTAAGGGAAAAGACTTTTGTTCTATAGTATTCACTATGAAGATGTTACTGGAGGTTTGGTAAATAGTCGCATTACAAGTGCCTGGGGATCCCCCAGGTGATCAGCAGCACACCTTTGTGTTTCAGCAACTGAGTCAGAATTGGAATATTCAATTTATTAAAAAAGGCAATGTTTGGTTTTGGTTTGTTTTCTCTCCCTTCCCCTCCATTTGGCTTCTCATGACATTTTATGTTACCTGTTTGAGTAAGGGCAAGGACATATCCGACAGGAACCCTGAGTGGCATCTCCAAAATAACCATCTTTACAGCGTTCACATTTTTCCCCAGCAGTATTATACTGGCAGTTCTAAAAAGGAAACAAATAAGAGAGTTAACAGTGCTTTCCCACTCAACAAGGCTTTATTATTATTTAATAATAATTATAGGAAATTTACGCAGAGGATATGTTCTTTCCCTTCCACATAATTAATTTTTGTGTGTATTCATTGGTTTGTTTTTTTCTTTACAAACCAAACTACTTTTGCTTTCACTATCACGATAGATTGATTATAATTTTTCTCTAATTGTAGGAAGTACATTTTGCTCACCACTGTGGAAAAGCAACAGATAAATAAGCAGTACTAAACACGTTTTAAAAGACATTCAATCACATGCATGGTTTGTTAATGAAAATTGCCTTGATACACTGTAATGATATTTCAGTGGCATCCAAGAAAAAAGTCACTGTTTAAACATGACTTTAAATTTTTCATATTAACACTAATTAGAAGTCAGATCTCATTTAAAAGCAGGTTCAATGAATTGAACCCAAATGCATTCTTTAAAATCCCACAAAATTACTATCAAAACTAATTATCTTTCTAAATTCAGATCAGAATTGAATTTCATGCAGTTTTCCTAGTATACATGTAGTTTGTATTTTCCTCGAATAACTCAATAAATAATGAAAAGCACAGAAGAATTGAAGCTAATGAAACTGAGCTACTTTTCTATGACAAAACTGTTCCTAAAATATGATTCCCAACATTCTTATTCCTGTGTTGCCTGACTGTCACACACATTTATACATTATGGGAAGAGGAGAAGCAAGTTGCTTTTGCTTTACCTAGGGAAGTGCTAATTTAAAATAGAAGCTTGTTGAAATACACTTTGAGCAGCCATGAAAATACAGTGTAGATAACATCCACGAGGTATTCATGTTCCCTAATTCTACAGCTGAAGAAAACAATGTGCAGCAGACTAACTCAGTGTCCCCACAGAGCTGAGGGTTACTAATGAAGTAAAAGTCTGGAAAAAAAAAGTGTAAAATTGGCTGGAAGCTGTCACTGAGCAGACTGCAATGCCATTGCAGGAACTCTGACTTAAAGCTCTGGCTGAAGGCCCCACTACTGTGATTTGCAGCACGAGGGCATTTTTCCTACAATGAGCAACAGTTCTGCCTTTCCCATCTCCTCTTGTACTACATCTTCCTCCACATTTCTTTACATCCAGATTCTCTCAACCGCATCAACTGCCCTTCCACCAGCCTCTTCTACATAGTAACTCGTAATTTGTTTTGGTTTTGGTTCAAGAATTAATTATGTGGCTCAATTGTGAAAGAACAGGAAAAGCTACAGTTCACATATAAGCCATGTAACTAGGGAAAGCAAAAGAAATACAAGGGGCTGCATCCCCTATCCTAACGAAACAGGCAGAGGACTTGGGGTTGTTCAGCCTGGAGATGAGAAGGCTCTGGGGAGACCTTATAGCAGCCTTCCAGTACCTAGAGGGGGCCTACAGGAAAGCTGGGGAGGGACTCTTTGTCAGGGAACAGTAGTGACAGGACAAGGGGGGGATGGCTTTTGAACTAAAAAAGCGTAGATTTAGATTAGACATTTGGATTAATTATTTACTCAGAGGGTGGTGAGGCACTGGAACTGATTGCCCAGATAAGTGGTGGATGCCCCGTCCTAGGAGGTGCTCAAGGCCAGGCTGGATGGGGCTTTGGGCAACCTGGTCTGGTGGGAGGTGTCCCTGCCCATTGCAGGGGGGTGGAATTAGATGATCATTAAGGTTCCTTCCAACCCAAACCATTCTGTGATTCTATGAAGACACCATCCATTCAAAAATGCCTATAGCCATTGAAGAAATTCCATATATATCTGAAAAAAGTTTAAGGTATTTCACAGGTAAGCCACACTGAATGTGCCATGGTGTTCCTCTAGATACATATCATAAAAAGAACAGAGAACATAACCCAGTACTCCCAAAGCACTGTGGAATGAAGCCAGAGCAGCAACTCCCTCACACTAAGTCTGCTGGGCCTTAGCCTCACAAAGCCTTCCATGGAGGCCATCACTGGGGTGAAGCTGACATGAGAAGAAGGTACTGCTCCAGGTGAGGAGCAGGAATCAAAAGGCCAGGCTTTACACTTTGGATATGAAACCTGACAGAAATTTGATGGCTCTGTGCTGGAAAGCCTTGCTGCCTTCTCTGCACTACTACAGGCCTTTGCTTGATGGCTCCTATAGAGAGAGAAATTTGCTCCTTATTAGATGGAGGCTCATTATGGAAATACAGGCCCTCCAGGCTTTCATTTTTCTCTGCATTATCCTGAATGACTTTGCTTGCCTTAAATTTTGTCCCAGGGCCAAGAGTTGATTTAGCTCTATCTATCTGAGAGTTAACACAGCTGTGAGAAGGAGGGGATAAAGAGAAACCTAACCCACCTATTTCATGAGGCAAATGTGAAATTTGCAATTTTCTAGCTTTATAATTTTCATCTGAAGTAAAACGTCTTCATTTTTGTAGCTCTCTTTCAGCACTTTCCTGTCATGGCCTGCCCTGCCTCAGCAAAGCAGCAGACTGTAAGTCATTCCTGAGAATGTGCTGAATTACTTTATTGCTTGCATCGCAGCGCTAGGGTTGGTTGAGACAAAGTCGAGGGGAATTACGTAAGGCCCAGGAATGCACCGCAGGCAGAATGGATTCAGAACGAACAAGGAAGAAATAGAAGAGAAAACAACTCATGAAAGATTTTGGCAGGGTTCTTGTTTACACAGCAAGTGAAAAATTAGTGAAAAAATTTGAAGTGGGAATTTCTTCCGAGCAAACTGTTTAAAGAAGTGTCATGGACATAAGCTAGAGAAGCACAGTCGGCCAAATGTCACGCTCCCTTGCTACTAGGGCTATGCAGCTCCCATGAGGCTGCTTTAGGTTTAATATGGTATGTCAGGGAGCAAACTCTGCCCCACTGTATCTCCTGTAACAGCTGACATTTTCAAATTAATCTACCTTTTATCCTCTTTATCTCATTTTATTTACTCTGCTATTTTTTAATCCACCTAGCTGTAAATTTAGATTAGCGGACATTTACTGATGCTAATTAAACAAAAGGTTCTGCAAAGACTAAGCTATGCATGAATGCACTGTTCGTCAGCACTGGCAAACCCTAGCATATATGTGCAAAACTAAAGACTGCATATGCGACGATAAGCGCCCACATTTATTATAAGTAACTGCAAACACTTACATATGTGCAACTTTGGTGACTTTTTGTACTGTGAGTTAACAAAAATTAAAAGGGAAAGAAGGAAACAAAAACAAGGGCACAAATTGTTCTAACCACCCACAGTTATGTTAAACATACAAAACATTAAAGTTTATACAATTCATGCTCCTTAACAGCATAAGATACAGAGAATGGAGCATGGAAGGAATATTTTAGTTGCTAGGAATTTAGCAATGCTGTACAGTCCATACTGCAATAAGGTATGTGTTTTTGTTTTTTTTTTTCTCCCTCATTTTTTTTCAAATACATTTCTTGAATGTTAATATTTACTTACAAAACATTTTCCAGTACCATCCTGGCACCTATTTGAATTTCCATTGCAGTTGCAGGGGACACAGCGTCCAGTAAATACTCCTTTATTCTCACGATAAAATCCAAGGCCACATTCCTAGACAGTAAACAGAGAGAGGAAAAAAAAAAAGAAAAAAAAAGTGAGTGTTGGTGGGAGGTAAATTTTACAGGTTATAAGTTGGGTATTTTGAAATTGTTTGCCATTTCCAAGGAGTAGTAGAGATGTACATTTCCTGACAAGCTCTTCTACACCCATATTATTGTTTAAGTAGTAAGTATTTTAACTCAGAAAATGTCAGTGAAGAAGCTTGAGCCTAAGCATCTATCCCTGTGCTCTACATTTTGTGGTATGGGGATTTCATCATTTTTACTTTAACCTCTGAGCAGAACACGTTTCCTGTGGCTATGTACAAAGATGTAGAATATGACTTTTAAACCACACAAAGAGATTTGTTCCACACCACAGTATTCTCAGAGAAGAACATATGGAAATCTCACATATTAGCTAGTGGTTATATGAAATCTTGATGTTAATTTAACCACCGTGTACTGCTTGGAAATACTTCTAATGAGATATCTTTTACATGAATTCATCATGACTTCCAAAATAAGTCCACCTGGAGCTATAAGAAGCCATGCTTAGACAGAGAGCGAGATGATCTTACAAAACATACAGTGGTCTAATTTTTAAGTACAGGCTTGTCCCAAAACCCCAGGAAGCACGAAAAGAATGTTCAGCTATTGAAAGCACACAAGCAGAAACACAGCGTGTCAGATCAAAGTTGGGTTTAAACAGGGGGTTGAACCAGAGGATGGAACATTATGAATGAAGCAAGAGACATTCAGTTAGCCTGAACCACCTAGGTATTAACTAATATGTTAAAACCAGATTTTTGCTTGGCATGGGGACAGAAAGTACAAGGGTAGGGCAAGTAGAAGGAATTTCTCCTGGGCATGGAGCCTTTCCATGTAAAGACCAATTCAAACATTCATGCTCACACTCTCTGCTAAAGACCCTCTTAGGACATCCACCAAAAAATCCCTCTATTTCCTAAGCTGTTTTTCACTAGTTACTGAGCTGGCATGGTGCAAGGAAGATGAGAGGTTGTTTGAAAGTGAGACAACCTGTCTGAAAGTGGCTGGGCTCCCCATGAAGCAAACACCTCCTAAATACTTGCCTCAGGCAACGCAGTTCTGCACTGTACCTATGCCTTGCCTGTAACTCACACTTAGAGGCTGGCCTGAATGACATTCTGTAAACAAGTGAGAGTTGAACTTGAAAACTGTAAACCTTTTCTCATAGCAATTGCACCACCAAGACCAATGGGATTAATCTGAAAAGTAAAGGGTTTCCAGGACAGTGCCTCAAATCTTATGGCAGGTGGTTGAAGCATAAGTATTCATGCAGGGACAGAAATAATTGGTAAATTTATCAACGATATAACTACCAGAGGGAGGGAGAAAAAAAAAGAAAAAAAAAACACCAAACGCCTCTTCCAAAGCAGATCCCAAAAGGAATTTTGAGTTATTGCTGTTTAAACAACAGTTGCTAGCAGCATCTTTGCTTTCTTCACATATGGGATAAATAGAAAAAGAAACGTGGGCAGAATACTAATAACATCAACAGCTCTTTTTATATTGACTTTAATGTGAGCACGGACTTTATTTAGAATAGGCATCCTCACTTGAAATTTTTCAGATATATTTTTAAAAGGGAGAGTATGTTTCTCGAACAACAGGGAGTCGGTATACCCTGCTTCTAAAGAAACCAGGGCCTGAAATACATAAACAGCATGACTAAGTAAAATACAGGTTCTAATATGCATATAAATTGCATTTACCGAAAGCCTCTTTTTATGAAAGCAAAATGAATCACTCATTTCAGACAGATATCAAAATGTATTTGAAAAAAAATCTATGCAGTTATTTTTTTTTTTTTTTTAACTTGTGTTCTTTTTAAACTTGAAAACAACACATTTGGAATGTGTGGGCATGTTGTTTTCAAAGAAGCCTTCTTGATACTGAGAAATTTATTCCACATAAAGATAAAGCTCTAGAAACTTTCAAGTGCTTAGGAGTTCAGCTGATCGTTTGCAAGTAAACAACAATTTAAAAGAATCTTCTTGCACATACTTTTGTTAGCAAAAGACTCTGAGATAAAAGACTTGTGCTATTGCCTTTATATTAAGTGATGTATAAATTACTATAAAAATGGTTCATTTAAAAAAAGAGAAGGAAGGAAGCAAGCACGGAAGGGAAAATGAATAAATTACCTGTCTTAGGTAAAAATCCCTTTGAACTTGTTGCTGTTGACTTCTCTCCTGAAGATGAGGAAACAATAGCCTCTGCTGCATACCCTGTGCTAAACTACACCCCATAGCTACTAAAGTGACAACTAGCCATCCTACATTCTTTGGCCCCCGTGTTTGGGCCATCATTTTACTTCAGCTCAACTGTTAACATACACTATTCTTTCACTATTTACACGTTCCCTTATACTCTCCCTTACTCTCCAGCTTCTGACTCAGATTAATGAGGCTATGTGCTGAGATGGGCCCCACCTTTAAACTTTATACGTGAGTCAAGTTGTACAGCACACATTACAGTTCCTGGAGTTAACAAGTAACTCCGCAGTTCCTGTAGCTCAATATATACCTAACTTAGGGTGTGGCAGGCATCACCTTCTCCCCACCTAATGCAGTCAGACAGAGCTAGATGATTAGCACAGTAAATCACTGCCTGAGTAATACTGCATAAACATACAGGGCTACAAGCTACCCAGGTTACTGTCTTGATCACTTCCTTTGGGTATGTATTTTCATCAGTTTATGTAAAAAATAACCCACCTTAGTTTAATATAGGCAATATGTTGAAAGCAATGGGATGGCAGTATGACCTTCAGTCAGTTCTCATCAATTTGAACATGGCAAAGAACACCTTATGTGTGAAAAGTAAGTTTCTAGAAATATTTCCAAAATGACTTTTGACACATGACAACTTACCACCCTGAGCAGTGGATGCACATGGGAGATAAAAGCCAACTGTGAACATTTTGTTCACCACCATCTCTGCAACTACTGTTCTTTCATTCTCTTTTCAAAAATGTTTGCAAGGCTAGCACAGCAATTGTTGCTTTATCCTTCAACCATTTTCTGAGAGAGTAATTCTTCATATTTTTATAATGCTTTTTATAATTCTTCATATTTTTACACTGCTTACCTCTCCATTATTTGTACACTCTCCATTACTTTATTCTGCTGTTTTGGGTACTTACCCATTGGAACAGTTGAGCTGTAAGCTAAGCAAAGCATCAGCCAAAAGAATTAGAGATAGAGGAACAGCATCAGGGATGGGATACACAACTAAGGCTAGGATTTCACCATAGTAATGGTATTATTTTGCAATGTTTACATTATCTTTCATAAAAATATCTCCAAATACTTTGAAAAATATATTAATTTCAGCTTTGAAACATTTTCCTATAAAAATAGGAAAAGTGTTAGTCAGTCTATCAGAATAGGAAACTATTCAGTACTATCTTGGTTTGGGTTACTTCCCCTGGACCTCATTATAGCGCCTTAAACATGCAAAATGACATTTATAGTTCCACAAAGGCAATCAAGAGCTGAATAACCTTACTGTGCCTTTTCGACAGTGAAAGTGTTTGAGCCATCAAAAGTGCACACACTTAAAAGAACTGTGTAAGTACCTTAATAACTAGCCTGTTCCTCTAACTAAACCAGTATGTATAGCTGTAGGCAAGACAGAAGGTAATGGTGAAGTACAGAGGCAAACATTTCCTACCTGACATGAGTCACCGGAATACTCTGGAGGGCAGGAGCATGTCTCTACATTGTATGCAATGCTGCCACTTCCTGTGCTGGTGGTTACTTCCAGCCCAACCTCACCAAGGGTTAATCGTTGAGTCTCCGTGAAGTAGAGGCCTCTGATGTGTAAACCATCTAGTCTAGACAGGATTATCATCAGTTCTTCCCTGGATACCCGGTTATTGCTGCTGGCATGTCTGAAGTTTCCCTGCACATTAAGGATACAAAATGAGTACAGCTCTGCAGTTAAAAAAATTAAATTCTTAAAAAGAGAATGTGCAGAGCACACAGGATGCCAGAAAAAGAGGGGGGAAAAAAAAAAACACTTTAGGACCTCTATAGTCCCAAGTGATGTGGGGTGAAACAGATGTCAGCAAAATAAATATAATGAATATAAACAAAGGCAGGAAAAGGAACAATGAGCAAAAAAAGGTTTGTATTCTGTGCTTTGCAAGGTATGTATGGCTCTGAGGTATCAAAAAGTGAAGAAGCATTTAGGTTCTTCTTCAGCCATCCACATTTCTTTGAGGGATTACCAACTAAAATTGCTTTTATTTTTAAGAGTAACTAAAATACTAGAAATCCAGTCTTGAAAGCTGCCTTCACATGCTTACAAGCTACTAATACACATAGTGTAACTGAAAATCTAATTTAGCTGGAAGAACCATTAACTTTTTTTTTTTTTTTTTTTTGCCTATAGATGAGGCAGAAATAACTTAGTTTGACTTTCTGAGCACACATTTAAGGCAGGAATAATCCATGCTAATTTAACTCCCCTAAATGTTGGAAACCTGTTCTAAACTAGGCACCTGGACTCCTTTGAGAGTCAGAGGAAGAAAACAGATAACAATTCATTCCATCCCTATTAAGTACACATTTGGGGCTGTGATGAGTCATATTCCATTGGTGACTGATTCAGTATTACTCCACTGTCTCTGGAGAGAATGCTAAGGACTAGGTTGGACAAGATGCCTAAATTAGAGGTGCTAAAATTAGGTGGCATGAACCAGAACCTAGGTTCAGTGTGACAGTGAAGAGAGAAGAAAATGTGGTCTATATTTATGGTCTATAGTACTGAAATTTACGTTCATTAACATTATCCAGTATCTGGTATTTATTCATGTATTGTCTGCGCATCTTTTTTTTAAATGTACCACAGGGAAGAAAAGGGAAGGCCATTCCATTTTCATTTCTTACCTCAACTAACTGCACACGGCCATAATATTGACGGTCAGGCAGTGGATTGTTAGGATCCATATAAACAACTTTCATTTGCTGGCCCTATGTAAGAATGAATGCATAATATTAAACCATTTCATCACATTTTATGGTAGTGTTCGCATGCAGTTCATTTGGAGAAACACGTTAATCCTGTTATTTGGGGAATTAAACTCAAGTAAAAGTACCTGTATGTCAGTTTTGTAAGCACTGTGTTTTACTCTCAGCAGGGTTTTCCCTACCTTTGTCTTTTAACAACCTTGCTTGCAAATAAAACACAAAGAGAATTAAATTAATGCTTGCCAGTTTTCACAAGAATTAGTTATCGCTTCTGAGTAAAAACATTTTTTATATTTTCAGAGTCTCCTTTGCTGTCCTCACCTTCTTTTTAGAAAAGGAGATGCCTCTTGATATCATCTTTAAGAGCTTACTTACCTTGGAAATTTTTGACTGGCATAAGGTGGGGAATAAAAACAATTCTGGACTGAGGAACACTCTTTGACCTTACATCCTAGTGCACAAATGACTTTGCGAAGTACCTCAGGAGGCATCTTTCCCAGAATCCTAGAACACTGAATTAATATTTTTGATGTGCTCAAGAAACAAAACCACCCTCTTGGGAATGTAAACACTCAGTCGAAGTTTCTAAGTTTCACCATACATAAAATGCATTTTTACCTCAGTCCATTCAAGCCATATGATTATCTTTAAATTTATGCTGAAGAAAACTCCCAAGAAAATGAGATAAATTAAATACGGAATCAAGGACATATTTTACATAGCTGAGGCCATACTTGTTGCCAAGTGTTCAAGACATTAATTAATATTTTTCCACAGGTGCATTTTACAGGGAAAATTCTGTTTTATCTTTTCATTTGCTCTGAAGTCAGTTATGCTTAATAATATGTTACTTTGGCATCAGAGTGAGGTGCGTTGATAGCTTTGAGCAAAATGCAGTAAAATCACTTTTATAGAGATGTAGCAAGTTGCTATAAAAGTTAAGCACACTTTAGGAACAAAATTTGCCGTAGTTGTCAGGAAACAAAAAAGTCATGGTATTGCCTGAAAGAAAATATAGTATTTCAAAACTTACTGTTAGTTGTATATCAGGTTTCTTATCCAGTAGAACCATGCCTTCACTAGGCAAGCCAAAAGATTTCACTTGGTAACTTAAGAAGCCACCATATGAAGAAAGCTGTAATAAAATGCACGCAATCAGATCAGTGATACTCTACTGTACTGTTGCTTGATATTAATATAAATTTGTATTCAAGTTTATTCCACCTTAATACATTAATTCTTTAGGTTTTCGACCAAATATGTGTTGCTTGGAAGAAGTTCCTTTTTAATCTATTTACTTTGTGTATCCAACATCAGTCACATACATGACTAGTCAGGCATTGGGACGGGTTGCCCAGGAAGGTGGTGGAGTCACCATCCCTGGGGGTGTTCAAGGAAAGGTTGGACGTGGTGCTTGGGGACGTGGCTTAGTGGGTGACACTGGTGGTAGGGGGATGGTTGGATCAGATGATCTTGGAAGCCTTTTCCAACCTTAATGATTCTACAATTACTTTTTGAGTAGTACTTACTACTGTTCTCTGGGTGGTTACCAGCACTACTTTTTTTTCCATACTTTAAATCACACCATCTGTGTTGTGGAGAAATCACACATTCACATGAATGCTGTTCTTCCCCAGGCCCTACAGAACAGCTTTGGGCTCACCAAGAGCAGACATCACACTGAGAATGATATTGGTAGTGTATACCTCATGAACAGACATGAATAAAAATAAAGTAAGACTAAGCATGTTTGAAAGGGGCTCTCACTTCCCAGAATTTTATCAGCTTACTGCAAGTAAGAATCTAATCAGGAAATCTTTGTTTCACTTTCTGGAGGACAAGAGTTTTACTGGTATCAGCTCTATTGCAGAAAGGTGATAACAGACCATTGTTGCAGGTTGAGCCGAGACCCACCGTCTTTTGGCTGAACTACAGGTGAACACAGAAGGCCTTAGCTCCAGTGAAATAAACACACTGCTGCACAAAACTAAGATTGAGGCAAGCAAGTTTGAATCATTTGTCAAATAGCTTCCCTGGGTTGTGTATGAGTGATTCAGTTCAAAATATACATAGACAAAATCATGTTCCAGGAACAGCCTAAACAGTTCTTGTTCCAAGAAGAGTCTGTCAGCAAGTGCTAGGTGAAACACAAACCTTGAAGAAGCTACTAAGTGCCTCTTGTGGCTTGATGTCTCAGTGCCCATGCAGGACGCTCTGCAGTGTTTGGGATAGAGAAGATTGAATTCAAGAAAGTCCTATTTCTGTTACCAACTTCTCATGAAGCAATCTTCAACACTTCAAATTTCCCTTTCTCTCTTGGATTATGAGAGAAAATGATATCATAGTCAAGTCCACTGTATAAATTTGAGAAAATTTTATGCCTGAAGTATATATAGGCAATTTACCGTCTTCCCTTTGGAAGCATACTCTCCATAAAAAAATTAAGGATAAAATCTTCCAGGCACTTTGAATTGGAATGATCGTCAGAAGAAGCACTTACCAGAACTGAAAATACTTCACTAAATCATGATTTTGTCTAATAAATGCTACATCACTAGCTATAAGGGAAATCTGACTGACCTGAGGGTCTACAGAGGTGAGTAGTTAGTTTAAAAAGAAAAAAAGAACTAAAAAAAAAGGGCCAAAACTTCAGTCAAAAGAGCACACAGCAAACAGCTAAGCTGAAACCAAGTGTTTTGCCACAGACACATTACTTTGTTTTGCACCCTTTGCTGTTTGCCCTTATAGCTTGTGCTTGTTTTGGCACGGAAAGAACTGCTTTGTCAGGTTCCAGTGTTCTGCAGGTAAACATCACCATTTGCTCTGTTTGTTTCTATGTATTCTAATGTATTACAAACAAAACACAGATCTCTGTGAAGAGAAATTTGTTCCTTGGATCACAGGGCTGTAATTAAAGCTACTAACTTTTGCCAACAGCATTTTCAAAATCATAATTTGGAACATCGGTTATATTTTGCCAACACAATCAAAATGATCCTGTATATTTTTTTAAAAATATAAGAAAATTCAAGTTAGAGCTCATTTTCTGTTTAACACACATTTTAGGACTGTGCCATATGATGAGCTGTTATGGTAGTGCTTTTTTCTGAAAGTTTTGGGGAAATGCAAAAACATTGGTATTATCAACTGCCCTCTGTATTCTATATGTACAGCATTTATTTTCTAACATTAAAAGTGCTCTACTAAACAGAATTTTAAAATACACAGGAAAAGAAAATGTGGGTTATGTAAACTGAATTTCTCATTCACTGTTAGTTTCTGCACTGCTACACATTTTATATTTGATTCCCTTTTAACTTTGTAAACAGAGAGAGGAAAGAAAATATATTATGCTAAGTATTATGTTGCAATTGAACTAGTTAAATGCTGAAGATAATGGAAAATAGCATTTACGCTCATCATATTGAACAATAAAATGAATGACTGGTGTATTTATGAGCTTGTAAAACTAGCATCGAGATAACATTTCTTTAGTTAGTTTTCCTACTGGAGTATAGCTAGTATCTACTAAAATATACACTTGCACACAGGGCATGGTAAAAGTAGGATCAAACAAACTATTTAATTTACAGTGTTGTCATTTTAAATAAAAGCAAATCATGACGTGTCTGGTTTGACAGTATGACATGCAATATAAAAATCAGCATTGTTCTTAACAGTTGTGTTTAAGAAGGCTATTGACTGCTTTACATTTTGTTATGGGAACAATAAGAAGTTCTTCTGGTTTGACATTACAGTAGATAAAGTATGGCTTAAAGTAACTCTGGAAAATTATTTTTTGACATTGCAGCAGGAGACTCTATAACATAAGCAAAAAAAAAACAACCTAACTAAATGGGTCATTCAACTGAAAGATAGACCTCTGAACCATAGCTCCTGACCATGCTCCTCACATGAAGATCTCCCTGGCACCCACAAAAAAGAAGTATTAATTCTGTTTTGCTGGTTATAGTTTTAACCTTCTACTCAGAAGTCAAATGTTGTGATTCCTGGCATGTCAGGAAAGAGAGAGAAGACTCTAGTCAGGGGAGAGAGAAAAGTATCTAACAAAGACTAGGAGACTCTTTATCAACAATGCTGACAAAAACAAATTCATTTTATTGAAACATTGAAACAGTCGAGTTAGGTGTCATTTACCTTCTCTCCCAGGTAAGATGGTGGTGCTTTCCAGTACAAACTATGCACTGAAGTAGGCAATTCTTGAACATCAGCCACTACACTATTACTGACTGGATTGAAAGTGACTGGAATATCAATATTTCCATCCATTGCCTCCAAGCGCCAGTTCCTCATGTCCACAAACTAAAGAAATAAATGAAATAAAAGTTTGTTTCATCCTTTATTAAACTTCACCAACACTAAGGAATGGGGGGAAATTGTTCAGACTGTAATTCCATAAACACGAATTCAACTCCTTTAAAGGCAGCCCAAAATCTTTGCCAATGGATGTTGGAAGGATCTCAAAACAGAGCTTAAGAGGGACAGATGTGCAAAAGCTACCTGGGATGCCAGCATTTGGCTTGTCAGCTATGAACTAAACTCTGTCTTTAGTCACATGAAGACATGCTGCTTCTGGAGGTGACTGGGAATTATGTAGATAAACCCAAGGACACAATTTGGAGCTTCATTTTTTACGTCCATTCTAAAAATCAAACCAAAGACACTAACCTGAAAGACCTGATACCTTTTAGTGATAGGTTACATTGGAGGAAAGGGACATTGCAGGATATTTTGGGGAGGCAGGCAATGTAGCCTGATATTCTGGCTCTTTAATAATGCACATTTTATGTTCTTGGCTCTTGTTTTGTTAAAGACCATACATCCTATTATTTGTCAATATGCTGGGGAAAAGAAAGCATAATGCATATGTACCTGAACAGCTCTCAGAACCACAGCACAAAAAGATATGTTTTCAAGAACAGTCTTTCCTAAAGACAAGTCTAAACGAAATCTTCCTAAAAACCAATGGAAGTTAGCTACTGACTTCACTGAGGCCAGATTTTCATCTTTGCTTGTAAAAAAATGAAGTGCCATGATCTGGATTACATCTAGTCTATGTCTAATCCTAAACTTAAACTAAGATCAACATCCATCATTCTAGGATGCTACTTCTTCCTTCTCTTTCTCTTGCATTGTTTCAGGCAGTTATTGCTTTTATTTATTAATTTACTTATTTACATCTTCAATCATCTTACCTCATTTCTACCATTCATTCATGTTGCTAACACTTTGAAGCCTATTTTGGCTTCTACCTTTTCTCACCCTTGATAATATCTTTTTTTTTTTTTTAAACAGAGACAGAAGGACAATTTTTACTTCTCCGAGGAACCCTCCACACACTTCTTAGGTTTCAAGACATACCTGTGATAAAGATGTGAAATGACATGTGCATTTATCAAAGCATGATGAACCACTGACTTTAATGATGAACCAGTGTCTGAAGATAAAGCACTAGATAGCTAGCTTAATTTCAGTCCAGCTAGCAATCTGTAAGCAAACAGGTGAAAAGGGCCATTTCTGCTGATGGGCACATTCAAACTACACCTAAGTCCTAATGATGCTGCACCAAAACTGCACCATTACTTGCAAATTATTTCCCATCCTTCACAACTAATAAAATAGCATGTAGAATTTTGGAAGAAAAATGGCATTTCCATAATGGAGTAAATGTAGGTTCGTGACAGCAAAGAAGAAAACTAATGAAAACACCTTGGTTCTACGACGATTTGTGCTGCGACAGTTGCTGGTTGCCCCAAAACAAAAGCAAGTGGTGCATCCCTTGGGATTAGAAGGGTCCAGATAAAATGATCCTGGTCGGCAAACACTGCAATCTGCACCTTCTACATTCTCCTGTCAAAACACAGTTGAAAGAATTCTCAGAGTTTTCCTTTTGGTTTTGTGAGGCTCCCAAAGCCTTCTGCATATAAATAAATATTTAAACATACGGAAACATGAATGAAAACATGTGACTGTCTGTGTACACCATATTCTAAATGCAAATAAAATTGACTTCTTTGAGACTATCTTAGTTATGAGCTGTCTTTCCAGTTTATTAAGTGAACCACTGAGTAATACATATTAGTCAGAGACAGCTGGTAACTTCCCTGCCAAAGCCCTCCTGCTGGCTTTTCAAAACCTACAATATAAAAGGTCTCTTGTGAAAGTTCACATTTATCACATTTAATTATGCAGATCAGAACAAAAGAAGATTTTCTGGATATAATGATGTGGTGAAATGTCAACCGACATAATATGGCTAAAAAAAGCCTGGAACCTGGTTAACATCCAAAAACTGAGATGCAGATGCATAAAGCAGATCTATGCAGGGTACAAACCGCTTCAGGGAATCAATGGACATCTACATTGTAGCACTGTCAGATACTTTAAAGACTAAGACTACCCATAAAACAGATACTGAACTCATTAAAAGAAAAAAAAATCTGCTATCATGATAATCTGTACACATATTGCAAGGTGCGGTGGTTTTCTACAGCTACATTTAATTCTAAATGATAAAATCACTTTAACCATGCCATTAAATATGAAATGATCACTGATGTGCAAACAATGCTTATGAATGCAGAAATAATTTGATTTATCTGACCTTGCAGAGGCAAATTCCTGTATGGGGATCACAAATATCTGGTTCTGTTCCATCTCTGTTACAATTACATGGCACGCAGTTTGGGAAACCGTAAGTACCTGGAGCACACTGATCACACCGCCGTCCTTTTATTCCTGGTTTGCATCTTTATCAACAAACATACAAATAAGAGAAAACCAATGAGTTAGGCAGGAATGGAGAGAGGGAAGGAGGAAAGGAAGATTGAAACAAAGGGCTGGTAGCTTTCTGAAGAAATTGCATGGCTGTGAAACAGCTTTATGATTTCCAAGAAGAAACAGCAGCAGGTTGGTACTGATCTCAGGTTTGAATGGTGAGAAATACTGCAATGTTTCATAGTGCTCATAGAAATTATTAGGAAGGGATTTAATTTCGTAAGATAAATGCTCACAATATAATTAGACTTTTGCAGCTAATCAGTCCTTGCAGCACAGAACTACTCTCACTATACACCAAAGAGTGAAACATGGATGTTTAATACGGGTAAGCACAATTGGAAGAGGATTTACAGCTGGAGGATGTGACTGAGCATTTCTCAAGGGACTCAACTGCTAACAAAAAGGTGGGGAAACCCAGGAATATGAATAATTACGGGGACTTCAACCTGCTACAAGTCTTGTGTTAGTTTACAACTGTTCAGAAGGGACAGCGAGGGCTGAAACCTTTGGATTTATTTAGGAGAAATATAGATGATGCAAAAACCACTATCAAGCTACGAACAAAGCTTGAGACAGCAGAAAACACCTTTCCGTGGCAGCAGCTCATTCCTCCTGCCTTTGGAACTAACTTCTTCATGAAATCTGACAATTTTTCTTGCTCCTGTCTATACTAGCCTATTCTCACAATCTATCTTTACTAGTTCAAAAGTCTCAAGAAAGTAAGGACCCACTGATAAAGAATGCCAGCCACCACCACCATCCACATTTTTAAATCATGTAATTTACAACTAAACTGTAAAAATGCTCAGAGATTTAGCGGAATCTTCTTTTGCTCTCAGCATCAAATTTATACGTGTACTAATGCTACAAACTTAATGGATATAAACAGTTAAAGTGTGCAGACAAGGTGCGCTTCATGTAAAATATGAAAACAATTACTCAGTTCATCAAACAATGGGCGAGGTTTCTCAGAGTCTCTCTGAATGCATTACCCATACACAGAGATAACTGGAACTAAATGGGAACTTTGAACTTCATGTAATCCAAACAAGGAAAAGTATTAATCAGAATCTAGTAGTTGGCTATATACTGTAGAATCAGTCCAAAAACACTGGTTAAAAGTCAAGTTTTGCTTCAGAACTATTGTACTTATAAGTAGACATTTCATTTATCTTACCAATTGGGCTGTATGTGAGCAATATCACCATTATAACCAGGCAATACAGCTTTTCACTGAAACAGGAAATCTTACTATTTTTGCAAACGTTGCCCTCAATTTTACACAAGCATAAAGATAGGGCTTAGCATATCTAAAGTAATAGATTTTATTTCACTGAATTATGTATTTTATTTATTTTTTGTGCAGCTTTGGTTGCCTCCTGTAAGAGCAAGCTATGGGGAAAACGAAAGTAGAGACCAATTAGATGTAGAGTGCACCAGGACGTGCAGAATATGGTACACCTTAACCCTGAATCCTGACTTCTATCTATGAAAGAAGTTTCCTGTTTTGTCATTGGTATAAAATAATCATTCAGTTCATACGAAATGGACAGACTTTAGAAATTATTTTAAATTCAGGAAATAGAGTATTCTCTGAAAATGAGTATTCTGTCATATTTACAGGACTAATGGCAGAGCAGCAAAGACCATATTTCTCTTTGTTTGGACACTACAAAAACATAGCCAGTCCAATCAAAATGAATTAACCTTGGCCTTACGCAACATATTGGCTCCCGCATATTTGTACTTGCTATTTAAGGACTCACCTCTCCAAGGAAGTAATAGGAATGTTCAACTACATTAATATTGACAGCATCTGAATTTAATAAAATTCCCAAGAGTTACAGCTGTATGCTTTCCATATTTTAGACAATACAAATAGGAGAATACATAAAAGAATCAATTTTCAGCTCAGCATGCTGAGATACAAAAGAACAATCATATGTCATACAGAGGGCATAACAGGGCCCTGTCTGTCACTCCAATTGAACAGTAGTTTCCATACACACAGCACCTATCATCAGTTTCTCAAAACTCATTGCAAATATTCAAGCTTTACAGTACTTCAAAACGTTACTGGACTTAAACCCACACATTAGATTGTGGAAGGTCAACTGCAAAGTTTTAACAATTTGGGAGATAACATACACAATTATAGATGATGCACGTGCCAGAAGTCAGAAGTTCTGGTCCAAGGTCACTAATATCTGGGCACTGGATAAGCTATATGAGATGAACAGAGATTTGGTGACTTACTGCAAGTGACATAGCATGTCACTGGCAAATGATGCATGCTTGGGTATCCCAAAGCCCACCATTCGTTACTGCACAAACCAAATTTTCACTAAGCATTGCATGTATTCCTGTAATAAATTCCTGTAATAACTGAGTTCTAGCTACCACCAAGCACTGCTTAGATCTTTGCTCATTATCGTAAAAGTTCCCCGAATCCTCCAAATACCTGGAAAAAAAAAAAGCAAACCACTCATGCAACATTATTAATGCATGTAGTCCAAACTTACTTGCATTGCCCGTTGTTTTTTTCACAGTCTGGGCTTGCCGCATTAATAATGCCTCTTTCTGAACAGTTGCAGCTCTCACAGCCAGCGAGAGGGTGATAGCTGAAGTAATGTTTCTCACACACTTCGCATTTTGGTTTCACAGTTCGAGGAGGGCAAATGCATTTACCAGTTATGTCATCACAAAGACGCTGCCCACAGTTGCACACTAGGTCAAAAAAAAAGTTACACAAATTAATCCACAATAATCAACTTTTATTAAAATTTGTATATAAAACAAACAGACACAACATGTTTCATTTTCTCTCTTTCATTAGTTTTAAACCCAGGTGGCTTGTTTAACTCCAACTATTAAAATGATTTCAGTTTAAGACCGATCAAGGTCACGGAAACCAATTATGTAACTGTAGTTTCAAAGAGTATCTTGAGAGCCTGATTATTTTCCACAGAATGGTTGCTTAAATTCACCACAGCAATTATTAACGCTTCCCAAACCTGCCAAGTATTAAACAACAAATAGCTTTGGTTTCAAGGGCACCATTTTTACAAAGAAACATTAATAAACATAGGGTATTACATCTACATTACACTGAAAGCTATGCTATGCTAAATCTAAGACTGTAATGGGGTTAGGTGGCAAAGCTTTGGTAGCAGGGCTGTGCTTCAGGGATGGTTTCTTTGAGAAGAATCCAGAAGCTGCCACATGTTAGATAAGGGCCAGTTTCAGCCAGCTCCAAAGGGACCCACCACCGGCCAGAGACACGCCAGTGAGTGATGTTGTTTGTGCCTCTGTGAGAGCAGATAGAAGAAAGGGTGGGAAAAATAAAACTGCTGGTTAACAGCAGCTGGGAGAGAGGAGTGAGAAGCAGCCCTGCAGCCCCCAAGGTCAGTGCAGAAGGAGAGCAGGAGGTGCTCCAGGCACGCAGCAGCAGTTCCCCTGCAGCCTGTGGAGAGGCCCCTGGTGGAGCAGGCTGTCCCCCTGCAGCCCATGGGTCCCCCATGGAGCAGATCTCCACGCTGCAGCCCCCCCGTGGGTGGAGGAGCCCCTGGTGGAGCAGGTGGATGTGGCCTGGAGGAGGCTGCGGCCCATGGAGAGCCCCCGCAGGAGCAGGCCCCAGGCCGGAGCTGCAGCCCGTGGAGAGGAGCCCACGCAGGAGCAGGGGGTCTGGGGGGAGCTGCCGCCCAGCCGTGGGGGATCCGTGCTGGAGCAGTTTGCTGCTTGGGGATGAGTGAACCCTGTGGTATAGGTCCACATGGGAGCAGTTCTTGAAGAGCTGCTGCCTGTGGGCAGCCCCCACAGGCTCAGTTTGGGAAGGACGGCATCCCCTGGGATAGACCCCACATGGAGCAGGGGCAGGGAGTGACCATGAAGGAGCGTCAGAGACAAAGCATCAGGGACTGACCGCAGCCCTCATGCCCCTGCGCCGCTTGGGGGAGGAGGTGGAAGAGGGTGGCTGGGAGGAAGGTGTTTTTAGTTTCTTTATTTCTCACTGCTCTAGATTGTTAGTAATAGGCAATAAATTTCGCTAATCTCCCTACACTGAGTCTGTTTTGCCTGTGTCAATAACCGTTGAGAGATCTCCCTATCCTTATCTCAACCCTTGAGCCCTCTGCATCATATTTTCTCCCCCTTTCCTTTTGAGAAGGGGGACTGAGAGGGCGGTTGAATCTCAGCTGCCCACCTGAGTAAAACCACCTACGCTATGCTAAACCTAAGACGGCTCAACCAGCCTGTTACAGGGTCAAGCCCTACAAAGAAAAGTGAGGTCACTGCCTGTGCAGTATAATCTGAGAATAAAATAACTAAGGTCAGGTCAGGCACTGAATACATCAGAGCATGTACTTACGCTTGCAGAATGGAAATCCATAGTAGCCAGTTTGGCATCTGCTGCACTGACGACCGATGACATTAGGTCTGCACATACACTGCCCTCCCAGGGGGCTGCAAGTGGGGCTCATGGCACCTTCCCTATGGCAATTACATGGCACTGCTCCGTTGTTGTAGAAAGCCACTAGTGACCTTGCAGAATCCTTACAGAAGGCTGATGATCTTTCTGGGCTATTTACATTGAAATATAAATCACGTTAGTAATGCCACTTGAAAACTGCTGGGAGAATGCTTTGCAGTGGTTCAGTAAATTGGGGTCCTGTCTTTCAAACAATTATTTGAAATATGGAAGGTGTCAGTACACATGCAAGGATATGCACAAAGTAATTGCATTAGTAGTAAGTGGCTCATGTAGATAAGATTTTTTTTTCAAAGAAGTGCTCGTATTAGTCTTATCAGTTCAGACATGCCAAGCAAAATATGAAATACCAAAGATGGAAATACCAAAGACAGAGAGAGGACACAGATTTTCCTCTTTTGTACTGTGAGCAATAAAGCTCTACCCTTACATTTCATCTACAATAGAAAGTCATGCAAAAATGACTCATGGAAAATTAAAAGGCCAGCATAAGCCATGAAAAGCATTTGAATGTAGCAGAGCGATGGGGATTTTATACGTTTCTTTAATATGGAGTGAAAATAATATTAAATCCTAGCTTGCTCAGTTTTTCAGAGAGTGATGCTTACTCAATATAAAAACTGTTTCCTCCACATTGGTTGATAAAATCAAATGACTTGTCCACAGTCTTTTTGTCAAGAATTTTGTAACTGTAGTTGTCTGCTGGAACAACTAAGACATTTTCCTTAAAACAACAAAAAAGCTAGATTGTACATCTCAGAGAAAAACAAAAGAAACAAGCTAAGGCATTTATATATTTAAACATTACTTCATTATGAATTCTGGATTTTCCCAAAAATGCTAACACTTTAAGCAAAAGGGTAGGAAAATATACTTCATTATCTATCTCCCTGAACTTAGAATACAAGCAGCATACAATAAAAATACTGTATGATATCTTAAAATTTAAAGTAAAAACAAAACTAGTGTACAAGATCCTAAAATACTGAAAATTTGAAAATTGATAATTTAAAATTGTCTCTAAATGGCTGGTGAAACTGAGAAGAATACTTCCAAGTATGTTTATGCAATAAACTTACCAAAACCAGCATTCTTCCGTCAGGTATAATGACTGTAACAGAGACTTCAGGTTCAGAAATGTCAAGCTCAATTTGGTTTTCTACAATCACCTGATCCCGACATCCAGAAGTATGAGGGCAGAATGAAGCATTGATGGAACCTATAAGAAAAAGCACAATGCCAAATAATGACCTGAGTGCCAAAAAGCCGAGAGGAGAATGAAGTTAGATCAAATTTGAAAGCCTACCTGACCACACACGTCCTGCATTCACATGCACCTGCACAGGGAACGTTGGATGTGCTGGCTGATAAAAATGTAGCACAAATACGTATCTGCCCAGGTGGGGCACTCTGCCACTCATGGTAATCTGGTTCTGCAGAAAGAAGAACAGCTCTAACGGTATATATGTTTTGTGAAATACTCATCATTTCATGAACTGTGCTCTGTATTGCTTAGTTGCAACAGAAGAGAGGCGGCTTAGCATTTCTCAGGAAGTTAACAATACCTTCAAAGGATACGGCATTGCATCTGCATGCTCCTATCTGTTCGCATGCCAAGCATATGTAATTCACTTCTGCAGTCTGTGACACTACTACAGCTTTAGAAAGAAGCTGGCATTTTTGTTTCTCTTTCTATATATTATATTTGTGGCTTATTCAATCTGCAATATTTTTATCCTATAATTTAGTTGTGATTTTCTTAGAATGCTTGATCTATTCACCTTTACTAAGAACATAATTTGTGACTTAGGAAACAGTATTTTCAAAATGTGAACTACCTGCGATGATGTCAGGATGACTTTGTTAACTGAGTCAGAAGGTAAAGGGGCATTCAGTGGATCATGGAGTATATTTCTCTGTACTTCAGAAATTTTCCCATCCCTGAATGCATCCAAAACCAAAGCCGCTGGTGGAGTATCATACACTGATGGAATGCATGTTACGCTAAAAACAAGAATTATATTAATTACTCTTGTGGTCAGGAGCATTCCTTAAGCATCATGAAAGAAAAAAAAACAGTCAACTCCCAGAAGTTAATACATTAGAATGTAATACAATTAATAACACAGTAGTAACCACTGTTACTCTTTGGAATTTTATGATCAATAAATGAAAAACAAGAGGTATAGATCTAACTCACAGAGGGGAAAATGTACATGACTGCTTTTATTCACTCAAAATTTCCATAACCTGAACAGTTTCAATAAAAAGAGTTTGCCAGGGGAACCAAAGGTGTTAAAAATACAATTGTTAGTGAATCCAGTTAGTTACATTCACCAGTTGAAATTTCAGTTCTACAAATATTTATGTAGGTGTATCCCTTAAACATGAGAGTTTTCCCATTGAAGCCAGTGGGACTACTTAAGTACTTAAAAGTTAAGTATACACTCAAATATTTGTAGAGGTGAAGCCAAAATAAATTACAGTGCTCCCTGAAAACATCCCCTTTCATCCACTGTTGTTTTTAACTATTTCTTCCTTGGTATATTTAAGTCTGAAGAACTTGATTGAGAGAAGTAGTTTCCAAGACTGCAGGAAAAAATGTTATTTGGGGGTTTCACACTAGTATTTATTCACTTCGTGTAAGTACTCAGCAGACAATGATTAATCTCTGCTTAAGACAGGCCCAGAACTGGAATGGCAAATACGTTTCAGGGCCAGGACTGAGATGTATTTGCCAGGCTTGTGTGGGAAACCACGTGCAGCATCCACTTATAATACTATTAAACTGAGCCAAGACTCTGAATCTTTCAACTTGGTGAACACTGAACACTTTCAGGAAAGCAAAAATGCTGCCAGATAACGGTCTTAATAACAGACCATAAATATACAGTAAACTATGCAAGTACAGCAAGTGATTTAAGAAATAAATAAATAAAACCAAATAAAATAAAAGGTACGTATATCTACATTAGCTTGACTTTATACCATGCTTTTCACCCAGCCTCCTTTCCCCATTTTACTCAGAGTACAAATACCCAAGAATGCCAAATGCCCTTCATGAGAGGACAACTATCTTCAGTGTTAGAAAGCTGCTCTCAGTTGTAAGATTCTGAACAGCAGGAGAATTAGAGCTGCAATTCAATGCTATGCCCACTTGCAAGCCAAGTGCAGTCACATGCTTTTATCCAATTTAATATCCAGATTTTTCTGTTTCCTATTTCAGTTCAACCATTGAAACTACCATTAGAAATCACCATCTGGAAAACCATTAGACCTAGTCACCAATTCTGCCTCTGAAGTGTTGCAAATGTAGTTTACTATTACTTTGAGGCTCCCTTCATTGTCAGATCAGTTGGGGGTTAAAAAAAAAAAAACAAAAAAAAAACCTCAACTTAGGACTAGAATCACAAGGACATCCAGGGAGGTGCAACAGGAATCGAAATGTGGGGCTTCCTAATTCAGGAACTGCAATGATATTTCCTCTCTGGTGCAAAGAACGAAACACATGGAGAGAAGAATGCCAACAGGACGGAGCAAGTGCTCTGCAGAATCTGGAAGTGACTAATTAGGAAGTGAACATTTCGGTTCAAATGTTCTCAGTAACAAGGGGACATTGACCTGTGTTGACCCAACTGCATATGAGTACTCCAACTACTGGTACTACACAAGTATAAAGGAGGAGGGGAAGGATCTGCTGTGAGCAACGAACGCTGAGGGCACGCTTAGCATCACCTATCATAAAGGACCCACAATGAGGGGGAGAAGGGAGTGTCTTGTTTGTGAAGAAGGGGTTTACACATTGAGTAGTTTGGGGCTGCTACATTTTGCTGGTGGAGCTGTGAATTTGGGATACCTGAAAGGAAATTCATATCCCTTACCAATTAGAAATTAAAGCCATTCTGAAACAGGTGAAGCAGTAACATGCAGAATCAAAGTCCAAGCAGAACAGTGAGTATTTCAGGCCTGTTAATTCATGGCTTGCCACAGAAACAGCAATATTTTTCCAGCTTGGACACCTATTATACTGGAAAGCACGTGAGATACTTGTGTATTTTAATACATTAGCACTCGGTAGCTCAGATGGGAAAGGCTAGTATTACCAACATCTTGCATAAAGCCTGTCTATATTAACACTAATATTTCTGCTTTCAATTACCAGTACAATTATTTTAATTATTATTTTTTATTTTTACAAATGCTACCTTGTAAAAGTGGTCAACAAACCACCTTTGAGTCACTGAGCAAAGATTCATTTAAAAGCATTAAAATTCACTTTAATCTCTCCTTCAGGGTCTATTTCAGAAAATATAAAGGATAACAACAAGCAAGTTACCTTCCATCATGGGTACTCCTGTAAACGGCTATGCAATGTACTTTAGGATTCACATATTCTGGAGAAAATTCTTCAGCTGATATAATACAAATCTTGTGCTGAAAAATAAGCACAAGGTACAATTAGCAATTAATACTGTAAATAAATAATAGGGCCAAGCCTGAAAGGAGAACAATGTAGACTAATGTTAGCATAGGGAGATCTAAGTCCCAACCCATGTACTGTTATGGGTTTTGTGAGCAGTTTTGGATCCCTTACCTACCTGCACCTGAATGTCTCAGTATTTAAAAGTATTTTTCTGTCCTTCCCAGGGAACGTTAGCTATTGGGAAGTTAAATAAATTAAAATGCAAGCATATGTATGGTAATGGGAATCACAGAAGACCAGCTTGCAGGGTCGGAAGCTAGCCAAGGGTGAACACGATTATACAGAACAAGGGTCAGAAGGAAAAGCCCTCATCAGTGTTGTTAAGACTTTCAGACCCTGGGGGAATTCCTAGTCTTTCTGAAATGCAGGCAGTAATATTTGCTCACACAAAGTCCTTAGAAATGAGCTTTGGTGACTATGAGATTTCTTCCAGTGGATTCAGAATTCAGTTTAAAAAATGTTGGTCTTTTTTTTTTTTTGACATAAGGCATGGCTTGTAGGTAGATACAACAGTTAGTGCCAATAAAAAGATATTACTTGCACTTCCGAAATATGTAAGTGCAGGTTACAAAATGTGTGCATGAACTACTTCAAAAGGAAACAAAAAAGCACTTGATAAAGGTAACTAGCACTACATATTAGTTACAAATAGCAATTAAAAAAAGGGAGAATGCATTTATGTGCAAAGTGATTTGCTTTAGAAGCAGTCGTAAAGGAGCTCAACTTGTGTTTTAGCATAAGTGAGCATGGAATATAAACCCTTTATAAGCTAGAAGGCAGAGTGCCAAAAATCCCTTTTCCTGGGCAGCATGCATTAAGCTTATTCTGCCTGTAATGACCCATAGGTCTCCAGCCCATTGCAGCAGAACAAGGGTAGACTCTGAAGATCTGAACTGTACTTTCAGAGCAGATAAAAAGTTACTGTGGAACATCATTTGGATTTAGACGGCTCATTTGCATCTGTCTGAGATAAAGTTGTTAGAGCCCCTCTTGAAAGCTGACCTCAACAATCCCATTTCCCCTTTACTATTTAGACAGATTTCTGAACTCCAGCAGTGAGAGTGGTTCCCCTTTTCTCCTTTATTCTGTGCAACAGGGGTTCTTTAACTCCAAATCTGCTAAGACGCTGACCCCATAGATAATGTCCATACAACACAAGTTCTTCTTTGCCTCATTCTCATCTTATGGTAAATGCAGCGTTTAAGTTTAACGCAGGGAAATATTTTTCTGTATCTCAATCTTGAAGCAAGTCATTTAGAAAAAGGAAACTGTAATTTGGAAGACAAAATATTATCATGAAGCTTCCATATGTGGAGATACAGCCTAATAATATCGATATCCTTTGGGTATGGATCTTGTTAAGCACAGGAACTGCTACCGGGAGCTACCACACAATTTAAATGGTATTTGTTCACACTGAATGCTGCCTCAGGAAATGAAGTCCTGACAATCCTAACAGTGCCATGGAACAACTCTGTGTTTATACTTTGGTTTTAACTTTTGATTTAAACCAACTGTGTAACTGGCCTCATGTTTCTAAAATGGTAAACACTGAAACAACCTAGAAAAATAAATCAGTATCCAGAAAAATGTATTACTGGTGTGGGCCAAAAGATGGCAGTGAAGGTTTTTTATTCAAAGCATTTAAAAGTTCTATCTTTTCTAAAATGAGTGCACTTATTATCTGAAATTTTGTAAGAGACATCGAAAATGCCTCTGTTTTGAAGATTAAAAGAAAGGGAAAGGGAAAAATATAGTAACGAAGAAAAAAGCTATCAGCATATTTTTCAATTAAAGTTTACATGCACAAAACAGAGGGCAACTGAAATAAAGCATAACAGAATTGGAAATACCCTTGCAAAGATCAGAGATAAAAAAGATAAACAGGGATTTGCCTTTCTTGTTTGACTCAGTATCTTCTGACTATATACAAACCAACATCTTGAAGAATCTAATATACATCCTTTCACACATCACCACAGAGCTTGTGAATATACGGAGAAAAGTACATCTCTTTACCTACTTGGGGAACAAATATTACAAAAGGGAAAGAAAATGGAAGCTTACCAGAAGAAAATTAATTGATGATGCCTTAAGCTGTATCTTTGTATCTGCTAGAAGATCATAGGCTGCAATACGATTTCTGTCATCCACAACAACACTGCGACAAAGGAAACTGAGACAGAAAGCAGGATTAAAAATTAGCCTCCTGGCATTGCCATGTTGTTTGTGCAACTGTGTAGCTCAGCTGAGGCCCAGTTAGCCTCACCACAGGCACCTAGTCATTCTGCTGGACCTGCAAACAACTATGTTCAGCCACTGGTGAATGCAGTATCCTCACTGCAGAGACAAAGGAAGCACTACATATGAAATGTGGCTTGCCCTGTGTAGGTTGCCTGCACAGAGTCCAAACCTCCTGACCTTTGTTTAGTTCTCCAGTTGAGCTACTGCTAGCAGTACACTGAGAGGTAGGTCTGTGCCTCTAGTCAATTATCTTAGATCGGCTGCACATCTTTAGTTAAGACCAACATGTACTAAGAGGAAGAATCTTACTAAAGACTTGGGACTCTGCCTTGCTCATGGAACATGACCCCTACAGGCTTCCAAAAGTAGAAACATTTCCCTTTTCCTAAAAGAGGAAGTCACGTACAGATTGGACAGGACTTTGAGCAACCTTATGTAGTGGGAGATGTCCCCATGACAGGGGAGTTAGATCTAGATGATCTTTAGAGGTCCCTTTTGACCCAAACCATTCTATGGTTCTATGATACAAGATGCTAATTTCTTTTGCTTCTTCTGCTCAGCAAAGCCAGCCAGCATGCTGTGGGTGAGAAGCTGTAATTACCATACAACTCCTCCTATTTCTCCTCTAGGAATCAGAGAATGTTGAAGTTTCACTGCTGTTCAGAGCACAGCTCAGAAATAAGGACATCTCAGGGCTAAGGACACTTAAGAAGAATAGAGGTCTCTGATTTTCACTAGAAACTGGGCAACTGAGAATGTCTGTGAATCTGGGATCCATTCTCTTCCAATGTTTTATTGGGAATAATCGATCTGATAGAGCTGTAAGTAGACCTGGCATACTTTATTCATGATTCTATGACAAAATTCATTATGCAGTTTTGATTGTTTCCTTTTTTAATAGACACGTATCTTCCTGCTCAGGATAGATGACACAGCAGCTTATTGCAGTGGCACCATTAGTTTCAATGCAGAATGGCAGCAGAAAGGATTTACTGAGTCTTTTCACAAGCAAGCTTTTAACATATGCATACAAACAAGTTTTAGTTCAAACAATTTAGTTCAAAAAAAACAAACACATTTTAGTTCATAAAATGTGTTTAATTAAAAAAAAAAAAAAAAAAGAGCTTGGGGTTCAAAGTGTTATATATCAGGCTAAAATAAGAGCAGTGACCTGGCAAAGTCACAGAGATCTGTTCTGTATCACAAACATGCTGATGAAAATCCTGAATATCCCTAAGTCTACAATATGTCAAACACTTGGCTCACAAGAAAAAAATTATGTATGTCAGTAGCCCCCTGACACTCCTAGGGGCACAAACATCTGCGGGATCACAATCCTAATTTGAATCATACTCTGAACTTGCTCAAGCGTTAAAGACAATCTCACTTATGACAGACAAAATCTCTGGAACATCTGCAGTAACCTCAGTAGCCAACAAGGATAAAGAAACATAGGGCTTGAGGCCTACTCAAAATTTCAGAGAAACGCATACCTTTGCTTCAGCAAATCTTGTTAGAGGGGTGGAAACACTCTTGTAAAACTGGCTGCTACTTTTTTTTCTTTTTATAGTCAAAACCCTCAGACATGCTTTTAACTAAACAAGCATAAACAGTGCAAACATCTACAGCCAACAGAGCTGCTGGATGTTCTGCTACTGGACTCTATAATTAATAGTTTATAAGGATTTACAAGTGTATATAAAAACCCCTTTGTACAGAAAAAGTTCACTAAAGCAGTAGCAATATTTAATGTGCTGACTGCACAGACTTAAAAATCTGTACAACTCAAAGAATTATGTATTTGCTTTTAAATTACCCTAAAATTTGAACAACAGTAACAGCAGTAAAATGGATTCCAATATATAAAAAGTATAATTATATTCTAAATGGTTATTTAAGCACTTTGGAAATTCTTACCTGTATTTGCAACTGTATATTCTTACTTGGCCTTCTGTGACAGGTCCTGGGCTATTTATTTTTACCTCAGCAGTGTATAACTGGTCATCTTCATTGGCATATTCAAAAACAAGAACATAGCGACCAATTTGAGGAACATTTATGGTCATCTGTAAATTGACCTAGGTCAAGCATCATTAAAAAAAAAAAAATTAGATTTTTCACTCTCTTTTCTTCTTGCAGGAAGCTCCCTTTGCCTGCCCTGCAAGCTAACCCGTCTTCATCAGCCTAGGGCCAGCCCTGCGCTGTCTCAGCAAAAGGCAGTCCAGCAGAATGGAAGCAGTGCTTATAAATAATCACTTTGTCCACTAGTAAGAGTCAACCAGATTCAGGAAACAGCTGCCATTATAACAGCTCTAGGAAGATAACAGCAGATCTGCAAGATAAGGCTAGGAAATGAGGCTTATTATTTCTATTCTTGGCAGTATAAACTATCAGTGAGGAAAATCTGATGTTCCTAAAAAACTGTCACCCTCATCTATAAGCTATCTTTAAAAAACAAATCAAAATTGACTCTTAATTCTCTACTGAATAAACATTTCCATGAACAGAACTCCTAGTACCTGCAGCGCTTTACACTAATTCCCTACAAAGACTGAGAGCATTATCTCCAGGAAATAGCCATTGCCACTTTCTGAAACATCAGATTTTTCTTTTAGTTTACCTGTGCAAGTTGGTTAAAGTAATATTTTACAGAAAATACTTTGAAGTAGTTGCATGAAAAGTGCTGTGGTTACACAGGTTTTTGTTACAGGGGGCTATATAATTATTTTCAAACATAAGATGTTTTTCTCAAGATGTCCTTAGGCTGTGAACTTTTCAACAAGCAAATAATTCTGTCAACAGCCATCCCGACTTCACTGCAATAAGTCATAACAGTAACGTTTTGCACACACATCAGTGATGAAGCACCAGGGCCTATGACATTTAAGTATCATTGGCACAGTTGGTATTTTTAAAGCAACTGTCAGAACACAGTAACAGAGGACACAATCACTTTACATTTAATTATCATGGACTTCATAAAATAGCTTTTTAAAAAAAAAAAATGCTTCTAGTATAATTTTTGGTTTCGTGAAACATGTTTCTTTTTCAGTGGACCCACAGCAGTATCATATTTGCATCTGCTTGTTCTTTACTAAAGCAAATATTTTACATAATTATAGCTATTTAAGCAACAACAACAACAAAAAAAGATGAATTTGGAGTTACATACATACTCCATTACTGCTGACAAACCATTTTGCCATTGTTACTACAATTAAGCAATATGCTGAACTAGACAGTATGCCTAAAACACAGGGATTTTTATTTTATTAAATACTTTTCTCAGAGCAAAACATCCTCTCTAGTCATAGTTATACATCTGCCAATACTGATTTGTTTACATGGATCGGTATAAAATATAGAACTTAGTACAGAGCCTGTTTTAGGGATGAGTTACAGATCTGCAAATCCTGAGCCATGAATCTGCCACTGTTTTTTCAGACCAGTAGTTTTGTAGTTAATAGTGCAGATGCAACTGTGATTAGCATGCAGGAATCTCACCTCTCTTCCACTGATATGGGACATCACTGGTTGATCAGGAGTTGGCTGCCGAACAGGTATTCTTCTGTATTCTCCCCCACGTCTGTAATATGCTACCTCTGAACCGAGGACACAGGAAAATCTGCCCAGTGGCAAATGCTGATAGAGCAAGCAGCTTACACAAAACAAAAACACAACACAGAATTATTATTGCTTTCAATTGCAGCAGTATAATAACAACATAATCCAAAGCAATGGTTTATTCTGTGGCATAGATACTGACTTCTCTGTTGAAACACGTCCAGGATAGGTGCAAGGCTCCGTAACTTGTATCTGCAAGATGGATGCTTCATAATAATCACTAGGTAACAGCACCATATAATCCTAGGAACAAATGTAACAAATGCAAGACCATGCAGAAAATTACAAAAGGAACTTCTCCAGACGTTCACAATGTAGCAATGCACAAAACCAATCACACAAATAATTTTTATGAAGGATATCTGCAATACACATATAGATTTTTTGTTGCTATATGGGCCAGCGACATCCCTATGTGTCATGGTAAATGCTTATATCTTCACAGAGACAGTTTGAAGGCAGCTGCCTTGTAAGCAGGGAAACTCTGCATCCACTATCCCATCACGTGTTGTACAAGATGGTGCTCATAAAGGAGGTTCCCCACTACATCTGTGCCTTGCAGGACTTGTCAAGTCCAGAGCCTCTGAATCTAAAAGCACAGGCCCCTCCTACTTAAGCTTTAAAGCTAAGAAACACCTATCTTCTAACCCAAAGTTGTTCTTGCTTTATAAGCCAAATGGTCCAGTCAGTAGAGTGGAAAAAAGAATCAGTTTGTATAAGCTTGCGTTGCACAGGTGCTGCTTGGTAATACACAGCTGGCTCTGCACAGTTTTCACCCATGTATGCTATTCACCTGCATACAGCTCAACTGTGTTTGACTCTGCAAGGGAGATTCATGTATCCCAGGTGACTTCATAAAAATATTCCTCATCATCTATTAAACTGTGCTTCAAGAAGCTGGTATATTTTTGCTCTGCCTTTTCAACTTAAAAGAGTGGAGTTTTTTTATAAAAACTTTCTTTTATGAATACATACTAGGCTAAGATCATTAACAAATTCCTTTTCAAAGGTGTTAAAGAAAAAGGCACAATAGTACTATCACTTCCAGCAAGAAATACGCTGCAAGCTCTTTAGTAACATTCTACGTGGCGTTCCATAAATTTAACAGAGCCCCAGGGTTGATGACTAAAGATATCGGCTACTTGTTAAATGTATATCAAATACATAAGAATTTCAGTATAGCATCTTTGTGATCATGCATCTTTAAGGTTTTCTATAAAAGCTCACCTCAAAGACTTTGTCTTTTTATAGCAACTCACAGCAGTTGTCACAGAAAATTTTTCAGTAAGTGGAAGGAGAGTAAAGATGGGAGGATAAAAAGCTTTACTTATGTTATGTGATATGCAAGAATTACTAATTTCTATGAGCTTTTATGCTCAACCAATTGTGCTGTATATTAATACTACTTCAACATTTGAAGGTACAGATTCTGGACAGACAAAGTCTGTAAGCACATGAAAAATTACAGCAGATGGAAGTCAGAGAAGGGAAAAAAAGTGAAATTAGAGGCTGAACTGTATATTTTCATAATGACATTCTGCCACTCTACTATTTTCACTACTACTGTGCAATTTCAATTGCTTCCAGGGTTGTTCCTGACAAACAACTCCAGAGCAATATTATCATGACAGCCTTCAAGCACTTGTTTTCTTCAATTGTTTTCTTACCAAGAGGACTTCCTCTGCCATTATACTGACAATCCACATTCCTGGAACCAATGAGAAAGATTCTGTGGAGCTTTTTCCTGGGATTGTGACAAAAGCTGGCTCCTTGCTGGGTGGGAAGACAAATTCGTTGCTCTGGGCAGCCCCTGCCAGAAAAAAAAAGGTTTTTTTTTTTTGTTTGGTTTGGTTTTTTTAAAAAAAGTAAAAAATAAGGGACTGAGTAAAATGTCTCTACTTGTTTGGTACTCTGGACTTTAGATTTAATCCACTAAACTTGGTGTAATAGGAGCTGATCAATGCTCCTCTGACAGTATGTACTGTAAGTAAGCTACAGAGCTTACTTACAAGTAATTGTAATTATTTGTCATCTTTAATTTATTTTGTCATAACTAATTGTAATTATTGTCATCTTGTTTTTTATTAGTCTTGAGCAAATTGGTTCAGAAGAGAAGACTTTTTCCCTTGTAATGGCCAGTTTTGTATTATTCTGAATGTTCACTTCCCTTCCCTCTTCCATTATTTTCCATTCAATATTTCTCTCCACTGACTTAAGACATCTTCAGTTGACACAAAGCCTGTTCTCATGCAACTTTCAGCTGTATATTTCAAATACCAGAGGTTCTCTGTAGCATCTAATATGTTATGAAAAAGCGAAGGTTTCCTCTTGAAAGTCCCTGGACAAAGGCAAAAGGTTGTTCTGCGAGCTGGTTCCCTGTCTCCCCAGCAATGTAAGCCAGTCCTGACTATAAACTGCTGCCCCTCTGCTGAGAGGTACCTGTCGTGTCTTCAGTTCTGTCTTCTCCGAATTACTGAAGGATCTATGACTAAATGCCATCAACTCCCAGCAGTGTGATACTAATAGGCATCGTAAAAGATAATGCTGAACATATCCTTGAATGATGGAGACATACCAAGGATATAGAGTACTTATCTTTTACCAGGGACCAAGCCATGATATGTTGTTGAGGTCTGTCATCAGAGCTAATTTGGTGGATTGGGTTCATCATTAAATAAACATTATTCATGGAAAGAAGGCAGAAGTCACCTTTAAACTGAAATATTAAAGGCAACTAAACCAAGATAAATGCTGTTATTCTTTCTTTGAAAGCTTCGTAAAACACACAGTTCAAATCTTTCGAGTACAGAACTGAAAGCCCTGAATTTAGCAAATGTTTAAAAGACAAATGTTGATTACTACTGTTAGTAGAAGTTTCATGCAAACACAGACACATCATTTACAGGAAAATATATTAGGAAAAGCACAAGAGCATTGACATTGTTAAAAGCAATGCATTTTAAGCGACATTACAAATCCGAATTAGTTGCTTCCTGAAAAGGCTTCTCTAATCTAACAATCATCTGATCTGTTGTGCTGTTGGGTTGTACCTACCTGTTCCAGGCCGAGATTGAGAAGCAGATATGCGGCCAGGTAGCGATTCCCCTCCAGGGTTAATGTATCTCAGGATAATGCGAAATAAGTAGTGGTTTGATTTTTCCACATTCAAAGTTATCCTCACTTCATTCTGAAAAATTGAAGTTAATAAACAAAAACAGCCATAAAGTGCTGAATAGAGGAACAGTTAGAAGCCATGCAAGTACCAGACTAAATGCCTACAAGAAAAATGCACATGCAGACAAGTATACACTGGAATGGCAATGCTGTGTATGACAGATGAAGACAGGTAAGCCTACTGAGAAAATTAATTCACTTACAAGTATAGTTAGTGCCAAAATGTTTTCCCTCAGCAATTGAGATCTTCCCTTTAGAGCTTTTTGAACCCAGGGTGACATAGCGGAGGACTAGGTGGAAGAGCTTAGGGGAAGTCACAGTGACAGGTACAACCACCTCTGGCTGGGAAAAATAAAAAGAAAGGGAAAAAGGAGGAAAGGAAAGTATATTATTTGTTACTAGCACCCAGAGAAAGAAAAACCATTTGGCAAAAGACATACTCCATAACAGAAAAGAAAGGCTCCAGCAGCTTACAAGAGAACATGGAACAAAATCTCCTGTAAAATAAAACACTTGTTGAATAATAACTTACCCTGAAACACATGGAATCTTAACTAATACGCATGTTGATATTGCACCTTGAAACATGGACAGTATTTTACTGGTATTCTCCCTGCACGTGCAGGGAAAGATAAGGTATCAAGGGCCGGAATCACTGATCTTAGTCTGAGATAACACAATGCTCCACAGCATGCAGACATCTCCGACTGGCACTGCAACTTCTGCTCCTCCACCAGATGCCTCACTGCCTTAGAGATGTGATACCATGCTTCTTTTGCCGTGGGGCTGAACTGACATCTCTGGAACCACACCGTTCACATCAACCCTGGACTGGCAGTAAGCCCACAGGAGAACAAATTCACACAGCCCCCATTTAGTTGCAGAGCAAAAGTATCAGCAGAGACTTGTTCAGAGGTTGGTGGATTAGGAAAAAAATAGGCTTTGTGCAGTCTCAAGGGTTTGGCTTCCTCCCTTCCATCTTAAATCATAAAGCTCCCACCACAAACCAAATCCCACCAGTTCACCCATCATAATCCACTCACGGTCCCATGCCAAGATGCTTCTGGTACAGTAACCTCCCTATCACTATGGTCCATTCTGCATCTCCAAAAGCTCACAGATTTTCTAAATTGCAAACCTGTCAGAATGGGGCACAAAGCCCTATTTTCTCTTACTGATAAAAGCTAAAATAAATGCCAGAGTGCCAGCTCGCACATGCTAGTTAGCATATTATTCAATTCTGTCATCATCATAGACCTCCTCTTTCTAAATAGAAATGCAATGCAGAAAGCAAAGACAGATATATAACAGATGATACGGATGAGAGATCTGCAGAGGTTAAATGGCTAAGATCTCGGTGACTGCAGAAGGGCAGTGGACCAGAACACAAAACACAGACACATGGGGGAAGGTTTTGCAACTGTTGTTTTAAATGGAGAAGGATGACTGCTGAAAAGAAAAGACAGGCATTGAGGGAATAACTGAAAAATAGATAGGAACAAAAAAGAAAAGGTGAAAGAAATAAAGCAACATGCCTCAGAAAGTATCACAAAATGGTTTCTAAGCTTTTATGGGAAGTCTAGAAGACACAGGTGAAGAGAGAGAGAGAAGACATTAATGAGTAAGGAGGGAGGAAGAGATGTCTGTCCTCAATTTCAAGCAAAAAGCAGGAAGCGAGGAGAATTTATTCTTTGAGCTCTATCACCAACCTAGGCAGCTCTTGTCAGTGCTTTAAAATCTCAGGCAAACTGTTAGCTTCTCAGTCTACCAGACCCCCATGTTAGCAGCATGGGTGAAGCACAGCAGCATAGGGCACTACTCATGGGTTATTTATTTCACCTGTGTTTGTTGTTTGTTTTTTAATTGTACTGAAATATTTTCACAAAAAGTTTTTATGTTAGCCTTTTGTGTGGTAGATATTGTAATGCTAATTTGTCTTCCACAAAAGAAATGTCAGGAGTATTTCAGGGCCCTGCAAGACACAAAAAAGCTACGTGAAAATTCTGAAAGTTTCTTGAAATGAAGAATGTGCCTATGAAGAATGAAGACTATCTATGCAAGGGTCTAACTGTGGAGGGCCTGGATCTGGCAATTACTTACATGAATGAAAAGCTTTATTCAGATGAGCAAAGTAAGGCACACTTTCAGCAGGATGAGAAACTAAACCTTTTCACTACCTCTTTACAAAATGCCTAGTGGATATTAAATGTAAAAAGCATCTGAGTTAGAAAGCAGAAATTTACGAAAGCACAGTTTCCAAACAGTTGCCTTCATTTCTGAATGTGGAGTAATTCTGAAAAGCCAAAAAATAAAAAGAAAAAAAATTGTCTTTGAGATTAAAGAAACAAAAACAAACAAACAAACAAACCACAAACAAAAAAACACAACAACAAAGAGGAAAGAGTGAAAAAGCAAAGAACAGAAAGAAAATCACTATACTTGCACAACAGTTATGTGCTTATGTCTGTCTGTAGTTGACCCATTGGTCCTTGGACAGGTTACAGAGGCTGGACACAACTATATCTGTGGACTAAAAATCTAATCAGCATCAGAGTACTACAAATATCAGAGTACCACTTTTAAGAAGAATGAGCAAATCCCATTTATTGCTCAAATCTACTCTTTTCAAATTTTGATTCATTTGCTCAGCAGTTCAGTCCAAAGTCAAACAGGTCCTTTTTTATACAATTAAATTATGCTATGCAATTCCTGCAATGTATTTATTCCCTCTGTTGTTTTTTGCTTTATGTGTAAACAATCATGAGATTAAAATAAATGTTGCTGAAACACTCTTGCTCGCATCTTGTATTACTGAATCACACATTTTCTTGTTTGCTGTAATGTAAAGGTATCATTCCTGATAAATTGGAGACTTTCTCCTCCTTTGCCCAATACAAGTTGCAAGTGTGAAGGCTTCACCACGGCACTATAATGAAACCTGAAAATCTTAACACAGACTACTATGGAACTCTGTAATCAAGTGATTTAGCCAAACATCAATCTTCTCCTGTCCTTGTCATAACAACATTCTGGATTTAGTCATAGAGACTTTAAAGCTACCAGATCTTAACTTTAAACCTACAGCAAAATGTATTCCTAAAAAAACAAAACAAAAAAACAACAACAGAAAAAGCCAACAACAACCTCCCCCCAAAAAAGAAAAACAAAACGACCTCTGTAGTTTCTGAATGTCTCTGAAGAACACATATTTGTATTAGCAATGACTAACTTTAAATAATGCCAATAGTCACTAATCCAAACAGTGATACAGTGCCAAAGTGTTCAGATTAGCGATATCCTGTCCTTTCTGTTTCCTCCAAGACCTTGTCCACACATAACAGTACAACAGGGACATACATATCATACATCTATGTTTTCACCCCAAAGCCCTGAGCAAAATACCAGCTTACTTGTATAGAAGACATCTGGGCATATCCTCTCCAACTGAAGTTAGGAAATTCCTGAGGATCATAGCCAAACCGAATTCCCCTTCCCTGGATGGTAGTTCCATCTTCAATCTCAAACTTCATGTGGTGCAGATCAGGGAAAAAATAGTTTTGTTCAGGCCTTTCAAGGAGACAAAAAAAAAAAAAAAAAAAAAAAAAGAAGGAACAAGCATTCAAAGGACTATTCTTTTCCTCCAAATTTTCATTTTTTGCTCTGATTGTCAGCTTGGATATCCTTGCCAGTATAAAATACAAATATAACCATTGATTAAACCTTTGATATTTATTTGTGAGTAAAGACATTTCAGGCAATGTGCCTAAATCATGTCACTCAACAGCTAAAGCAAATTGATTCTGATTTCACAACTACGTAAGCCAAAAATGCCTTATGAGTTTATGATATTTCCAGGTAGTTTGTCATCCGAGTATAACCCCAACATCCAACACTTCTTGGTAAGAATCCTCCACCCACTCACCATTGTAATCTGAAAAAATTACCATTCATTGTATAGTCTACATCTAAAGGAATAAAGCAATGGAAGGGAAGCGATCTACTGATCACTGAGAAATCCTGATAGTAGCTAATAAATTCCAGGCAGCAAATAAGATGGATGGAATGAGAATTCTCTTTCCAGAACTTTTACAGCTGTACCTTACCTTATGTAACTTTTGATATATACAGATACATTGATATATACACAATGTGATTGCAAAAAATCCCATTAAAGTAACAGAAAAAAACTGTCAGGTGAAGTGAGTATAACTAATACCACAGTTTACCAGCTTATTTATCAACAAATCCAGAATTTCATGTGTAAAGCTAGCAAAGAACTGATGTGCAGTCTGACTCACTCCTGACAGGTCATCCCCACAACGTGCTCTCTGCACTGGCAGGCACCCAAGGGCTCAGCACACGCAGAACTGATGGATCCTCCAACATCACACTGACAGCCTGCCAGGCAAAGAACAGAAGCCAAATATCCCATCAGAAAAAGTGATAAAGGTTATCAGAAAACACACCTCGCTTCCTCTAATTAAACATTATTATCAACTCATTTCCTCCTTCCGGAGCCCTTTAGACTCTTTGAAACACGTTAACACCCATGGATATGCTGCAATTACTTCTGGCTTTTCATGTTTGTTGTTTTCTTTTTTTTGTTTTTGTTTTTCCTGCTTGTAACTTGACAAAAGCCTTTTTAATTATTATTTTTGTATTTTTAAATCACAAGTAAAAAGCCACATTTACTAAATGCTGGACCACAGTTTTGCAGAACAGCCATTCTGGTACCACAACATAAGAAAACCATATGTGTTTACATAAGAGCATACACATATTTTTAACTGATATCGGACAACCGTATTGAGTGACTTCCTATATGAGACAGGATTTGTGGCATAAAGTAAGGGACACCTCTAATAATGAGGCATAATGTATCACACTAAGGAACAAGTATGCCTAGGTTAAGAATTTCAGAACTGACTTGACAGGTTGATTGTTCCTAAACATACGTATAGCACATCAAGTAATCTCACTGAAATCAAAGAGAATTAAAGTAATTTGCACCTTCGTGAAGCCAGATCTATTTCATTAGATCTTTGGTTTGAAAATTAGGCACAAAACGTTTGTTTGATAGACTAGACACTGTTTTTAAACTTTGCACACACAAAAGGATTGCCATAAGTACATCAGTAAAAAAGTAAATCTCTTGCATCATCCTTGGACAGGTGTAAATCCCACTAAAGGCAGTGCAAGTGCTTTCAATAATTTTAGCAAACCCAAATCTACAGGGAGGGCAAGGAAGAAAGGGAACCACAGTCCTATGCTCCTCAAAACACATGGCAGAGTGATGACCACTTCCACCATATCACAGCTACATCTGACTGTACTTCAAAGCATCCTGAGTCACAGTTTATAGCAATACACAAACAGAACTGAAACTAAAAATAAATCAAGTTACAAGCTGTTGTAATCTTTTAAGTTCTTATTCCAGTGGACCTTAAACAGAACCTTAACAGGACCTTAAACCCACTAAACAGAACAAAGAGATACCGATCTTACAGCTAAGTACTTGAAGGAAAAATCAAACCTCCCTGGCCCCATATCCTGGTGGAAGGTGTGAAAGAAGGAATGACTTTCAGTTATCTTATTTGGAAATCTCTTTAGCTATGATACATACATATTTTGCTGGATGAACTGCATCTTGGTGTTACGTACTGCATTAAACTTTTCATTGCATTTTAATTTCTGACTCCATTGAAACCCTCTCAGAGTGTGAGGTATTCGATTCTGACAGGGATTAGTGAGGTGCACAATGCAGGAATGAAGGCTAGGCACAGAGCTCAGGATTGCCCTGGCTTGCACTGGCTCTGTGCTGGGCAAGCTTCAGCAGCTCCTCTTGCTATCTCCCAACAGGCTTTGACGGAGAAACCTCAGACAGGTGGCGGTAAACAAGGCACTGAGGATGGTGAGGCAAAAGCCGATGAACTCATACAAGAACAAATTTTATCAAGTGAGTGAGCCACAACATTTCTGGGAGCTACAGTGGTTAACGTCTGCCCTATTCTTTCTCCTTTTGGAAAGCAAAGAAGGAGATTTCAAATACATAACACATCCAACTCAAACTGAGACTTGTACATATTACAAGTAATAGTGCAAAACTACGTTTTAAAAATATGACCTGTGGAATTCTAAATACTTCTGTGTTATGTGAAAATTTGCTGCTAGAAATGTTTTTTTACCTTGGCAGCCAAAATAATTATTGTTTTCAAGAGCATAATAACCAGCTTCACAAGTGTCACAGGAATCTCCACAAACATTGGATTTGCAGTAACAATGTCCATTTTCCTGTGAAGAAAATAATTTCATCAGCATCTTCTTCAGAACTTCATTTTTTTATTACTTTGAATTCCCTCCAGTTGTGAAGAGGAAAATCATTCTAATTTGAACAAAAACATTTTATCTGGACATAACTTAGTTATTTATCACCTTTACTGAACAGACAAGAAATCCCTACTTTTAAGGTGATGAAAACTTTTCATAACTTTTATACATCCCTAGGATGTCACCTGTCATTTCACGTGTAAAAATTTCATGTGTAAAAAAGCAGTAATGAGTTCCAAGATTTCTATCTTACTATGTTACAATAACATATCTTTACAAAAATAAATTGAATTAATGTTTTCCTTATAATTTCACTTCACCTGTCGACATTCTCCAACTCCACTTAGCGTTCCACTCACATCACAATGGCATGCTGCACGGATTGAAAAAAAAAAAAAAGATAATCTGCATTTCCTCTTTCCAATATACTTCGCATTAATAAATAAATAAACAAACAAACAAACAAATAAATAAATAAATCTTGAGTCCTCAATTTGGAGTCAGTACAACAAAGTGGATTCTACTCTGGAAGGTTCAGAACAACAAATAGATACTGGTGCAAGGCGAGAAGAAAAAGCAAAGAAGAATGAATGACTTTTGTGTATGTGCAATTTACTAACGTGTTTTGAAGTATCCTAATTTACATCTAGCAAAACCAGTCTTTTCTGGGTGTTCTGACAGAATTGCTTTCTGTCAGAGTACAGCACTAACAAACATTCGTGAAATTGTGGTCTAATTTCTAAAAATAACTTTTGCTATTATAGGTAATTTGGTTTTCAAATTAAGTAATGTGAAAACATGTTCTTAAGGAGTTGTTAAAATCACTAAGCACCACAGCTAACAAAGACAATATTCAAAATAATTTAGCGCATTTCATAACCCAAAGAAACGTGTCTTAAAGCTGTACCTGTACATCCTTCAAGGTTTTCTTTGGCCAGGTTCCAGTACAAGTGGTTTGCATTTACTACATGTAGGACCTTCAACGTGCTGAAGACATTGACAATAGCCCTAATGACAGAAAGAAGTTGATTCATCTGTTTCATAAAAAACCACACAGCTCTTTAGTATTATGAAAAATTTAATATTATAAACAACTCAGGCAGCTTACTGACTTTCACAAAAGCATGGAATCCACAGCTGATTTAGACTTCTTGAATTTTTCTGTCTCACACTATCAGCACAGGATTGTTCCATTTTTCTATATCCAATTTATCCTAAATATCATAACATACTTTCCAGTTCTTTCATAGCCTTATTATAACTGCTCCAAAGCATTAACAGTTTTGTGTAAAATTTAAAATACATTTTTTCCTAAAAGTAGTCATTAATTTTTATATTTTCTCCTACTTTTATCATTCTGTTTTTCTTAGGAGGGCAAAGTAGAAACAACAGTGGTAAAGTGAACTAATTCAGATTCAAAATGTTAATATTAGTTTTGTTTTGTTTTTAATTATGGCAATGACACACTTTTTTTCTATTTTTTATTTTTACCAACAACTTTTCTGTACTTTTAATCTTAGATAATTTATGTTCTGAATCACCCATATAGTACCATACAGCACTGTGAAGTAGATATGATGTCGACTTTTTTTTTTTTTTTTGTAAAATTGATTTAGGTAATTTTTGATAGAATTTATCTGTTATGTCTCTTCTTCATACTTTCTTACACTTCTCCATTTATTAACTATTGAAAAAAATAATTATACAAAGCTAAAGCATATTTCTCTGAGGCAACAGAGACTTTTCAATCCCCTACACATTATTCTTAGGGACAAGCAGAGGCAAACAATAGTAAATTCTGCTTTTCTTCTTAATTCCTTTTCTATCCTTTTCCATAAAAGAGAATGGATGTCTCTCAGCAGGGTTATTTGCTCAGGCACATCAACATTGTTTCCAGGGAGTAACTGGTTTACATGTGGCCAACTTTAAAAAAAGCTGTAAGACAAATACAGATGTATGCCTGAGCCTACCTCTTCTACTTGCCAAATTTATTTTCTGGGTCTTCTTTGCAACCCATTTATATGGAGTGTAACTTAACAGTTTCTGATCTGTGATTTTTCATAGTATATTACTAACATAAAAATACTAACTACTAATACTAGTATATTACTAAAATACTAGTATATACTTTAATATAATAAATACTAGCATATTACTGATGTTAAAATACTAAATACTAAAATATATTTTTTTCGGAAATAATTTGGTACTGAAATGGACCAACCCAGAACCAGAAGGTCTTCAAAGCATGCATAGGTATAAATGCACACCTGCATGCATGTATCAGCATTTTAGCATACCAAGCACACACAAACAGTATGCATATTCCACATATAAAAAGATTCAAAGACAAACAAACAAAAAAACAAACACCACCCTAGACAGGTAATTGCATTTGTTTTGATCAAAGAGTAAAACACAAAGGTCATTTCCACTCTTACTCTGCAAATAAGCTTGTGCAATTCTTTCACAGATTATGATCAGGCTTCAGGCACTTAAGCGATGGAGTGAATGTGTTCAGCAAAGGCTCAGACCATACATGAATTATGAATATTGCTAGCTGCAAAGACAGAATACTTACAGAATGAGAACCAACACTACCTGAAGGGTCACATTCACTGTTGATTCCTTTAGGAATTAAAAAATAAACACATTAAAAGATCTTTTGAAAACAGAGCTATGAAATACAGTAATGCAAAAAACTACAATGTAAGCTCTGCAACTTTCAAATAGTGTCTTAATAATCACCTTGATGTGACTTAATTACTTCAATCTTTAAGACCAGAAGAAGCCTTTAATAGTGATTGTTCAAATATGTATTTAGCCTAGTTTGGACTAATTGTTTTGGTATACAAAGTAGTCTCTTGGAAAAATGTAGCACCAACCTACGACTAGAGAGATGTTTTCTTAAAGCTTCTGTGGCATTGTTGAAAAAAGGTTTTAATCTTACGATTTACTTCAGAGAATATACAGTAAGATGAACGAAATCCTCGAATATCTAATCCTGGTGAGTCCCTCCCGTCCCACACTTCAGCGCGTTTCTATGAAACTACACATAGCAAAATGTCCTGAAGAACCTTACAATAAAAATGGGGGTGATATGAACTGAATGCAGGATTTTCTATCGCAAACGTTACCTTCACAGTAGGGGAAACTGTAGGCTGCAGAAAGGCATCTGTCACACTGTCTCCCCATAACACCTGGTTGACACTCACACTGCCCTGCTGTTGGCTCACATGTGTTGTGCTGGGAACCAAGAGGAGAGCACTGACAAGCTGTATAACCAAAAAACAAACAAAACAAAACAAAAACACATTGACAATATTAGTAGAGTTCACCTTGTACATACGAAATAATAACTTTCAAAACTCTGGTATTGCAGAGGTTTTGAACACTGTCTAGACTGCCCTTCATTTTTCTTTGAAACAAATCACAGAGTCCACACACCTGTGAGTGGAACCTATGAGTTTGAGATGATCCGTTTCATCTCAGCATTGTTTACCATGCTTACATTAATCCAACTTGCACAAATAACAGGAACAGAGATGATGTGCCAGGTAGGGCTACCAGAGTGTGCCTGCCAAGAAGCCTGGACGCTGGCTTGATCTTCAGTGTCACTGTTGCCAGCTTTGGAAGGATCAAAACTACCATGCTTACATAGGTAGTTTTTGATGACAACATATATGGGAGAATATATTTTCGTCTGTACTGTAGCAATAAGATGGCAAGCCCCAGTAAAAGGAGGAAAGGCTGGTACTCACGCAAGCAGCTGGGATAGCTGTAATAACCTGGAGCACACTGGTTGCATTTAAATCCAGCAAAGTTCCTGTGGCACAGACACTGTCCTCTGGGACCACACATACTGTCCACTGAGCCAACTGAATCACAATTGCATTCTGTATGGGGGATAAAAAAAACATTAATAATCACTAAGTGTTCTGACAGACATATGTCTAAACAAGTAGTTATTTAAAAGAGAATTTGCCCCAAAGACACCTTTAAATGTTAAACAATCAGGAGGAATCCAGACAAACTATAATATCACCGCCAAATATAAATATCCTGAAATAGATGCTTATAATGTAATTATCTCCTCAACCACTGATAATCAGGTTCTTACTGCAATGCCATGATGTACAGCTTAGACATTTAATTTGATTCCTTGCAAAATACACATACAAGGAAGAGAAGTCTATCTTAAAATGGAAAGAAAAGTCCCATGAGAGAAGTACTCATCATCTTTACAAAATAACCTCTGACAAAAAGCATCCACAAAGCTAGGCTAGGTCTAACAGCTGACAAATGTACTAGAAAAGCAGTTAATGATGCACAACTTCATGATGGACAAATAAAGGATACACAAGGTAAAAACTGCTGACCTGTTGTAATTCTACAAGCTGGCAAGCAGTGCACTGCAAGAATCTGCACATGATACGTGAGGCACGCTGTCAGACTGTAACAGCTAGCTGCGTGGTGCTTCTCCTGGATTTATCACTGGCTTAGGCTAACAACTCTATCCCAGATATGATGTGCTGTTTTGTTGAAGCGATGCTGGAAGTTACCCAGGCCCACATTTTATAGGTACATGAACAGGAGCCTGTCCAGGAATCCCAGCTGCCACGGGTTTTGCAGTTAATCTCTTACATTATTTGACTAACAAATAGCTGACTGACAAATATAAAACAAACACTGTTCAAATACTGTCTGTCTGTTGCATGTTCATTTTCCTGGTTCCCCATTTTGGTTCCTCTTCGTGCTGCAGCCAAGGATGTCTGGCTTTGCTGTGTTTACGTCAAAGCTTCATGGAAAGACACAGGACTTGCTAGCAAGTTGTGTAAGAACAATACAAACACTAAAGCTTCCAAAGACATCAGCAACACCTACAGTCCTCTCCCAACTGAATATTAAATCACAGTCCCTCCTCATTTTAATCATATTAGTTTAAAGGCTTTGTTTGGATCCTGCTCGTGTTGGTACAAGGATTCTATATGGTACAACAAGGTAAGACCATAAAGGACAGTTTTAGCTGCAGTACCCAAGAAATTATAAAGCTACCTCCCTTCTGAAGATGACAGCTCCAAACAGGAGTAGCACTGTTCATCTTCCACCACAGTCTGCAGTATGCAGCATTGGTTTAAATTTAACCAATGGTAGCTTATTTTGATAGAACAAGCTGTGAACTGCAGCAGTTTTGAGTAATCCCACTGGCTGTGTTTTCAACTATTTTGTCTGTGTTTTACAATTTGTTCTTGCATGCTCTCTTAATCTTGCATGTCTCTTTTCAGCTTTTGGTGTTAAAAGTTTAAACATATTCAATATGGGTTTGATTTGCTCTAAGATTGCTATCTAATTCAGTTCTAAGAAAAGAAAGAAAAAAAAGAAAAACACTGTATTTTAAAACCACTGAACAGAGTGTACCAAGGCAGAATCCTGATTTTATGTTTTTAATTTTAAAAAGTTAATCTACTCCAGACCATAAAGACACAGTCACACGGTATTTCTTTATTCCAACCATTGTGTTTAGTAACACAACATAATACATCTTTGTACAGCATAAAGAATTCTGCTGGCTATTCATCGGACATGAACATAAAGCCCAAAAGGAAGAAGACTGCTATAGTCAGCAACTAAAAGTAACGAGAAAGAAGAAAGTTAGTCATAATGTTCTATATAAATCCTGTTACCCTCTATAGCAAAGTGTATTTCAAAATTCAGCAATAGACTATATTTTTTTTGAATGTACAATTCACTAATCGTAGAATGGTTTCAGTTAGAAAGGACCTTAAAGACCACCTAGTCCCAACCCCTCTGCTACTGGGGGCATAGGAATTTTCAAGGATTATCAAGGACTAAGGGCCCCTCTCTCATTCACTGCAAAGGCAGACAAAACCTAAGGGCCAGATAGGACTTGATGGCTTCTCCATACACACAAAAAAGTATTATGCATTTCAAGGTTATACTTCTTCAGTACTGATCACTCTTCATTTCACATAAAAAGCAGGCTAGTCCTTGGTGTCATATACACTGGTGAAACCCCATGTAGATCAATCATGTTTCATGATTACAAGGCCTGCCATATGATGTTAAAATTAGTAAGAAGTCACTATGAAGGGCAAAATGTGAAAAATCACTGTGAAGGGCAAAATCACTTTCAGATTTACAGAACACACAGAGTGCAAGGTACTACACAAAGATCCTCTGCAGAAGTATATTAGTTCTTCACCTCTCTACTGTTTTTGCTATGCCAGTTCCCTGCCAACAGTCAAGCATCCTCTGCTGCTGTAGACCTCCATGATAAAACAGTTCTCAAATCCTTTGGTTATTAGTAAGACAGCTGTGCTAACTGAAGCTAAATCAAACAGTCAGACCAAGAAAAAAAAGCCCATGGGAAAACAGACTATGTAATTATTTCCTACTGTAGAAACATGCACGGAATTAGTGCCTGGAGAATGAAAATACATGAGGATTTCATTGTAAGGAACAGAAGAGTCTCTTGCTCACCTAGTGCAGTGAACATGGCTTCAACCCCTGCAAAAGCAGTACCTTAAAAGCATTAAAGCTTGCCTAATCAGGGGTCTGTCTGATGACATACAAGTAATCTGCAACCTTACCTTCACAGACAGGGAAAGAGTGGTGGCCAGGCTGACAGCTGTCACACTGAAGTCCACGTACCCCTGAGCGACAAAGACACCTTCCACGAAAATCACAGACTTCAGGACGGGTACCCGCTGAGTTACACTCACACGCTGCAACCAAGCAAAGAATTTTCAGAGGCAGTCTCTGCAGAAGTGCTCTTTTATTATTACATAAATAAATAAATAAAAGCCACTCCCCAATGATCAAGAGGACCAAACTCTTCTTCTCACATTCATTTAGTTTCATAATAGCTTTTATTGATCGCCAGCATCAGTAAGAATTCAGTATTGAGGGAGATATAAAGGAAAATCCGTTAGAGAGAAAGAATCTGGCTTAAAGTAACTATTGCATTCAATGTTGAAGCACACTTAGCCTGTCCCCACTCAGGACAGATGCATCAATATGGTATGCTGACTACTGAAAGTAGCTCCAGTCTTTTTTAAGACTAAAATTAAACTATTTATGGCTTGGATATATAGTCTCTGGAGGGAACAGTTAATAAAATCAGCAGTATAGAGCTGATTAATTGAAATACTTTAAAAATAGTCAGTTTTCTGGTATTGATTAGAAAGGGCAGCTTGATACATGAAAGTGAGGTTGCAAACTAAAGTTAAACATAAATTTCTCCCCAAAAAGGATAAGCAACAGAAATGCTTCCATTGGTATTCTAAATTTCATCAGGAATTAATATTATTAAATTCACTCTCAAACTGCAATCCAACAGCTGCATCACAAAACAGACAGCAATCAATGTAATAGAGGCACTTTTAGATAGGAATCACTCCTCATCTAGATTTTTCTTTTTTGACTTCTGTAAGTTTTGGAAGACTCCCTTATAAACACATCTCCATAGCAAAAGAATTTCATAAGCTTGGATTTTTGGATATGCTTACTGAAAGGGAATGTTTTGGCTTACTCTGGCAGTCATAAAAAAAAAGCCATCGACACAGGTATCACAGGAAAAATCCTGAAATCCAGTTTGACATCTGCACTGTCCTGTATTTCCATTACAGTCACTACCAAAAGCTCCTGTGCCGTGGAACTGGCGTGCTGAAGAGCACATTTGTAAAGAAAACATTTGCAGCATTACAATCTTAGAGTTGGCATTTCACTTGGAAGCTAAATGTTGGCATTTACACCAGGGCTCAGTCTCCAAGAGTAAAAGAAATTATGGAACTTACGCAGACACTGGGGGCCAAAATACCCTGGTTTGCAGCCACCTTCTAGTTATTACAGGAAATAAAAAAAAGAAAGGAACAGAAGTTAGTGCACGAAACCATGCAACTCCTTGTATTCTTGCAGGGAAAAACAGATCAGTACTTAGTAATTATTACTCTTGAATCACCAAAATTATTCATATGACCCTTACGTGCAAATCTCGTTTAAAAATAATAAATTGTTTAGTTTGCCAGAACTAACATACAACTTCTAGACACAGAAGCTTCCATTTAGAGATACCTGCCTTTCCTAAGCCTTCAGATTGAGGTGCTACTTGTTGAAAATGTAAATGGCTTAAGATCTGTTTACTTCTGATTATTTTTACTTGTATTATCAGTGCATTTTTTTTCTTCTTTTTAAAAAACTGCAAGAGAAGAAATCATGCAACAGAGCATACCCAGAGGCCTACCAGGGCAATTATTTTTGATGCCATATAAACAAGATGATAGTTGGCTACAGGAGACTAAAGTTTTGTAGGCTGTAACAGCAACTGCATATTCTTTCAAGCGAACAATTAGAACTTGTAGATACATAAATGGATGTACACCATCTACTTATATCCAGGGGTCTGCTACATCCGCAGAAGAAAACACTTTCATTTGCCAGTGTAAACTCCATTTCTATGAAACTAATGGAAAATAATAGGGAAACACATTGTTTTTAGGATATGACAAAGGTTGCTAGATTTTTTAAAGTTATTAATCCTGAAGCACGTTACTAGTATGTATTTGATTTAGCACTGGCTGTGAGATGTCTCAGTTCTGCAGTATAATGATATACACTATAATACAAAAGCCCACCAAGGGAATCACTTTATGCATTTCAGACAGCTTTGTAGTGGGATAAATAAGAAATATGTAGCCCTCTTAGAAATTCAAGTTCTTCACAATGTACAATTCGCCAGGTGCAAGAGGCAAATCCATAAACAGAGGGCAATTAGCCTTAAGAAAGAGATTTACACTGCAAAGCAGCTGACAAGTTGTACTTGTCAGAAAGCCTTGATGGATCTATTCACAGGCATCAAACAGGATGGTCAGCTTCTTCTGCAGATGTTTGCCAGAGGCTCAAACTTATTTTGATCCATAACTCTTTCTGGAAGTATCCCACTAAACTGTTTAATATGAACAAGACTATAAGATGAACTTCTGGTAAGAACAAAGGCTCTCTGAAAGGTAAATATCAACACTGTCAAAACTACTACATAAATCTCCATGAAAGAACATGCACCACTAAAATAGTGAAAAGTTGTGACACGGGAAAAAAAGTGGTAGAAAAGAAAAACAAAAAGAACTTGCCTATTATGTCACCAGCTATAGCATCGCTTGGATTTGGAGAAGGATATACAGGAATACCTTTAAAACAAAAGAAATTATAAGGTGTATTTGAAACAGACACATTTATTTCACTAAAATTTTTGACAGATAATGAAGGTCTGTCCTGTCAATACAAAGAGCATGATTAATTTATCTTAAATTAATCAGTGGCATTAGATTTCATTCTATTGCCATTTTTAGTAAATGGAAGCACTCAGCAATTCTATCATTTTTCTCATTTTATTTTCTTTGGATTTGCTAACTCCTTTCCCTCAATCACTTCTTTAAAAAAAATGAAAGAAACTGTAACCCTTCCTTCATGGCTGACAGTTTTATACTCTGCCAGGAGGGCCTTTCCAACATTACACTGGCACCATTTTAGAATTATTTTTAATTATTTTAGAGTCTTCTGAAATCCCACAAACATGGTTTATTAGGCATAAAAGTTCCTCAAGGAAAACACACGACCACTTTCTCCCCCATCTCTCACTAGTCACGTTCTACTTTTTAGTCCGAGTTATAGACTCTAGACTCTGAATGTCAAATGAATTCAGAATTCTGAGAATGAAACACAATCTATCTGATTTTCAAGTAACCACTGTTTTGCAAAGTAGACCAGACTACCTTCTGTGTTATGACAACTGATTTATTGGAATGTGTATGCTTGAGAATCTGAAACACCAGATGTTCAAATCAAACAGTTCAACCAAACCCATTCTAATTAAAACAGCTAACTCTTTAAAGCACGTTTAAAATTCTGGAGAACAGACATTTTTATTTGCATACTTACGGATACAAAATGGAAAACTATAGAAACCATCAGCACAGCGTTCACAGTTTTCTCCCTGGAAATTCTGCTTACAGAAACAGCGGCCAGACCCTTCTTCACAGCCCTCTGCGTGCTCTGAGTTACAGCTGCAGGCTAAGCAAGTTTGAGAAAATAAGCACTTTTGGGAAAGGTTTCATTTGCCTTCTATAGCAGTGCACAATGGCATTATAATGTCATTTGCAGTTGTGAATGTGTCATTATTTAAAGAATTAACATTCAAATTCTGTTTCATATTTTCTGAGTACTCCAGATCACAGAATTAATCTTTATGGTATCCCTTAGAAGTAAGATTTACACCATTTTCTTAGACTGTTTGTTTGTTTGTTTGCTTCAGAATTCAGAATGCTGCGTGTTATTGCTCCACAGCACTGCAGCACCTATCCTTTCTGTGGCTTCTGCTCCTTCTCTCTTCATAGTCTAGGTGGAGCACCATGCTCTTGTATACCTTCCCTTACACACCACGCATGACATTATAGCAGCATTCCCACAGCTCTGCTGACCTCCCATTTATTTCAACACCCAAACACAACAAACCATAGCTTCCTCCTACTTGTCACAAAGTTCTGTCAGCCTGTTTGTAATTTAATCCTTAGTTCTTACCTACACTCAGTTCATCTTTTTTAAAAGCTCTATTTCTAATCATCCTATTGCATTATTATTATAGATGATAAGGTTGAGCAGTAGACAGATTAGGAGTAGCCATCCTTATCACCTTTGGAGCTACTATGATAATATTTTCAAGTGACCAACAGCCAAAAGATACCTTATATGTATGTCAGAGAACCTAAGAGAAGCAGGGTCATGAGGATATGAGATGAGAGCAGCTTCTCAGAGGTCATGCCAGCTCACTATGGGGTGTGTAGCTGGTCCTACCTCCTCATCAGCCTTTTATGGCTTACTTCCTCCCGTTGTCCTACTGCTAGTCTGAAGCTTTAGGTTCATATGACACATACGTTGAGAAGATTATCATTAAAAGAGTTGAAAGCAACACAGGAAGTCGTTTGCAGTTGTTTTCCGACATCTTTTGGACATTTTATTCTTCGCTATGAGACGATGCCAAATAGAGAAGCACTTACGTATACAGCCATCAGGAGCACTTGCTGGAACACCATATGGACGGTAATAACCTTTTGCACACTTCTCACAGTTAATACCAGCTGTATTATGCTGTGCAAAATAAAACAAAAGGAGAATATGAGATACAAAGGGGAACTTGGAAGGAGAATTAAGAAACAATAACATCCTTAACACTGTCACTATACACAACTAAGAAAGGATCAGCACAGAAAAATAAAAAAAATAATATTACTGCAACAAAGACAACATTTGTCATTTGGTGTACTTTAAGAACACACAGCTTCCTGAATCATGGTATTCTCACATAAAGTAACTGAATTTGAACTTTAAAACATTATGAAAATGACATATTTAACAAAAAATTAATTTTAGGAATAGATGGAATAAAATTCCCTTTTACACTGTTACCAGATATTCATTGATTTTTATAGGGCTTTCTTATCACAGTGTGCACATCATTCAGACAACTGCATTGTTAATTTTTCCTCATCCTGTATACTACTCCTTTATCCAAAATCAGCAATGTCAAAATACACCCAAACCTGATCAGCCTACAGGAAACAAAAGTAAAATGAACAAAACAGATCTACCATTAGGAAAACAAACATCTCTGTAAACTTGTTTCAGACACACAGAAAAAAACATCGTAAGTAATTTAAGCACAGCAAAAATAAATATATCTCCTGTGAACAAAGTCCTGAGAGTATTTCAACTCTTGCTCTAAAGCTCTCTCTTGTGGTGAGGGTGCCAGGTGCATGCAGCAGTGATGGCATTCAGAAGTTGAGCAAAGAGCTGTCACAAGGCATTCTTGTGAACCAATTTGTCTCATGAGCAGGGGACAAGAAATAAGAATAAACCCTGCTCTGGAACAACACAAGCAGCAAGCACCTGCCCCCAGCTCCCTGCTTGCTGTTCACTTCCTTCTTAGGGAGTGTTGCAACACAGGGCTGCAAACAGGACTTCATGGGGCAGCTGGCAGGGCAGTTCATTAGCAGGGCACCCAGGACGTTGCTGTTTGTGGTTGGTGCTCTCCATTTGTGCAATAATTCTGGGTTCTGCTTCCAGCTCTGCCAGGAGCTTCCTCTAACATCTTCAGATCTGAACTACTGCCGAGAATGGCTAATGCTGGATTAGGGGAGGTGATGCTCACATCACACAGCAGGTGGAGATACAGTATTTGTTGCAGCACTCAGACCACAGAGCGGCCCAGCACCTCTGCTCAAGACTGTAGGACTCCTCCCAGAGTTGCAGGATGCCGCTGTCTGGGTCTGGGGTTACACAAGAGTGTCTGGCTCTCTCCGTGGTGCTGGGGCAGGTGATGAACCTGTGCAGAGCTTGTGGGTAAGGATCAGAGGATGTACCAGCCCAGTTGATCACAGAATCACGGAATTGTAGGGGTTGGAAGGGACCTCAAGACATCATCGGGTCTAACCTCCCTGCCTGATGTTGCAGTAGGTGTCTGTTACAGAGAGCCTGAACGAAAAGGCGAATGAAGCCTTCTTTAAGCAGCTACAGAAAGCCCTGCATTCGCAGGCATTGGTGCTCACGGATGACTTTAACCACCCCAGTATTGCCTGAAAGGGCAATGCAGCCGGGTGCAGGCAACCCAGAAGTTAATTTGAACATATCAAAGGGAATTTTTGGGATGCCAGGGCTCTTGAACCACTTAGAGATACTCTGTTCAAAGTGACACCGACAAACAAGGAAGAACCGATAGAAGATGTGAGGCTGAGGGCAGCCTTGGCTGCAGCAACCATGAGACTGAATTTTAAGGCCCTTAAACAAGTAAGCAAGACAAATAGCAGAATTACAATCTTGGGTTTCAGAAAAGCAGATTTGGGCTTGTTCGGGTATCTGCTTGGCAAGATCTTATGTGAAACTGCACTGAAAGGGAAAGGAGTTCAGAAGAGCTAGCTGACTTTCAAGGACAGTCTCCTTAGCACAAGAATTGTCTTTTCCAATATGCAGAAAGTCGAGCAAGGAAGGCAGAAGGCCAGCATGAATAAATACTGAGATCCTGATTGATCTCAAACTAAGAAAGGAAGTACAGAGAAGCTGGAGGTAGAGACAATCTACCTGGGAGAAACACAAAGACACTGCCCATAATAATGGAGTTAAACAGGCCAAAGGTCACACGGAGTTAAAATTAGCAAGGGAGGTGAAGAGCAATGAGAGGTTTCTCAGAGGTGTACAGGAATAGGACAAGAAAAACAGACCCAGACTGGAACGTGGAAATTTCCAAATAGATATTACGGGGAAAACATTATCATGAGGGTTGTCAAACACTGAAGCAGGTTGCCATCAGTGGCTGTGTAATCTCCAGCCTTGGCAACGCTCAAGGCTTGACTGGACAAGTCCTTGAGCAGCCTGATCTAATCAGACCTGCTTTGAGCATGGGGTTGGACTATGCGATTTCCAGAGCTCCTTTTCAACCTAAATTATGCTGTGATTCTATGTTTATTGTCTCTCCTGAAGCTGTGAAATAGTTAAAATAAGACAGACTGTGAAAAGTACAATATTCAATACTACTAGTGTCTGACACATTCAATATTCATTCAAGCATCCATTTCTTTTGCTTTTTTTTCCCTGACGTAAGCAGAAACAGTAAATTAAAATCCATGTACTTTGCTGATAAAAAAATGCTATAATTAGATTTATGGTAAACTCATTTAATCTAGCACAACTCCCACAAAATTAGGTTACAAACAACTAATATCAATCATACAACCATAGACCCATAGACTTACAGATTTAAATTAATTTGGGTCTTTTTTATCCTGGAAGCAATTTAAGAAAAATGCCCTTTCATGAACAAAGAACTGACAGAAAGGACCAAGATGATAAATATGACCAGACTGCATGAACAATTGCTGCAAAGAAATATCAATTGGAAGACAAAGAGCATTTATTTCACTCATGCTAGTAAAAATAATTCTCTCTTCTGACTGCTTCTTGGACAATATCTTATACTGTGGCAATAAGATGGAAAACACCCTAAACATTTTACCGGACATCTCCTTTTTTGTTGCTTAAATACAGCTGTATTTTAAATGCACAGCATGGTAATAGACAAATCATTATATGCAGGTGTCATAGGAGTATAGGTTTTACGATAATTTTCCCTCCAAATTACATTCTGGTCAGCTGTTTGTTATCAGACAGACCTAACAACAAAAGGAAGACAATCTTTAAAATCAGTATTTAACTGTATTTAACCCTAAGATTATTGAAACAATGACTAATTTAGATTGGAAGACACCTCAGGAGATCAAGTGGTTCTATCTCACTCAAAGCAGAGATATCTCCAAGATTAAATCAAGGTGTTTAGAGTCTTGTATGATCTTTCCTGAAAGTAATTAGTCATACTAGTATAAACGTTCCTTACGATGAGAGACATTCCTTCTCTTTACAATAATGTATTACTCATTAGTGACATACAGTGTAAAGTCTCTGACTCCAAATTTATATTTGTTGATTCAAACCAACTGAGTCTCTAGGGTTGTTAAGAGGCTGAAGCACATGACATGTAAGGAGAAACTCAGGAAATGGCTTTGGTTGGAGAAGAGATGTTTAAGGAAGGTGGGTACCTAGTAGCAGTTTTCTACTACCCAGGAGTGGGTAACAGAGAAGACAGAGCCAAGCCTTCTCTGACATACACAGCAGGACAAAAGCCAACTGTCACAAGATGCGACCGGGGAAATTCCCAATGAACAGTAGCAAAAATCTCTTTACCATGGAAGTAATTAAGTGTTGTAATAAATTACTCAGAAACTGCATAATCTCCACCCTTAGAAATACTCAGAACTCAGTTGGGTGTTTCTTCATGCGAACTGATATAACTTTGCACCTATTGCTGGTCTGAGTGGAGCACTAGTCGAGATGACTTCCAGAGGTCCCTTCTACAATTCCATATGTTTTCAATACCAAAAATTTCCTTCTTGGTATAGCCTATGACCTCCTTTAGTCCTTCTGGTGAGGCAGAGCTCTCTGTGTTTTGCTTCAGTAAAGAACCAGCTGGACTGAGTCGGTATTTTATTTAGGAAATTTTACTTCCCTTTATTAAGCAGAGAAACATCAGAGTTCAAAACAGGAAAGGGGATTTTTAAGAGTTCATTTAATTGTTGTATTGTGTGGCTTTATTTGAATCATGCAGGACTGAGTGTAAATATAATTAATACATCATTTGTTTATTAACAAGCAATGTTGTATGATGCAAATTACTTTCAGACATCTTTTTCCCTGCTTTGAGTACAAGTAACAATACCAGAGGAATGGAGCTATCTAGACTGGTCAGCCTCCAAACTATCAGTGTGGACACACTTCTTCAAATGATAATTACTTAAACAGACCAAAACCTTTTTACCTGGCAGTTAATGCAGACTCCTCCACCTTCATAATGCCCGTGAATGTTTAAGCTTTCTCGACGCCGATCAACATCAGCATCATAGTAGCAGTCAGTGGCATGCCCATAGCAATTGCAGGCTGAAAAAGTTAATATTCCAAGTCAGCTTTCATTGTGACGCTGGAATTTATAAATGTAGCAGCGGTGAGAAAGAAACCTAGAGTATTTATTTATACATACACTCATGTATTTGGAGTGTTCTCAAGTGTACGTATTTACTTATCAGCAACTAGATTTTCACACCAGAGACCTGGGAAGATCATCTAGACATGAGGAAACCATGGACTGCTAGGTTTGTCAGAAGAGTCAACAGCTGTACCATTTCAAAACCGTATATTTATACATAAAAGCAGAACCAGGATGCTCCAGAAGAATGGTTTCAGCAGTTTTATAAAAATAATGAAAAATATGTTCAAATGCTTTTTCTATTTTTCCACATCCAAAAATATATTTGGGCTGAAGCTGTGTGCACTAAAACTTCGTTTCAAATAAACAGTTATAGATAAGATATACATATTTGTGCATAGGAAACTTTATGAAAGAAAAAAAAAAAGCTGAAAGCAAAAAAGGCTTCTGTAAACATATGGTGCTAGGTGAATTTTAATTATAAGCGTTCCAGGACTCCAGAGAAACCCTCCTACAAAATTCCTAAAGTTACAACTTTATAAAGCTATGATTTCACACTTGGGAAATCCTTCCTTCATCTAGAGCAGAGGATAAGATACTCTGGAAGACAATGGATTCCTGAAAGCATGTCAAAATAAAAATAAGAGCCCCGACCCTACTTTCCTTCCTTGGAAGGAAGCATGTCCTTCTAAGGTCATCTACCAAATGCTCCTTGGCTCTAGGGCCAAAACTTCTGTGAACTGCAAACCGCTCACAAGTATGTCTATTAACAGTGATGGGAAATTATTCTGTCTGTCCACAATAACAGCATTTTCTCTTACAGGTGAACAGAAAGCCCTTCTACCTCACAAAGTATTTTCTTACAACTTTGAGCCATTTGCTGACCCCCACTGCTCTAGGAAACTCAGAGCAAAAGATTGGCCCTATTTCTATCAGCTCGCACCGACCTCTTTCAATCAGTTTCCCCAAAGGGACCTCAGGCTGCTAGAAAGCTTAATGAGGCTGCTTTAATTCCTCCACTACCGGCTTCCAGGAGAAGAGGCCTGCACCTGGCCAACACTTTCAACAAATCACCTTAAACAGCTAGAAGCAATCCAAACTGAAAAGGGTATTTTTTTCAGAGGTAGTTAGAAGCTAAGTTGTCTTGGCTCCAAATCTTGTAGATGATCTTTTATAAATTCATTCTTTCAAGAACATGACGTTATTTATGCTCTTTGTCTCTCTCTTCCTGGCAGAAAGTATTTTTCTTTCAAAGAGGGGAATTCAAATGAGGTTTCAAATATTGTCCAAAAATTGAGTCCCAACATGCCTATCTCTGATCAAATGTTTTAATCATCTTTTTTTTTTTCCCTCCCAAACACTCTGTCTTAGTGCTGCAGATTTGATTAAACAAGCAGTCTATTTATTTCTCAAACTAATTATAAAGGTGCATCTATTTGGCTTTCAGATAAGGTTCCCTTGTTAACCGTTTGTACCCACTGGCTACAGTACTCTCGGGAAAGGCAGGTTAAGTTAAATTAGGCCAGACACAAGGGAATCTAGAGGCTGCCAACACATTTGTTCAGAATAGGCTGTGCATGGAGATGGCTAACACAGCTGCTGTTTTCTGACAGAAGGATGCAAAACACCCACGTGGGACATAAGTACCCCTTAGGAAAAAGGGGGTCCATGTGGTCGATCTTACAGTATTACCTTTTCTTTAAGAGAATGAAATAAAGGGAAGGTAGAAGAAAGCTAAAGGGGCTTCTTCAGTTTGACCATTCAGTCTGTGGGTCTAAAGCACACGTGTGGAGCAAACTCCCCACCAGGAAAATGTTTGCATCCATTTATGCCAGGTCAGCAAGAGGTGAATTCCAGCATGAGAATGGAGTGCAACTCAGACACCTGTCAGCAGTAGCAGCCTTGAACAACTTCCCATAGCGGCATTCAGATGACATGAAGCTCAGAGGACCCTGCTTATGGGCCCAAGACAGGAAAGGCAGAAGAGCTGCATTGATTAATGAGTAACATGTGACAAGGCTAAGGCAGGACTACACTGCTGAAAGGATTTTTCAGACCAAACACGATTCACAGTTATTAGACTGTAAATTCAAGAATGTCTGGAGAGATGACATTTCACCCTGGTTCCTGAAACGCTGGAGCATGCTTAATTCCCCAAAAAACAGATTTGCTTCTAAAAAATCTGCTTTATGACACAGGCTTTTGAACTGGGTTCCTTTACAATACCAAGGATGCAGTAACTACAATGACATGGACAATAACTCAGCTCCTCTTCCCAATAAAAGATAGCAAAGACTGAGTTGTTACTTCTTACAACTCTCAGTAAGAAATTATTACTAAATACTTTGCTGTTTCATAAGGGGAGCTGACTGTATCTTGTAGTACTGCACTAAGTACTCCTCATTCCCTCCAGTAACAAACAAACAAAAAAGCCACTTAGCTAAATACACAGTCCCTCCCCTTCTGCCAACAGGACATAAAATCCAGAAGTCGGAGCAAGAGTTCTCCCTTGATACCACTTAGAGTGACTTGTTTGAAAGTTTAATATATGCAGTCTCTACACTCTGAATACAAATAGGTAATGGGGAAGCAAATTTCAAGATGCCTGTAATCTCTGCTCTGCTAGGGAGCACCCACAATTTGTCAGCAGGCAGCTATGACTGGGGAGAGACGTTCACCCAACGTGCTACAGGAAGGTTTCCACTTTTCTCAGGCAATATTCTGACATCTGTGACTATTTTCATTGTTTAATGAGATGAGAGAAAAACACAAATAACATTCACTGCCTCATTTAGTCTGTGTTACTATATGGAAAGAATCTTCTCAGTAAAAAAAAAAAAAAAAAAGAGGTGTCAAAGCCTAATCTGTTAGTTACAGTCCATGAACACTGCACTATAGCTAATTTTCACCCACTTGTCAAAGTCCCGTTTAAACTCACGTATTTTTAACTACTCACGTTCACATATATTTGTGTTCCCAGCTGTTGCAGGTTGCCACTGTTTTTGATTATATCCAGGACAGCAGCGGTCACAGGTTTCCCCACAAGTGTTATGCTGACATTCACACTGAAACCTACAGAAATAAAAGCTTCTTAGTCCACTGAAACTGGATTTAAACTTTTTTTTTTCTTAATTTTATTGCATCCCAAAACTTACACATAATGTGAAAAAGACAGGACATAAGTTCATGTGTAGAGAGGTCAAACAGTGATACTAGAACATTTTAGAACTTCCCTAAAATTATTCATGATTGGTTACTTTAATCATGATTATGAGCTTATTAACACAAATTAGTTATAGAAAACATTTACAACTGAATTCATTAGACTGGATTATGAAACTTTATGCTAGAATATTAAACAAACTGATATATAGCAGCTTACAATGTTCCCTATTTTAGCTTCATTCCAGGGCTCAAGCTTGTTGACCTACAGTAAATCAAAATATTTATCAACTTTCTATGCATGTCTTCATCATTTATAATTTATGCTTTGCTTACAATAATTTTATTACTGTCTTTATTAAACCATAATCATAACTTCATCTTGTTACATCTAAAACAATTCACGTTAATCATCAAGAAAACATAGTTCATATTTATTTTGATTTGAATAGCCTCCATAAGGGCAGGCTCTCGTTATGGGCTAGGTCTTACTATCATGCATAGTAACTGAGTCCCAGGAGTAGCAAGCAGACCTTGAGACTGGAGAGGCTTTTTCCAGCATTCCTCTGTTATCTGTGTAGCCTAATAACCAAGGGGCAATCTAATTTTCAAGTATAACCATTCTATTCTGGTAGATTTCACCCCTTCTGCACTTAGTTTTCTCTAGCACAGACATCTGAAATGGTGGCACCCATTTGCCCACTAACTCTTCATTAGAAACCAATTGAAAATATTACATTATTCTATTAGTTTATTTCAATGCCATCACGGTTAAGAGCAAGAGCTATTTTAAACCGGGGTCTTAAAATGTATTTTGACTGGCCTGAACGCTCACAGTCATTTTCCTAGAACAGACAAGCCATAGAGCTTGATCTAATTCCTTGTGAAATCAACATGGATATCATAAATTTCACAGGGAAATGGAACTTTCCTATAGATTTCAGGTGTGTGACCCGCTACTATCACTATTTAATTCAAGATCATTCATAGAAAGTAACATTTGTAAACAAAGGGTAAGATAATATATTCATTCATTAAAATGAATATAATCCTGCTGCAAAGTTACTGAAATAACATTGATGTTTGCTAATAGCTCCTGTAAATATCAATAATAAGAACACAGTCAAAAAATTATAGAATGTAAAGACGATTGTAAAATATCTTAGATCTACTGCAGCTAAAAAATGAATGCAACTATTTTTCTAAACACGTATTAGAGCCAAGTGTCCAAAGGACCTAGACAAATAGTCAGCAGTCCCAAGTTCTGCTCCTACAAAATATTCAAGTAAAAAATGCAGTCTGAGTTCTACTAACTTTATGGCTGCCTTCTTCATTAATACACTAAGAATATGATACCAAAAGTCACATTTTTCTCTTGTATCTTAATAGTCAATTCAGCTAAAAGGAAGTATCATCCCACTGACAACAGGATATAGCTCATTCAATTGCTGTTTTTATTTTTTTCTAGTGGTGATCAAAAGCATCGGCTCTTGTCTGAGTTAAAATGCTCTGTATCTCCAGAAAGTTCACTAACTTTGTTACTGAGTTGGCTCTTTAATTCCTGTTGTTGGGAGATGATATCAAACCATGTTTTCCAAAAAGAATTAAGGGTTTCTAATGAGCTATTAAATTTTCCAAGCTCTTAATTTCAGTTAAAATCTAAACAGACCTTTTTATTCTTGTATTTCATATACAATAGCTCTTGACATGTTTTCATGTCAATCGTTAGCAGACTCTCATTTTTTAAATATAATAAAAATTTCTTCCAAGACTACATTCAATAATAAAAAGTTCATTTGAAAATGTTTGTGAATTTTTTTCCTGATATTGTGATGCTCAGTTTACTTACTGGTATTGGTCCTCAGCACTTTTTGCGTTACATACTTCAGCATGGCCATGGCAAACACATCGACCACCAACACTGATGTCCTTTATACTGTAGTAATACTACGGAAGAATCACAAGAAATATATATATGTCTTTTCTTACTTGTATTATGGCATATATATGTCTTTTCTTAATTGTATTATGGCAGACATATCAACATCAGTTATTTCTACGTGGTTAAATCCTGTTAATGATAATTTTAAAGGCATGACTTTACAAAAGGCCACAGTCAGGCAACCAACAGTCAAACCTGTACTGACATTATGTCTCGGTATGAGTCCCAACAAATCAAGCCAATACTCATGGGGTGCCTGGTAGCAACAGAACACAATTTTGGGCTTGCGTGGCTCAAACCAAATGCATACAGCTGTAGCTCTCCATTCCCCAGCAGCTACAAAGCCACCAGTGCCCAAGCCTAAAACTTGTTCAAAGCCAGCTTGACCATGGAGATGTACAGGCACAGCATTTGTTTGGGAGACTGCGGTCTGGTCAACAAGTAGGACACACTGGTAGGAGCAGTAGTTTCCCCATTCAGTCACACATGGTCACTAAACACTAGAAACCAACAGAGATCGGTGGCTCAGATAAAATCCCTGTGACTCAAGCTGGATTTGAACCTGTGACATGAAGCTGAACCACTTTGTATCTCACTCTGATGCCTTGCAGGCATCCAAGGCAACAGTAGATAAAAATTTCATCAGTTCAACTCATTGAAAATCTCAGCAGCATATACATATCAATAGTAACTTCTGCATACATTTCTGCAGCTCAGAAATTGCTTCCTTGCCTCTTTAGTGCACCAGGCAGAACAGAAAGCTGGTTGTAATTCTGGATCTCTATGCACCCCCAAAGACAGTTAAAGGGCCAGAGAAAATGCCACTGGAGGACAAAGAGAAAAAGGGTCAGAACGTTTTGCAGTTTTGTCTCCTGTGCTTACTCATTCACAATATAGCCTCTCTAAGTGGTATAACACTCTCTTCTTTTATGTAGGTGAAGTTGGCTGGCACAGATGAGATGCTTTTCCAGGGCAGAGAGCTTTTGAAAACCTCTCTCTCTGGCTTCTGTAAAGCTACTTTGCTCTAAGCAGGAGAAGAGCAGTAGGTGGGATATATAGACTAGGAAATAAGATCTGTATTATTTTTCACTTTCTGAACAGTCTCTACTCACATATACTCACTAATTTTTTTAACTGTGCCCTACCATTTTCATGCTGTAAATAAAACCTGTGCTTTCAGTATTTTCAGCACAGCTAGAAGTGACACTTTTGACTCCTGCCATCATAGCTGACTGTTGTTTTTTTTTTAATATAGTAAGACTGTCGATAGTTACGTGCAGCTTTGCAGAACTATGCTGTACTACTAACAGGAATAGTCCTGTTATTGGCTAGTAAAAAGTAAAATTAATAATAGGCCAAAACAATTAATAGGCCAAATTGCCACAGTTTAGACATAAAACATTCCCTATATAATTCAATGTGTCATGAACTCCAGCCATGAACAGAAGTCAGGCAGTTACTTGGACAGGAGAACAGAACTCGTCTGGTTTTCATCTGGTTCTCTAATAAGTTTAACACACAGACTTTCCTTATGTATATTAACTCTTTCCTAGACTTTGAAGACCTCTACAACAAAAATGTGTGATCTCTTTTAACAATTCAATAAAACACTTGTTGTTTTATTCATCTGTCCTACATCCCATGGCCATAACATCAGAAGTTTCTTACATTAAAGCTACGCTGCTCGCCAAGGAAAGTAAATACTTCTTTTACATGTGCCTGTGAGCAACATCTTAAAATTTACTTAAGACAATAGAGGTGCTTAATGGGAGTGCTATCAAGTAACTGGAACTGTTTTATGATTTTCGATACAGAAACCCACACACACTTGTGCAGTGCCTCACCCCAGGGTTTCCTCCAATTGTTACTGACTCTTCATTTGAAATAAAAAGGTTTAAAATAGCAATACAATATGAAGCTTGCAATCTCTCTTGATGCACTGTTCCCTTGAGGGATCTGGATTTCCTTATATTTCCCCACTAAATGAGTGGAACCTTGGCTATCAAGCCCCAGGATAGCCCAAAGTCCACTAAAAACACCTATGTATCTCAAACAATATGTCTACAGATAGTAACTTTTGAGTAGGCCCTCTGATTCCTGCTCCTTCAGAAACTCAAGTAAAATTTTCTGAAATCTCTCTTCAAATAAATAAGGGAAAGCAGTGTAAAATAAGGCTGGTGAGACAGCTCAGATTTTTGCAATGGCTCCTTATAGCTCTCGTGATGCACTCAGCTTCCTTTAATATTCAAAGTCAGCAAAAGAAGATAGCCTGTTACAAAATCATTACTTCCCCTCCATAGCTACCTGCTATCCCAGTTATCTTCTCATGTCAAGCAGACCTGGAGAAAATACAGGGATTTACAGGTAGGTCATTGTAAATATTGATTGTTGCAAACCTAAATGATTTAGATCATTTTTGGTCTCTAAGATGCTGGATATAGCTGTTGAATATACCTCTGTGAAAACAGTACTTACTCTACGGGTTACAGTAGGGTCTCGTTGAGCTTTTGATATCAAGTGTCCCAGAAGTGTATTAGTTCTGAGAAAATGAAGGCGGATGTTTGTTGCTTTTGTGAATTCTCGAAGACTAGGTGAATAAGTGAAGTTTTTTGCTCCTGGGCGGCCATTTACCAAAGATACTACAATCTAAAAAAATAGGAAGTATATTTTTGTTACAACATATCCACTGCAAGTATCAGTAGTGGGCACAGAGTCAAACGTTTGCGTAATAACAGAATAAAAAAAAATACTATTGTTTCTGAGCATATTTGCAGTAGCAACTACACATTTCATACTGAAACCAGAACGTCAGGAAAAAACATGACTTGGACCCTCCTGAATTCTTATTACACATACTACACCTAAGTAAAAAATAAATAAATAAATAAAAGAGTGCCCCTATCTCTTTTGAAAACAGTGCGTACAACACACAAAAAGAACACATTTTAGTTGGGGGGAAAAAACAAACAAAAAACAATAGGTATAGTTACAAATAGTTACATGAACAGTTGATAGTGTCGAGGGGAGTTTTGTCTGAGTAATAACACCAGGTTTTGGCTCTTTCCCAAAGCACATTTATTTTTGGGTTAAGGCACAAACATTCCTGGAAAATATTATTGTTACCAGGTCCAATGCTTGGGAGCATATTAATGGTCTTCTTGAAGAAAGTACACAGTGTTGCTTTAGAAAATCCTTTCACGTGAAAGCAGGTTTATCTAACTTTCAAAACATGAGCTCCAGTACAATTTTTATTTCTTAAAGAAAATTAGCAATCATGAATTTCTATTAAATTAACAACCTAGTGTGCAACCGAGTAAAAGACTTTCATTTATTTATAACCAGCCAGATAACAGATTTATATTTTCAAATAGCTCCTATAATCTGAAACATGTAAGAGTAGACTGGTGGCTGTTCTAATTGCAGTACAATTATTTTAGGAGAAGTCATGCAGCATGTAATAGGGGATGGTAGCAGCAATAGTCTTCTACAGAAATTGTTCTTAAAAATATTTTATCTGGAAAATTTTAAAGATGTGTTAATAGGCAAATTCTACTTTAATTCTAAACTACAACTCCAGATCCATACGCATAAAACTCTGCAGGAGTTTAGATGTAGATTCTAACTGCATCAGACATAAAACAAGAACGTCAGCAAGAGTGAACAGCACAGCCAGGAGTTTAACATCAATTCAAGTAACACAAGCCACATTTCTGCAATAGCAAGGATCAAAATCAGAGTAATGCTTTTGCATGCACATGTACTTCATTACAAACGTGTAGTATTTTGTATATTTTTTCTTAAATAGACTTATTCTTGAATGGTAAAGCTTATTCTTGAATGGTAAATATCTGTTTCTACAGCCTTTTCTCCCATGAGGAATTCTTGTGTAGTTAAGTTCTTTTATGTACATTGAAACTATTCAGAAAATGCAGTAAATATCTTCACATGCATATGCATAAAGTGAGGTACCTAAACCATAATAAAGAATCTATGCAGGTTGCTTTGAGCAGCCCCTATCCCCTGGTGACAGTTGGGAGATGTCAGCCCACTCTCCAAATATCTCACCAGCTACTTAAATGCTTGATTGTGGATTTATTGTCATTTCAAGCAATCATAACTGAAAAAATACTTTCTGTTCTACGTTTTTATTGAAACGGTAAACTTCCAAAACTGTTCACTTCCAAGATTACACTTTATTTTTCTAAAAGCACTTACCTCCCCATTTTCAAGAGGCACAATGCGAGAATACTCTGTAGTGCAAATGACATCGTTGTCCCTCCTCACAGGAACATTAGCTTCCTTTCCAAAGCGTTCCAAACAATCTGCTTTGGAGTCTACTCAAGTCAGAATGAAATTAGTTTTATATATGAAAATATATAATACTGTATATCCTAATTTGAATTAACAAAGAAATATCCCCTGTGCTTTAGGTAAATTCTCCCCCTTAGCTGAAAAATAAAAAGCAGCGATTGCTTCCCTTAGTGCATAAAAATGGAAATTTCTAAAACCAAATTGTTTCTTGTCCTAAGCAATTCAGTGGTTCCTGATAAGACACTACACAATCTTTCTAATGTCAACACAAAAAAAATAATAATAATTTATCTCCTCCAAGATTTTGTGACGTTTGACTTTGACGTTTGCAAGGAACTCTAGAGTCCAATGGGATAAAGGACACTGTAGTTCTGATATACTAAAAATCAAGACAAAAAATGCAAAACAAAAAATCCCAACAGACTGAAAAATATTGATGTGCTGAGTTAAAGTTTCCAAATATCATGCTCACTTTCAGTTACACTTTTTTCACTAATTCATCGTGGACAACTACGATAAGAGAAACGTATTTGACATTCACTGTCTTCACTACACTACAGCTGAAATCTTCAGCAATACCAATGGCCTGATTTTCTTGCTACTGGGTGAAAGATTAAAGATACTTACGAGCAAAATATTGCCAGGGAGTGTAAGTTTTTCCAAAGTCCACTGATCTTTCTAAGATCCAGAGATCTGGACGAGGAGAATTTGCAAACTTGATAAGGATATAGGCGACATGGAAAAGCTGGTAACAGAACATGTAGAAATATTATCAGCAGCTTTTTGAACTCTATCAAAGTCATGCAATACTAAAATTAATGCCAGTAAAACCCCTTTTCTTTTGTGTACAGTGAGAAGGTGATCTGCAGTTTTATTTCCATTCTAAAAACAGTCCAGATTCTCAGCGGGTAGCCTCCAAGCAGCTGTTATCAACATACTTCACCTGACAATGTGCTCCAATACATTAAAAAAGCTGCAGCAGAACTCTGCTATAAGCCATCTGTTACCTTGCAGAGCAGCTCTGTTTCACATCCAACTGGTTGCTTGGGTGTGTTCGTGGTCTATTACTTAACCTTGAGGAGTTAGCATCTCAACTCTACTGAGCTAAGATACATTTGCAGCATCCTGGTACATTTTCTAGAATGCTTGTGGCATTCTAGTCATGTAGTGAAAGAAAATCATGGATATTAGTGAAAATGCACATATTTACCTTGGGGCTCCTTTGGCTGCATTTGATTGTAACCAGAGGCACCTGTTCCCTCACTGCAAGAAACTTTCTAGATAACTTTGCCACTTCCCAAGTAACAAAGCAAGTCTCCCCAGAGCTTTATGTATGAAGTACCACAAGAGAGATTCTTATGCTGGTAGATCATTCATTGTCTGAAACTGCTCAAAATGCCTCATCAGTTCCAAGGCTGCCAAGGCCAAGAGTCCCACCTGGCTTCTTTAGGTGCTCAATGGGTATCACAGAGATAGACCACAGAGACAGAAAGCTCCTCAACACTACAGTAAATATGGGTTTGTCAAGAACAGAAATTTTACTACAAGCCTCTTGAGATAGTCCACAGTCATAAAAATCTGCATTCTGTGAAATTAACCCACACAAATGGCCAAATACAGATTGAACCCTAAGGGTCATCTAAAATTTAAACAACCATGATGTGGATATGAATTGTCGATAAAAGAGATCAGATACTGAGGGACAGACAATACCCGAGTGCAGCTGCACTGGAATTTCTCACTCAACAGCATAAATTCAGTAACTTCTGCTTGCCAGAGTCTTACTTGGTTAGGGCTCCTTTCAGACTAGATCTTCACACACCCATTCCAGACATCAGCTTCTGAATATCAAAAGCATTCAAAAAAAAAAGAAAGAAAAACCTTCCCACAGAGGAACATGAGAATTCAGGGACTTCATGGAGCACGTTCTCATGATGATACCTCACATCCCAGCAAAAGCAACTGAAACTTTTTCGTTGTGCATTCAGTGCATGCAGCATGTGCAACTACATCCAGGGCAACTGCCTGGTCTACACACATTGAGGTATCACTGCAGCAAGTGTTGCACTTTGAAACCTATTTTGGAAACTGTTGATTCAATGAACGTTACTGACCTCGGTCAGCGGGAAGGATAACCAAGGGAAAAAAAACCATCATGATAGTGGTGGGATTTACCCTGCCAACTTAACACTGCCTCACAAGCACCAACTTCACTTCCTGTGATACTAAATTAGGCAGCTAATTAGCCAGACAGTATCTACATTCAGGAAATTACTTAGTAGGTAACAGTATGAAGGAAAGTGAGTGGCAGTCATTCTGTTGGCAGAACAGTTCTTTTCCCCAGAACTATTCACAATGACTGCACGGGTGGCACAATGTCCTCAAATTACTGATTGAAAATCTCCAAACCAGTGGTCAGAAACTTTGGGGACTGTGGCAAGATTTGCTCTTAACGAGTTTTTGATACTCCACCTATGCAACTTCTGCTACTTGACTGGCAAGTTTCAGTGCAGGGATATTGGCCCTACAGACCAGATTTCATACATACATGTCATCCAGCATGGCCATTCAGTGCAAAGTCTGGTATCCTCACAGGGAAAGGTAACAGTTGTGTAATTCCTAAAATAAATTGTTTTACATTCTTGCTTTTTACTGTCAAGATCTCTTAAAACCAAGTCTGCACCAGACAGGCAACTGCCTATCCATTAATATTCTGGCCCCTATGCTTTAAGGTCTTTAAGAATTCCATTCTTACAAGCATATTAACAAGGGCAGACAACAGTCCACATGCTCATCAAGCCAGATTTCATCAAGACAAATGTCTTAGAAAGCTCGGGGGGACACAAAAGAAGCACGCATAAAATGCAGACCGCTCCTCTAGGACACCGTTGCTTGTAGTCACGCTGTTGAACCACGACGACAGTGACCTTCTACCTACTCTCCAAAAAAGCTGACTGCACCTGCCTCAGCCTGTCATGCAGTTCTATTCTTTTCCTGAGATGCTCCTCAGACTGCTGACACAGGGAGTTTCGTCTCGTCTTGTCTCGTAGCAGGTGATGCCTTCTCGTAAGCGTGAGCAAAATTGAAGCGGTAAATTCTATTTCCACTGTGCTTCCTCACTGCTGAAGAACTGAAACCTGAAACATGCTCACTTACCCATCCGTGTCACCCTGGACTACAACCTTTCATACACATTTAGAGAAAACTGTGCCCAAAATGAAGACACACAACAGTATTCTGTGTAGCACAGCTGAATCAGCATGCGGTGCCCTTCGAACACCTGTATGCCAGATCTGCTGCACAGCTGTGGAATTGATTTAAGCCTGTGACTACTCAATGTGTGTGAAGCTGAAGGAGTCAAACATGTGCATTAAATCAGGAAACCACTCTTCTACCAGGCCTGCCACTAATTAAGGCACTGCCTCACAGCACCACACTTGGCATACTTCCATGGAAACCACAAAATAAGAAAAAAAAATGTATGTCGACTTAAAACTACTGATGCACATGAAAACCTTCAATTGATGTGCATTCTCCTTCCATCTCATAGTTTTAAATGCTGCTCAAGTTTGTACGATCGCATTCAGAAAGTGGAAGGGAATAGGTCTCAAGGTCTCAATTAAAAATGCAACAAAGCAGTAAAAATAACCATTCTTTTGTTTTTTGTTGCAAATATCTAATAGAATTTGTCCACACACAAAAAAAATAATAATAATTGCAGACCAAGCAATAAAATTAACAATGTAATTAAATGAAGTAAAAATCCCATGATTATGGTTAAAACAAAAGGCTTTTATGGCTTTTATTTATTCTTGTTGTGAAGAGGTCAGCACCTCCTTTCTTCAGTAATCTCTCAGTAGGGCTTGAGGCATCCTTAGAGACCCAGAGAACTACCAGTCACTTCCATCACTATTTAGCAACCCCCAGCCATAGATTTTTGCATACAAAATTGTAATACAAAAAAGTCAACTAGAGAGAACTGAACCAGTCTTTTGGGTAGTTACCATCTGGAAAAGTAGCTATGGTAAAGGTGCAGAGAAAAGCCCGTGTGCACAGTGTGTGAGAGGCATTAGATCTGTACCATTTAATCCCAAACATGTAAATGCAGCAGTGCTAATGTTACAGACACAAGTGACTGGAGAAGCTCATACGACTTCTTTGTTTAACCAGCCACTGACACCGAGAAGCTATGCTTGTATTTAGTTATCCGCATGTCTGTGAACATGCCTGGCTGACACAGCCGGAGATGTTAAGCCCTTTCTCTATGGCAGTCAATGTGCAGGACCAGAAGGGAAAAGTTCTCCACGTTTCACAGGCAGTATTCTGGAAAGAACACTTTCGGAAATGAAAGGGTGGTCTATTGTCCAGGTTCTTGGTCTTTCTGCCAAGACTGCAGGCAAATACATCAACGATTGTCAGCTACAATCCTGAAATTTCTCATGCAGCCACTTTTCCATTGGGAATTGGACAAAGACCAACTCAATGCTCATAATTATTTCTTACATTGGGCCTATTTCTTCAAAGAACACTGAAGTTATTCATACGGGAGAGGATTTGTATGGTCCAGACCTCAGTTGTCCAGGAGATAAACATCCCCTTATGAAGGCTGCAGTGCAAAGTACAAAGAACACAGTAGGACTGTCAGCACTAGAAGAAAACATGGGGAAGTGTGGAGGATTGAAGGCTATCGTGAAGGCTATTTTACTATGTTGAGATGAAAAGTGAGGTAGTTAGGGCAACACATCACAGATGAAAGTAACATGGAGGAATGGACATAAGGAGGAAGGTGGGAAAAGGAGACTTCAGACACTGAGGGAGTGAGATCAATGAGTGGGAATAAAGAACTTCCTAAGAGGATGCTGAAAAAGAACCAGAGGAAGATGGTGTCAGGAAATCTAAGGAGAGCAGGCCTTCAAATATCTTTCTGTAGGCTCTAGGAATAAAATCTCTCAATACCAAATACACACAATAATACAAGCATAAAAACAAAAAATCCAGCCATTCAAAACGTCTTTTAATTAAATCTGTAAAAAAACACAACACATTGACTACTTCTTAAAGCACGACATATGAGCAAGAAATGGTTTATTTAGGGTGTTTCCCTGATTAAATCTGGCAACTGGGCTAAGAATGTACTTGCAGTGGGAATGAAGAATAAATGGAGCATGTTCCTGTACATGTTTACATGCTTTAATTGGCAGATGATATAAAAGTATCAAGTCTTCCACAGGCCATACTACTAATCTTAAAATTATGTTTCAGTTTCCCTCTCTCCCTACAGAAAGTAATTTATTTTTCATCATGCGCTATCATGCTATCCTGAAGCTTCATCTTCTACATCTAAACATAGAGTTCAGAAAAATAGCTGGGGGAGTATTAGTGCAATATTTGCTGAGTATTAAGAAAGCCAAAGATGAGGGCACACCTGCTAAAGACAGGCAGTCCAAAGAGTCAGGGGATCAGCAACGAGGTTCAGTCAAACATTCTGCATTCAAAAGATTAAAATATATTGAAAACTATGTTGGGAAAATCTGGGCCAATTAAAGGTCTCCATTTGATCCAAATATTTGAAACAAGTCAGGAATAGCCACAGCATAAGTAGGTATGTTAACAGAATGGAGAGAATGCCCCAGGGATCAACATTATAATTATTATTCAGAAGGGCTGTGATTGATTAGAATTATAACTGTAGTAGAGTTATAAGGCAGAAAGGGACATAAAGCAGAGTGCTTTTGCTTTAAAGTTTTTGCTTTTTCTCATATTACAAAGTACAACAGAGTGAGCATTTTTTTAACATAAAGATTTAAGATCCTGAAGAGATTTTGACTGTCAAAATCATCCCCAGTTCTTGTGAAACAGGATCAGCAGCGGGTGGGTGTTCTAACGCCAATTTAATGAGCTCTCAAACTTTCATCATGGTGCAACTACTCAATTAAATATTGTCTTCAGAATACTGACAAAAGGCTCCACTGGGACTTACACTCTGAGTCTTAAAGATATAATGGCAGGAACACAGCAAATAAAAGACTTCTGGCATTCTGCTTCCTCTAATTGTGATTATTTGATGACCAATTTGCAACTCAATCATTGCTTTTCTGCACACATACGTACCTTACTCTGTCCTATTTTGCACACACATCAAAATGCAAAAGTATTTCCATATTTTGTTTGAAGAAGGTGTCTTATGTTAAAATAAAGGATATGACAAACAAGCAGTGAGGAAAACTACATTTCTGATATCTTCCCAGTATTATAGCATGTTGTTCCGCAAGGTATTTAGGCACATACCTAATTTTAAGCACATTCATTTTTCTTCATGGAAAAAAAGCCTTATTTCAGTTCATTTAAGAAGCAACCGCACTCTGAAAGTGTTTGTCTGTCTTTCTTGACTACTGAGAAAGTCTGCATGACTAACTGAGTAAGCTCTTAATTTTTAGGTCCCTGAAATAAGGTAAGGTGAGTTGAGGTCTCAGTGTTTACTTGTTCATTTCAATAGACTTACTCTGTCACAGTATTTACTTTTCTTTTTTTATGATTAGTATCGTGCATTACAGAATGAATTTGGGATGGGAGAATACCAGGCAAAATGTCAAAAGTGAATCTCAGGTTCAAACACATCCTGAAACCAAGGTTTAACTGACTGAACACAGATACAAGATTATGTCTGTTTGCTTTTCCCTTCACAAACACAAACAAATGAAAAAAAAAAAAAAAGTACCACACACAGAGAAAACTTAACAAACCATCCACTCTCATTCATCCACCAAATAAAAGGATCCCTTCTTGATCACAGGTCCTGAAGTCATTTTGACCTGTGTCTTGGATTTCCTTCATTTCACAGTAAGGGAGTTCAGAGTAACCTTTCCAAATGGTACCGGAGTAAAGAGAAAGACACAGCCTCCTGCTGAGAAATCTTTTGATAACCTACTAACTAATAACCAGCACATAGCTGGTCTCCAAGGAGTCCCATGAGAAGAGGGCACTCAATCCACATCCTTCCTCTGAGGGAAGGAGATTTCTCAGAAGTTTACTCAACCCGTAACAGATTAAGTGCCTGTCAGTAGCTCCTCCAAAGAAGCTAACACAGTGGTAACAGTAGTGATGGATGGAGCAGCTTCACGGGTGTTACACAAGGTTTTGATGATGATATTCCAGTGTTGGTCACAAATACGCTGGATTATACTGCAAGGCAAATTACAGACTTTAGTCTGCAACCTAATTCTGCCTTACCGAGACCATCAAGGAAGCAAGCAGCTCAAAATGAAAGATCTGCTTTACTGGAAGGTAATTGTCTGTCCATGCCTATTCATAGCAGCACCATGCTCTGCATTCAGTGTTCCCCTGCTCTGCATGCCCAGCCTGAAAGCCACACTTCTCTACAATTCACTGGGAGTGAATGGCTAAGCGACTCAATTTATGGGAGCAAAAAGTCTCAGGGATGCAATGCCCCTCCACGGTGCATTTTATCAGAAAGAGTGCATCTTTACCAGAAAGAGGTCACACCATTGTGTACTAGGCTAGTATGGATACTATGGCCTAAAAATTAAATGGCTTAGACGTAACTCCTTTTTTCATGGTACAGTGGAAAAAAAAGCAAACACGCATGGCATTCATTTAAACAATAAAACGTAGATTCAACTATCACAACAGTTTAGTTTAACTACTGAAATTCTCCATTCTCACACAGAATCACAGAATTTCTAGGTTGGAAGAGACCTCAAGATCGTCGAGTCCAACCTCTGACCTAACACTAACAGTCCCCAGAGTTATCTAGTATTTCTGCACTGCTGGCACACTAGATTAAAAAACAATACAGAATGAAAATATCCTCAAAATAAGACGCGTTCCAGCCATGTGAGACATAGGAGCATTAAAACCCTATGTAGTAGAAGAGGCAGAATTATTTGCACCTGAATCCCCAACCAAACAGCAGCTAAGTCTCAAAGATAATTTTTTCCTTTGTTATTGTTTTTTTTCTTTATTATCATCTTGCTATTAACTAAATTGAAAGCCAATTTAAAAAAATAATCTTGGCCTATATATCACTAGTGTCGGTAAACAGTTACCACTGTCCAAAAAAACATTATAGATATATTGGAGGCTGCAATATACATATATTTATAGGCATACATTTTCAGCTGGTGTAAAATTGCAGAGCATAACTAATTTACTGGATCAGTGCCCAATTAGGGCAGCTGAGAATCCAGCCCTATGACTTAAAAGCTACAGTTACAGATGCAGAGGCTTTACTGTTATCTATTTGCCTATCACCTGCAGAAGAAATACGGGTGATCATGTTACTGTCATCTTACTAATTCCTATTACACTGTTTTTGCTGACCCTTCTTTTTTAGGTCATGTTATCAATATTATCCTGTCTACCTTGAAGATCTTGCTGGATGACAAAGGAACCAGAAGGATCCTTGAGGCAAAAGCAGACTTCAAACATTATTCTCAAGATGTGTACGTGGTAAGTGATTGTGAAATCTCTCTGTACAGACCCATGGAAAAAGAGTATATGAAATGTAAGGCACAGCCCTGGTTTCAACTGGGCAATTCCCTCTATAACCTCTGGTTAAAAAGTTACAATGTCTGTGAAAGAAAGCACAGTCATTGAATCAGGATGATACCTGCGGCAAAAAACACACATCATTAAAATTTCCAAGGAAGATAATCACTATAATAACGTTAAATCAGTTAACAAGGAAAAAAAAAAGTAATATAAAACAGACAAAAAAAAGTATGGGGTTGGAAGTTAAAATAATTAGTTCAAACATCCCTCCCAATTGCAAAGCTTTTATACAGAGGCAAGAAATGATCAAACCTTAGGCAACAGCTCACACACTCACCTGTCCCAGATCTAAAGTGACATTGACTTCGTTGTATTTTAAACCCATAGACAGAGGAGGACTTTGCCACCAACGCTCCGTTCCATCAATCGCATTAGTTATGGGGTGAGCTTTTCTGGGATCAGCAGCATTGCAATAATCACAAAATTGTCCCTGAAACACAGTTAATTTAGAAGATGGCATCAGTTGAAATCTTATGCACTGCAGATGCATGATGAGATTCTGATCAGAGCTTTGACTAAAAATTGAGTTAAATTTTACTTCTCTATAGTGCATTTTTTTTCTGTATAATGATTCCCCTTGTAATTAATATACACACTTATACCCTGAAACACACACGATTCTATGTTACAAAATAAAATTCAGAAATCTCTTTAAGAAAAGATTTATTGTAGTTTTCCTTATCAATACGTTTACTGATACCTTGCTGCAATTACCCTTATGACTCCTGCAGGCACGTCCACGGGAAATCGATGCAACAAAGATTCTTATAGCTGGATTAAGACCAATACAAAAATTACCCTCTGTTCTCTTCAAGACTGTGAAATGTCAGCACATGCACACAGAAGACTGGCAGTAACATAACCATAAAAAACACTCAACTACTTGTGGATGTGTAAGATTGGTGTTATAGTTTTATAACATGGATTTATTTTTTTGCGTGCTATTAAAGTACAATCTGAAAAATAAACTTCTGAGAAACGCATTTTCCATGAGTACGTAATGGGTTACACAGAGTGTTCCCTTTAAGGACAATGAAAGAATTCCATTAAATCTTAATTTGCAGAAGTCACTACCCAATTTTTAGTCCACAATTAAAGCCACATTCTGGAAATTCTCTGAAAACCTGTCTTTGACAGTTTCTAAAGATCTTTGTACTGTTGCAAACAATAACAATGAATAAACTTCATGAAACCAAACTGTCTTTTTATTTAGCATCTTGGCTTGCCCCACAGCGGTATTTTTATCTTCAAGAAAATGCATTTTAACTGTCTAAGATTAGCGTTGAAGTATTGAAATTAGTTATTAAGCAATCTTTTTACTGTCCCATTCACTTCTTATTCCAGTCACTGGGTGTAAGTGATTCATGTGATAAACCATGCCAGGTACAGATCTTTGTAGAACCCCAACAGAAAAATGATATTTTCATTACATGGAACTACCCTCTTAATAGATACTTCATTCAGGTGCTTAATCCATTCAGCCTGCAAGGTGCTGACCCTGTATTGGATCCGTGTTTTAAATAAGGTGATATGTCATATTTAAACCATTCCTTTTATAAACTAAAGAGAAAAAAAGAAAAATCAACGAAGAAAAAAGTCATCTTTTGTTGTTTCCACAACCCATGTCTCCTGGCATCAAGTATATTCCAATTTTTGAAGTATTAACAATCCTGTATAGGTATAAATTTGTTTGCCACTGCTGTCACACTAACCAGTGCGACCTAACTTCAGCAATCACATTTGTCCCCTTTTAATACAGGAATGACATTAGGGCTCTCTCATTCTTGCTGGATTCACCAAGTGTGGATCTACAGGAGTGTATCTAAAATGTTTATCTCTAGCAGAATTTGTTTAACCTCTTCCATAGTTACTAACGGTTTGGAAACTACATCATTCTCACGTGATACAATTGCATCCTGTAGTGTCTTTCAAATTAAAAACATGGATGTTCACTGAATATTTCTGCATAAGTTGTAACTATTTCAGTATCTGCACGTAGCAGTGGTTGTCCTCATCCTGCTCTTCTGGCAAGACCAGAAGATGCTGTTGTTGCCAGAAGACGTGACCATCGTTAGTTGTTCTGAGTTAGCACTGCAGTTGTCAACCTGGCTGAGGGTTATGTTGTGAGAATTCAACAAGTTATTTACAGACTTACTAAATCCATACGTACACAGGTTGGTTAACTATGTCTGGGGATCAAGCTATAACATGGCTCTCCTCCAGCTCTGTTGGAGAAGGTGACTTGGCTGATTTTTGTACAAACAGCTACAATAGGCCAGGATACTTGGGTTCTGACACAGCTGACACCACCTCAGGCTGTGCTAGCTACTGGCAACATTGCCAGTTGCTGCAATGAGGACCCAGCACACTGGGTCACAATCTGCAGAATCAATACACTGAGCAATTAATCTGTGCAGTTACAGCTGCCACCACATCAGAGCATCTTTATAGGTAATATTTCCTGACAGATGCATGCTTGAAGTGGAGTTCCAACAGAGGGAAGCTTGTGGTGTTGTAATACCTAAATAGTTTTGCAGCATGCATGAAACATGGTCTTTAGATCTCAATTCACATTCACAACGATCTGGCTGGAAATATACAGGAAACAGTTGCTGCCACAGCAGTTTCAGCTCCAATCTGGCAACAGCCTCGCAGAAAGGCAGAATGAACAGAAAACAATGAGGAATATTGAACACAAGTGTTACATTTCCGTACACCTATGTTATTTCAGTATTCCAGAGCACCTGATCTGAACTCAAGACACCACCTTTTTCTTTTCGGACCCATAATTCAAAGAATTTCATTGCAACTGGAGTTTCAGTTATTTAAAGTACATTCCAGCAAACCTGCCAAAAAGACAGAAAAACAAAAAAATGAAAGAAAATAAGTTATTGGATTGAGCGGCCTTCCCTGCTTCCCACTGGCAGTACCTGCAGGCACGCCACCCCCAGCCTGTCTGCCACGGGGCGCATTGCAATTCCTGGAGACCGGGCATCCTGCCATCATTTGATTTTGGCTGCAGTTCATCACCCAGGCAGGTGTGCATCCGCTGGTGACCTTGCTACCCTCCTTTCCCTTGGTTCTCCTGAGCAGGGGAAAAAAACTGAGACTGCATAAAGCAGTGGGGATCGATGACATCGATGAAAATGCCTCCTCACCTGTAAATTACAGACAGCTAGAACGATGAAGGACTTGTTCACACATTAGTAGCTAAAAGATCTGCACCCACTGGCAAGGCAAGGCAGGTATGCAGTTAAACTTTAATTCACACCCGCACACCGCTGCGGACAGATCTGCAGGCAAAACCAGGCATGTCATTTATCTGTCAGGGTTGCCAACATATTTTGCACTGCAGTGCATCTGTTCACTCAACACTGCTCTTATTAAGCCATGGCCCCGCTCGCCAATGTGCTAAACAAGGGAAACAAGCTGCTTTTCCACAATGTACGTCCAATGTACGTCACAAGCCTCAGGCTGCACCTGGTGGCTGAGCTGTACCTGCAGGGACTGCCCACCCTACCTGTCAGCTCTTGGAAGGGCTTTAATGAATGCTCCTGGATGTTCTGGGGACAACAGGCTTCACAGGTGGACATATCAAACAACATGCTGAACAAAAGACGTTGATGAAAAAGTAGAAGTGAAGCTGGGGCTGCTCTTCTTCTCCTTGCCGTATTTTAAGTGCTTGTGACAGCACCACAACAGAGCCACGTGCTCCCTTCATAAAAAGGGCAATCACCCTCTGCACCTTCTGATTTCCCTCCTTGCAGCACAACAGCCACCATCCAGCTGTGGATACTCTCCAAAAGTGAGTGAGTCAAGCACATAGTGCAGCTTTAACTTGGAATTGGCCTGACAGTGGCTATTAGATCCATCACTGCCACCTTTCGTAAAAGCCATCTGACCCCCTATCAAACTTCTAAGAAACAACACATGAATGATTATGCTGATCTAAATCCTTCAAGATAAGCTCAGCTTCTGCAAGAATTTAATGCATGTCTGGCCAGTTTTTCACCAAAGAAAAAAAAAAAGATTCTCTTATTTACAGTGTCTTTGAACTTGAGAGGTGGAGTGGCTTGATAATATGCACATTGTGCTGCTATCACATTTTCCATGGCTGGATTTCCCTGGCCTTCAGAAAGAATTTTCCAAGCCTTCTCAAGCCACAACAACTACTGGTAAACTACAGAAGTATTCATGTTATGTATTTCAATGGGGCTTTGTTAAAACTGGAGAGAGATACTGCTGCATCCACATTTACTCAACCACTTCAGGAGGCGCACCAGGCTTCCTTGTGCCAGGGCTGAGCTGTCAGCAGTCCTAGGAACGTGAATCAGGAATGAACCATAACTGCTTATAACCCAGGACCTGTAAGGCAAATATTTAACAAGAGGAACTCTCCCCTTGCCAGCCTCTTCCCACATACAGAAAACCCTCGTTTCCAACTGGCTGTTAGTATAAAGGGAACAATTAGAAAAATAATCAATGGCAACGCATCACACTGCATGCCTTGTTCCACTTGTTTGACCTGTTAATCTCATATTTATTGCCGATTTTTGTTATACTGTGCTTTCTGTTATTCTAAAGCATGTTCGTATGAGATCTTACTGCAGCAGTGAGCTATAGTGTGTGCTGCTGAGAAAGCAGCAGAGGTTATTAGGCTTGCTAGTACCTAAAACAGCCATACCAGCAGCTGAATTTCAAACACAGGCGTGCTCAATGTGGAGGGACAGATGCCTAAACTTCAGAAACATGGTAGAAGCAGAGGAGCAAGCAGTTTCCCTGCTCACAGCAACCTCGCTTTGTAGCCTTAGCTGAAGCATTTAACACCTGCAGCCCAGTTTTACTAACAGGAAATCTGCGTTACTCCACCTGTAAGCATCTCCAAAGCACACTCAGCTTGCTGTGACAGAGGGCACTACACAGATGCAAGGTGAATGGAGATGTCGTGTGAGGCAGGGCAGGCATTGCAGAGGATTTGGGCGCTGAGCACCTTGCTGTATGGCAGTGCCGAGCCTTCCAAGCACTCTCCCCTCTCTTGAGCGCCTGTCCCTGCTACCAAACAAGAAGGAAAAGCTGGAAGCTCTTCTGAGACCAGATCTCGAGGGTTATTTCACCGTTAAAACACACAAATGCCTCTGAAGTCTTGGAAACGCTAACCCTTCTCCCAGGACACCGAGTTAGATGTGGATTCCTTCTGTATCGCATGGAGTCGCGAAGCAGACCCTAAATCTTTCAAAATCCCTCTCGGAGTGCGGTTTCATCCCGCCTGTCTCCTCCTCCCACCAAGAAGAGCACAAACAGCAGAGCTTGGGGAGGTCGGAGGCTGTAGGAAAGCCTCCCTACTCCTCCGCGCTCTGTCGGAGCCGACTCTGACCACCAGCCCCAGCACACCACGGAGCTCGCTGCGCTTGCTGCTCCCTCCCTGCCCTGACAGGTTTCTGCCCAAGCACAAAACACGCTTCCACCAACCCTTCGCGAGGATTTTTGCTTTTCCTCGCCGCATGACTGGAAACGCCAGCCACCGTCCCCATCCTCAGAGCCCCTGCCTCCCTCCCGCAAGCCGCCGGGGCTGAGGGCAGGGTCGGCGGCGCCACTGCCCCTCTCGGTCCCATTACCCCTCTCCTGTCCCCACCATCGCCCCTCTCGGTCCCCACACGCTACCTGGATGGCACGGCCCAGCGGGGCGGCGGCGGGGCCCCCCACCAGCTTGCAGTACAGCTCCGGCCGCCCGCCGCCACCACCACCACCACCACCACCCGCCTCCTCCTCCTCCTCTTCTTCCTCCTCCTTCTCCCCGCAGGTGGCCGTGGCCCAGATGCCGGCCGTCTCGGCCAGGTTGAAATAAGGCGGGTGGAGGCTGAGCCCCAGGGAGCCGGGGGGCTCCGTCTGCGCCGGGCAGAGGGCGAAGAGGGGCGGGAGGAGCGCCCAGAGGAGCCGCCGCCGCGCCGCGGCCATCGTGCGCCCGGCTCTGCCCTCGCCGCCCCGCAGGCGGCTCTATAGCTGCGGCGGGCCGGGGCTGCAGCGGTGTGCGGGGCGGGGAGAGCCGCGAACACACCCCCGCTGAGGCGAAAAGCCCCAAAAGCCCCAGGACAGAGCGGAGATCCCGGGCACGGGGCGAGGGCGAAGGACAGCGGCAGCCTCCCGGCTCTCAGGGCCGGTGGGGTCGGGGCCAGGTGTGAGCCCCGCCGCCATGTTGAGGGGTGGCCCCCTCAGTGCATCTGGGGGTGGTTTGGTTAAGGGACTGCGGGGAAACCTCCGGGCATCCCAGCCCTGTCAGCCCTGCCGTGTGATATAAGTAAAATTAAGGTTTTCGCAAAAGTTGTGCTGCTGGGGAGAGCGACAGGACACGAGGGAACAGCATGGAGCTGGGACAGGGGAGGGTCAGGCTGGGGGTTAGGGAAAGGGTCTGCACCCAGAGGGTGCTCGGGCACTGGGACAGGCTGCCCAGGGCAGTGGTCATGGCACCGAGCCTGACAGACGTAAGCATTTGGACAACGCTCTCAGCCACATGGTCTGATTTTTTGGGTGGTGCTGTGTGGAGCCAGGAGTTGGACTCGCTGTCCTTATGGGTCCCTTCCAACTTGATATATTCTATGATTCCATGCTTCTACCTACAGGTCACCAGGATGGCACCCTGCCCGTCTGTGCTGCACAAATCACCCCTTCCCCAGTGTTGTCAGCTCCCCAAGGCTGCTGGAAGGCTGCAGGCCCCCACGCTGCAGCACACGGCCAAGCTCCACGTGCCAGGGTTGTGCTGCTCAGCCGGGGCAGACAATGAACCTGCTGTCTTTTTGAAGGTGTTTGGCACAGGCTTTGGATAACACAGAAGGAGGGCTGAGGCCGGAGAATGAGAGCTATGAACTAAGTCACTCGTATCAGGAGCTATGCTGCTTCACAGCATTGCTATCTGAAGTTTCATACCCATTCGCGTTTCCTCCCCCATGCACAGTCACACATCCACTGCTCAGTTTTCTTAATAAAATTTGCAGGATTCAGACACAAAGCTATGCTTAGATATGCATACCTCTAATATTTTAATAGTGATTCATGTGAGTAGCAAAGTACTTAATAACTTTATGGTCCTTGATACATGCCAAATAGCACTAGCAAGGGAGATTCCTGGTATACTATTTCAGGAAGTACCAACCACAAGCTATTGATTCGGTCTGCAAGCAAATATCACAATCCCTAGTCTTGTGTCACTATGGCTTTAGCACACCATAGAGAGGCATTTTTGGAAGCAATTATTGTGTCCTCCTTGGGAAGAGTTGTTTTCCATAAATGCTGCATACTGCCAATTTAAATATATCAGGGTTGGGTATTCTATCCATAAATTCTTCCAATTTCTGGAGCAACTTAAAAATATACATATTTTCCAACTGTGGTGTTGTGGAAAATAAATTATCTTATTGCACGTATCACTTCCTACAATATTAAATACTTCATAAAAACTATGAGAGGTGTGAATACAAATAAGTAATACCATCTTCAAATATTCTATTAAACAAAATGCTACATTATAATATAGGATTTACACAGGTCTTTTAAAACCTGTTAAATAATAAGGGATCTAGAGTATATCGTTTTTTACAAATGGAGAACCAGAAGTGTCTGATGTAAGTGGCCTTTAAGTTCAAGGCAAGCATGCTCTTACAAAGGCCTTCTATCCATTAACTTGCTGAGTGCTCTTGTCCTCTTTATTCCTAGAGAAATTAAATCAAATTGAATGAAAGCTGAGCAGAGCACGTTCCTGGTGGAAAATAAACAGTTGGGTACTTTAAGGAAAATGCACTGTAAAGTACAATATTAAGAGGAACCAATTAAATTATAATTATGCAGATTACAGAATCATCACAGACTCTTTCTGAGTATTCAGATCACCTCCAGGCTGGGCATTCATCTAGCAGTCTCTGAAAGATGTTGCTTCTGTATATACCCAATAAGCCATGAAGTATTTTCTCCTTTTCATCCAAAAAGAAAGTGATTGTTTTGCACATCATGTGAAGAAAGTAGTTTATGCCAGTTATGCAGTACATTCCTACAAATTAGACTCCTGTGATGGGATTGTTGATGATATTGAAAAGGATTCTTTAGATATGAATGTTTCAAATTGAAATAACTGCAAAAGAAGTAACTTGTATTTTCTTTGGACACATTTCTTGCACAGAACCCTGCCTATTCTCTTCATATACGTGCAGGGATTGTGAATAGCACCTCTGTGTTTTGTGTTTTGAATTCTTCTCTAGTACCTTTGTCCCTTGTCTCCAAAATAAGCACTTAGGAAGAGTTGTCTACAAAACATAAACCTAGAATAAGAATAAGAATAGCATAAACCAGGTGATTCCGCTATATTTGATAAAGCTTTCAAAATGCAGAATGAAATGTGAAAGTAGAGAAAATAACTGCTTAAACTAAGAATCTATGTTCCGTATCTACTAGAGTCTGTTTTACACTTTCTTTGATTGCATTTGTGTAGAATATAACACCTTACAACTTTTCCTGGTACAGTTTTGTGGGTAGTTCAGGTAAGGAATCTAGATTCAGGAGATCCTTTACAATTTTACTTTAAAGAAAAGATTCTTGTAAGCTGTTTGCTACGTTGCACAGCATAAAAGACAGCGCTTCCTCACAAGAGGTGCTGTTTCTTAAACAGGGAGTATCAGTTAATTTATTGGGGAGTATTTGCATTAAAAACAAAAACAACAACAACAAAAAGGCTTTTTTGAGCAGGAACCCAACACTTTAATACCATCATGACATGTTCTTGAATATGCTTTCTTAAAAACATGAATGAAACTTTACAAACATTTAGAAAATAAACCTATCAAATAGAGAAAGAGAGAAAGAAGTTCTCCTGTTCCTTTGCTCATAAAATTATGTGCATTTTGCTTTGTATATAGCTAAATTTAAAGAGATTTTGCTGGCCTTGCAGGTGATTTTTCTGTACTTTTGGTAAACACTTATGCCAAACAAACATATTTTATTCAATGTGTTTTCTAGAACTGGAGCATTTGAAATGCCACAGTTTAGATTTTGTTGAGAGATACATAGAACTGCCTAAAGATGTGGGAAGATTTTAGGGAAAATGTTATAGTAACTTTTGCTTTTGACTCAAAGCAGATGGAAAAAGTGTTTATAGTGTCATGGGTACTGAATAACTGGGTAACGTGTTACATGGGTACTGAATAACTTGATTTTCATAAAAAGTCAGCAACCAAAAATTTCAGAGACTTGGAGTTATGTCAAGCCAAAGTATGTGAGGAAGCAGACAGGAGAAGACATGTGGATGTATGTATAGAGATGGTAATGGCAGAGTGACTTGTTCCTTGCAGATGGACAACTGAGAACTAGTCCTCTTGTTCTGATAGTATTGTGCAGGCTGTAGTATGGCCGTGTGCAGCCATGAGTCTAGTCTGACTTCTGCAGGGCTTTGGGACCACAGGTAGAGCGAGGACTGGTTCCCAGTGAAAGTATAGAGGAGGGAGAAACTTTTCCTTGAATGTAAATCTCAAAATTTATGAATTCCATTTCTCTTTAAAAAAAAAAATAAAAATATCTTGAACCAAATCCAAAGCTGGCAGAAATTCACAGGAAAGCACTTACTAACATTTGATCTTATTATCTGTATCTAGCACAGAACTTCATCCTGTTAAAAAGGTCAATATCAATAATTCATGGTATACTACTTTATCTTCCCTTCATGTCATCTTTTCATTGTAATTACAAGTTCCAGAAACTCAGATAAGAATTTATTAGCTGGCAGCTTCAGGAATCAGCATTTGTAAGACAGTGGCCCTCAGCAGAAAATACCCTCCTCCAGCTGCCTGCCCTTTTCTCCCTCCCAGCAAGTCCTCTCCTCCTGTTTCCTTCAGCATTTATAAGGTTTGCTTTCCTTGTTTCTTCCTATCTGCAAGGAGTAGACTTTGTTACTTGACAGATGTCGAGCACTTTATTGAATAAATGTTAGCAATTGGAAGTGTTTCTGGATCTGTATTATTTTAATGTAAACAGATTATGTTACATTAGTAGGCATTTATGCTACTATGATCAGAGATCATTCTTCGTGTTCACATTTTCTGCTTTGAAAGATGTTCATTTAGGAATGGATTTAAAATTTCGAGTCAAGAATGTTTGCTCCAAAATTGCAGATATAGTTTCTCTGTTTCATTCTCTTAGTGACACATGCAACATAGCACGTCGCATTTCATACTGCCTCACCTCAACTCATACTATTCAAGACTTGGGACATGCAGTTCACAAACCAGAAAGCTGCCGAGAAAATGGGAGATGGTGAAAAAATATTCTCAGTGACTAATACTAATAGTAATATTTAACTCCTACCGTGATATGATTTAAGAAAAAAATTAGAAGGTGGAACCAAGTACTGTGGAACTTAAGGCACAACAAAGCTAGTGTGGTAGGGAGTTTGTAACTGTACTATGTGAGCTGCACAAGTCAGTGAAAAATATAGGAATGAAACCTAAGATTCATGTGCAGGCACCACATTTACAATTGTACATTGCCACACCAGATGATGTGGGAATTCACTCTGTGAGATAATGAATCAATATGCTTAAAGTCTCTCAGATCAGATAGACCCAAGTAAGTACTGAGTGATCATTGAAGATTTAGTTGTGCATCTTGTCCCTCCATAGCAGTTTCATATCTGGCATTTAAGTTGAGGCCAATCCTAAAGATTTGATATGTGGAAGAGTCTTCCTACAAAGTAGGAGCTCTCTCAATTCTCTCTCATACTGGAGCTCTCTCAACTCTTTCAAAGTTTTAATCAGTTAAACATATTTGTAGCCTAGAGTGTAAATATAGAACCATAATACTACAAGCTCAGATTAGGCTTCTTACATTTATCAAGGAAGTAAGTCGTTTATTATGCTCTGCGATAAATATTTATGCATGATTATCAGTCAGTTCATGTCTATAAGTAAACTTTCAGTAGTTTAATAAAAGCATTTTGCAGTACACCTAGGCTAAAAAAAGGATT